CTGCTTCACCTGCTCCACCTTGATGGCCAGGTGGGCCTCGAAGTACCTGCGCAGGGCCATGCAGGTGTGCTTGGCGGTCTGCCTGCTGGAGAAAATCTCGTCGTCGCTCAGCAGCGCTCCCTGGTCCTCGGGGTTCAGGATCTCCAGGGTGCTGATCTGGAAACGGTCGGCGCACGTCACACGCTAGCAAGGCGCACGCCGTCGGCGGCGGCAGTCGGGTCATTTTCTCTCGCATGCGTCCTACCAGGTTGACGAGGCGCCGCAGGCCGTCCTGCCCGTCGAAGAGCTCCAGCACGGCGCGGAAGGAGAAGGAGATGGAGAAGAACATGGTGGCGTGGCAGCAGCCGGAGGCGTGCGAGCACTCCAGCAGCCACAGCGTGTAGCCGACCACGTCCGACAGGATGGAGTGCGGCAGCATGCACACCTGGAGAGGAGAGGACACGCCGGTGAACACGAAGGAGCGCCGCCGCCGCCGCGCACAACTCGCAGCGGTGGTTTGGCAATAATCGCAATATTTACCTTGAGATCATTTTGTGAATGAATATATTGTTTATAATCATATCTGTTGTTTTATTTAGATTACTCATATTTCACTTTGCTTCTTTTTTTTCCTGCGACACGTTTTCATAAAAAACGTACAGTTGATGCATTGACTCGAAATAAAAACAGACAGTAAATAAAACCAGAACAAACTGCTCCGCCTGTTCGTTAGCGCTGCATGTAAAATGTAAGATGAATCGCTATAGAGCCACAGATATAAGACCTACACTTCATCATCTGTTGAATCTAAATCCTTTACATAATTTAACACTGGGCTCCATTTATTATAAGAATATAAGTGCTCATGCTTTTACACGCAGGTTATCTCCTCCTAGTGGAAGGCTTGATAATCCGTTGGTAGCGCTCCGTCTATAAACTGCCATTTCTTAAGGACTACAAATGTACTTCTGGTTTTGGAATAAATGTTTCTCTCAATAGAAGCCCATAAAAAAAGCTTAAGATCCAGTTTCATTTGTTTTAAAGTGACCACGTGATTTAATTCCACCGGTGTCGTCTGCAGATGTCGGGGTGTATTTGCGGGTTGTGCGTCCGTTCCGTACCCGTTCCATGGCGTCCTGGTTGTAGGCGAGGTAGTACAGGCACAGAGACACTCCGGTCGCAGCCATGGACGGCCGGGGGATTTCCAGCAACTTCTGCACCCCCCCGTGGGCCACGAACTCCGCCGCAAACTTCTTGTGCAGCAGCAGAGACGCCAGGTACTGCGAGGGGGGGGGGGAGCGAGGTCAGAGGAGCTCCACCTTTCTGGAGGGTCAAACGGGGACGGAGCGGCGTTTTACCTTCAGGGCCTCGAAGGTGAGCTGCACGTCGTTGGTCTGCTTCAGGTCCACGTAGTGCATGAGCAGCTCCCGAGCCCCCATCTGCATGAACACCGCCAGCAGCTGCAGGGAGGAGGAGGAGGAGGAGGAGGAGACACCGTGTGAACGGCTGCTCGCTGTGCACAAGGTGACAACTCACGGCCAGTCGGTCGTAGTGTCACAACACATTCATTCATCTACGGGTAGTTAAAACTGTTAGGGTGCATTTTCTGGAGCGATACTCAAGGTCTTTTTTGGGGAGAATTTAAGATGGTTTTTATAAGGATTTCTTTTTAGTTGCACCAGAGTTATAAACGGCATCGACCAAAAAGCTGCTGCAACAAGGCATGAGGCCTTTCTAACCCCAAGTGATTATTTCAAAGTTATTTAATTAATACATTTTGTACATCTGACTCGAACAATTTGTCACAACCTGCTGAGCTACGCGTCAAATTAATCTCCTCGTTGCCTGCTGATGTTTACATCTTTTGATTTCCATTTGATGAGGGAAGACTGACACCTACTGGTGAGTCGGCGACAGGACATGAAATGAGTTAGTTATTAAAGTTATTTTAAGTTAGCTCGACTGATGGCGGGTGACACACCTCCTGATATTCTCCCAGAGGGGTGAGGTACTGCAGGATGAGCCTCTGCTCGATCTCGGGCGTCAGCGGTAACAGGTGGTAGTTGTTGCCGATCACCCAGGGGCTCATCTCGGACCAGCTGCTGTTGGAAAGCTCGCTGAAGTTCCTGTCCGGGTCCGGCAGAGAGAAGCTCAGCTTCTGTTTCAAGGTCCTGCCGCTCTCCCTCTCCGCCTTCCTCTTCAGGTACCCGGCGGCGTCCGACGCGCCCTGGTGGAGCGGCGCGCCCGGCGCCGACATGGGCTTCATCATGGTCTTGGGGGCCGAGGGGCCGCGGCCGCCGGTCTTCAGGGGCGAGTTGAGTCGGAACGAGAGCTCGTTCTCGGGATCGATGGTCGAGAAGGAAATGCCGGCGTCCCCCTCGGGCCCCGTCGCCTCCCTCTCGCCGCCGTTTCTCCCCGGCGCGAAGGGCTTCTCCTCGAAGCCGCCGTCGACGGTCTCCTCGTCCAAAGGCAGCAACGGCTCGCTCATGGTCTTCCGGGGGTTCGGCCGCTTGATGTCCCGCCTGTTCTCCGCGTCCTGATCCTGAAGCTCGCGCATCCGATGCAGCATCAAAGGCACCTGTCGGAGAGGCGAGAACAGCAGATTACGGCGAGCCAACTGCTCTGATGATGCATTGTGGGTATGACGCAGCCCCCCCGCGGTGTACTTTCACATCGTCGGTTTCTTCGGACCACTGACCAGAACGGAGTTCTCCTCCCTGTAGTTGGCGGCGATGTCCTGGTTCTCCATGGCGCCGGCCAACAAGCCTGTGGCGTAGATTCTGAGGGGCTGCTCGGCCTCCTGCGCCCACTTGAACAGCTGTTCCACGATGCCCTCCTGAGCAGCACCCAGAAACACGAAGGCACGCTGCGTTTTATACGGTTCCCATCACAACGGATTTAAGTGTAACAAAATCGCACCGCCTCAGTATATTCTTGAGAGTTTCGAGTTCGAGTAGTGTAAGCGATGCAGTACATCCAACTGTGCACACGAGGAGCTGTTCCAAAATTTGGAACATGGAAGTAGCGAAACAAATGGGAGGGAGGGATATTACATGTCTTAAATATATCCTCGGAGCTTCCAAATACCCCTCCAGTGGATAATTGACCGATGCTAGAAATGCCACATCTAAGCCACAGTGAATGCACCGTCTAGTCTGGATGGAGGAGAGAGGTGATTGTCGTGAACAGGAGTCATGGTGGATAAATCGGTGAGGCCAAATTGTGTGCAAAAACTGTGTCAGAATTTGTCGTAATCACAATCCATGTCTTTGCATCACCACTTTATTTTAATTTTACTTTTGGCCCGATTCAATTTCCCGTCAAAGAAACCAGCGCGAAAAAACTACAAGACAGTTCCAGCTCAAATAAACGCTGTAATGTAATATTTAACCTTTAATCTCTAACCTTTTCCTGAAAGACCACGGCCGTCTCCAACCCGGGCATGATGTTCTGAAGCAGGCGACAAGCTGCTGCATTGAGGGTGAATTCTCTGCTGGTCATCACGTAGCTGTTCACCAACTAGAGGGAAGAAAGATACAGAATCACCTTCTGACTCAGAGCCGAAACGCGCTCAACGTGCACGGAAACACTCTCCGTCTCAGTACCGTGTTCATGAAGTCATCGTTCTTGAACAAGATCTTGAGCAGGTGTCCTAACACGCACTCGGGATCAGCTCTCCCTGGTGGCCGAGAGGGAAACATCACAAACACGATCCGACAGATCTCCACGCCACCAGCGGGGTTTTGGTTTCATACTCATACCGGGGTGCCGGTCATCGAAGGGGTCGGGGTCCGCTTTGTGGTACTCCTCGGTCTCCTTCTCAACCAGCTCGGAGATCCTGGAAGGTTTCAGCACATTGACCACCTTTAAGTCACAGACACCCCCCCTCTCCCCCCCCATGAGGCACTCACTTGGTGAGGATGCCGACCAGCTCCTGCGTGCTGCCGTGTTGCTCCGTGTCCCACTGCTCCAGGAGCGCGGTCAGCTCTGCCTTGGAGTCCACGCTGGCAGATGCCGACGCCATGGCGCGAGCCTGTCCCGGTGGCACGAGCGTTAATGGGGGGGGGGGGGTTGGTTTCGTTTAATCGACGGCACGCGCATCCGGACGCGCGTGCCGCTTCAGTGCGTTAGAACAAAGTACGCAACTGTTGTTCTATTTACAGTGATAAAAAGTCCACATAAACGCCACTGAGACACAAATAGCGGAGCAGCGCGGTCGCTTTAGGTCGATATCCGCCGCGGATGATGATGATTAAGGGGATAATAAAATAGCAATGAGTGGAAGTGGAATGCGCAGGTGTCCTCACATGGCTGCAGCTGTCAAACGTTACTTTTTAAGTTAGCATACGAGGCTTGAGTAGTTCCGCGTCATTTCTGCTCTTATTGGGAACAATCATCTCGGGCTCCAAAGCCGGCGTGTGTCTCCCCCCCCCGCGGTCAGTTATGGCCGTCGCTCGCGGCGCCGGGCAGCGGCAAACTGCCTCTGCCTGTTGCGATGTTTGGCTAGCCGGGCTGTGGCTAACGAGGAAGCTAACATACACAGCCCGTTTGTGACACTCTCAAAGTGGTCCCCTTTAACAGCGAGCGGTAGTCTTCAATAAGCATGAGCTGTGCGGACACGTACGGCGCATTACGTCACAACAATACCACACTTGAATGAACAGAAGCTGCCTGTGCGTGTAGCCATCTAGCACAAGCGCTGCTAGCCGAGAGCAGCTAGCAGCATCACAGGTGAACCTGGCTACTTAGCTAGCATGCTAACTTTACCTCGTCGTTACGCGCAGTTCTTCTCCGGTTCTAATCCGCCGACACCGGTCCAGACCGGATTGTTCAGAGTCGACTGTCTACGTACCGATCGCCAGTTCACAGCCAACGCTTAATTCGCTTTATTGTAGCTTTGTGTCCACAGTTTATTATCATTATGGAGAGCACGTTCCTGACGTCAGTTCACGTGCGACGGTCCACTTTTAATGACGAACCAATCCAAGAGAAAAACATTACGAAATACAATTAGGTACATGTAAGAAGGAAATATAATTTATTGTTCAGTTTATGTCATCCATTCATATCATTCAGAATAAAATATGACTAATTTGTCAATAAACATTTATTCATTAGTTACAATTGTGTAAAAGTATTAGAAGTATCTGCCATAAAAGAAATTCAGATTCAGTACTATTAGTTACATTAAAAAAATACATACGACATTTTTACATTACTGCCATATAATAATCAAAGGGCTCAGGTCTCTGGGAACATATTGTGATTATGGCTTATTGTGTCAGTAAATGTTCTTTTTCCTTGGCGAATACAATTTGGACGTAACAGTACAAATACCTTTAACATTAGTTATCATACACTAGTAAGTCAAAAGGTAAGTAGACTTTTTGTTTTGAAAGGTGAAAAAGAAAAGAAAACTGTTGCAGTTTACATCACGGTACAGCAACAGGTAGCAGGATAGTCATCCGCATTTACTTTGAACTCATTCCCGTAAACAAAGTAGATGTGTGATTTCCCTTTCCAAGAGTAGGTCACCCTGGTGACGGGGATCAGCTCTATGGTTTGACGCTGTAGGCAAACAAGACAGCAAAAAAGGCACATGTTTTTATGCAAAAACCAAATCATGCTTAGATCCCAAGTACTTTCTAGTCTTTTACTGTCAACAAAAAAATATTTTACAACCAAATAGAACAACAAAGTAAATGCTCCCTCACCTGTTGTAGGATGCGTGACGTGCTCGAGTACTTGCCCTGGTGCTCATTGACAAGCCGCTGTGCAGCATTCACCACTGCAGGGTCTGGGAAGCCCATCACTGGGTATACCTGCAGGGAGTAATCCCCAAAAAGTGCTGAACTTTAATTTATTTGTATCCGGATATCCGTATCAGGATAGCAAAACATGAGCGGGACTATTGTAACCTCTGGAGCCGTCTGCCTGAGGATCCAAAAGCTGCTAGAAGTGTTAAATTATTAACATCAGATACATTTTTATTATTGTATTCACTTATTTCATTGTATTTAGGATTTTGAGTTCTACTTTTTTGTTTTTTTATGGATTAGTTAATTTAATTGAGTTGTATAATGTTATTTTACTTTTACTCGTACTAGATTTATTTAATTACATTTTATTGATTCACAGGACTTGACTGGTTAGATTCAAAACATTTATAATTTATAAGTTTATGTTCTTGCTTTACGTTACAAAATACAATTAGGTACATGTAAGAAGGAAATATAATTTATTGTTCAGTTTATGTCATCCATTCATATCATTCAGAATAAGATATGATACACGTTTGTCTAATTTGACAATAAACAAATTAGACAAACGTGTTCTCTGTAATGTCCTTTGTTTGGGCCAGTTGGTTGTGTGTGTGAAGCACTTCCTTTTACTAACCGTAATGGAAAGTTTTAATACGTTTCAGCATCACACAGGCTGCGTTTCCCCACAGACGGGTGACCACAGAATGTGGCTAAACACATCCTGCCGTGTAGATGCTCAGGTATGTGCAACAAGATTTGATGGTTGCAACCAAAAGGCAACGTTCTCTTCCATTTCCTATTAAACGTCATTTGACAACATAGTAAAACCAAAACAGCCGTGTTCAGGCAGATGTTTTATCCCTAACACATCCATCCGTCAAACCGAATGCGAGTGTTTAAATTTAAAAGAATAAAGATTGCTGGGTCTCCTCCCCTCACTGCAGACAGCAGCCAGTCTACGGCCCGAAGATCTACGACCAGACATACAGAATGAATCCACAAGGCCGATATTGTTCACAATAGGGCGAGTCACACGTCAAGTAGCAGCTGACCCCAAATTTGCCCGACCTGTTGAAGGCTTGTCTGGCTCCGTCATTTATAGCGGAAAAAATCGTTTCTCACACTCAATATTTATACTTGTGATGAAACGTGTTCAATTTGAACAATGAATACGTCTGTAAACAGTAGACGGAGATTGAAAAAGAAAATTGGAGGTGAAAAATAATCTTTTTAGAAGATTTTAGAAATCTGATCAAATTGTATATCGGTCGGAAGACCAATTCCGCCCATTAGTAAAATCTAAAATGCACTTTATCTGTATTAAGAAAAACAAAATCCTCCCATGCACATATGGTGAAGCCTCTTATGAAGTGCGGAACAAATACCTTACCATGTACTGCGAGTCCTTGAAGAGCTCCTTGCCGGACACTTTGCTGAGGTTGTCCAGCTGCAGTCCGCTCGACTGCTCCACAACGTAGTTATCGGAGTTGTTGGTCCTGCAGGCGCCAACACACACACACACACACACACACATGAAGAGAATCCGTGTGACCAACGCTGGAAAGCACCCCGAAAAAAAGTGAGCGGCATTCAGATCCGCGAGAAAGGTTCTCGACGCACCATTTCACCGTGAGGTTGATGTAGACCAGCAGCTGCTGCTTCCCCTGACACGTGTCACACTGCTTGGACCCTTGACCATGGCAAGGTGTGCAACTGCGAACAGAAAACCGTCCCGTCTGAACGGGAAGCACCAGACCGCGCAGCTTATGAACCGTAACTTTGGCTTCTTTCGACTCTTACTTCTCCCGGCCTCTGCCGCTGCAGTGGTGGCATCGATCGTCTCCGTGGCGATAACCCGACCCGTTGCACACCCAGCAGACTTTCTGTCAGGCGCCAGAAGAGAAGCCACGTGATCGGAACGATGACCGCGAAACGCAGTTGCGCAACTCTCCCGAATGGACGTTACTTACATTGCCGGCACCGGCGCAGTCTTTGCAGGGCTTCCGTCCCATGCCCACACAAACGTGGCAGGCCTGCAAGGGAAGTATGCATCTCATGAGGAACAGGCTCCGAAAGCCATCGCTGGATCCTCGGACCGTCCTCAAACCCGTGTTGTTGCATTCACCTTCATGGAGGACGTGTAGGGAACCTTCATAACCTGTTTGTCTTCCATGAAGAAACTGGGCAATTTGGCAGGAACTTCCCAGGGACCCGGAGGCGGCTGGGCGAAGGCGTCCACCGGCTGGCCTGATCCAGGTAAAACAAAAGTCGTCAGATCATCAGTGAAAGTGGCCCACTGGCTGCAGAGAGCAGAGCATTCCACTCGTGTATTTGAAGCAGTGGGCGGGCGGCGGGGGGGGGGTCCTGCACCGTGGTATGGCTCGTGGCTCCACTCGGTGGATCTCGACTCGGTGAAGGTTTCCAGCCGGTACTATGAACAGAAAACCAACAAAAAACGAGAAACGCTAAGCATCCAAAACCAAAAAGGCGAAGCTTTGAAACCGGACAGATTCTTCCCGCTTTTCTGAAGGACAGAATGAATTCCCACCCTGTAGGTGTTGAACGCGTCCATGCTGGTGATCACGCCGTCCTTCGCCGGCGCGGCACTGTAGCAGCACTTGCTGGAGGCGAACAGGGCGAACGCCTCCCGAGCCGTGTTTTCAGTTATGGACGGGATGCTGTCGGCAGTGAGGGGGGGGGGGGGACAAGGCACGACATGAAGCTCAATCTTTGCTCTTTTAGATTTAAACACCTGCAGGTTTACAGGTGTGACCGATGGAAAGTGTTTGAGATGAAACATCTGCCAGAACAAAGCCGTTATTGTTGTTTTGCTACGCTACTTTACACTGTGGAGGCCTCGTAAGAGCGGCGGGTTGTGGAGGTAAAGGAAAAGAAGAAATGTTTCGGCTTACTTCCAACTGGGCTGCTCGGGTGCCGGTTGGGGCTGGGGAGTCGGGAAGGCCGGCATCGGCGGGGGCAGGAATCCTCCTACGGCAAAACGGTTTGATTGATTTATCCCAACAATATTATATTTATTGCTAAATCCTTTACACAGATAAAAGTGTTCATGTTGACTTGACACGCTGTGATTCTAATGTGTTCCCACATTTTATGGGGGGGGGTTGGGGTTACCTCCTCCTGCTCCTCCTCCCGCCAGGGTGCCTTCATAACCGGGCATGTTGTCGAACATGCTGGCCGGAGGAGCGCTCGGTCCCGTGAAGTCAGCGGGCGGCGCGGCGGGTGGGGCGAACATCGCTAAAAGAGGGAAACCAGAGGAACCAGTTCAGGTCATATGAGCGGATGGTTGGCCTGGATTTACACATCTTAAATGATCGTATTAGAGGTAGTATCGGACGCTCGTGCACTAAACAAGCAGGCCGTATATAAAGAAGGGAAGGCAAAACAAACGTGTTACCAATTCTGATGCAGAGTCTTTAGCGAGCGTGAGTTCTTTAAAGTTTAAATATATTTGTACACGCCAGCAGCAGAAGGCGGTGCCGTGAGAGACTCACCTTGGGCCTCCATGTTAGTATACATCCCGGGGGGGGTTACAGCTGCTCCGGGGGGGAAACTTAAACCCTTCAACAAACGCGATGACTGTAGTTTCTACCGACGCGGCGCACAACGACGGCCGAGCTGCGCGCGGACGTCAGACTCTCGGCCAATGACGTCACTCCGCGCGGAGCGGAAGTGACAGACTGCGGCTCTATAGCTTTCAGGTAACGTTACCTGACACACACACACCCCCGTCCCCCAAAAAAAAACAAAAGCATAAGTTCGTTCCCCCCAGGGGAGCTCACCGGGTCTCCCCTGCGCCGCGGGCTCGTACCCCGGATTGACCATTCCATAGTTCCGCTCCTGGTGGCTGCGAGGGCAGAAACGAAAGTTAAAGTCGGATCAGTCGGGTGGGGAAAAAAAAAAACTCACACGTTTCCTTTCGTTTGGGAAAAAAAACTACAACTAAATAAATAAATTATGCATTGACACTCACGTTAACACCGGCTGATACTCCATGTCGAGGCCCTGGGAAGCAACCAAACACGACTCATATGGTTTCTAGTCACACAGAATAGGGAACACCGACACATTGATTTTCGCGTGACAACAATTTAATTATTAACCTTTTTCACGCCGAGCTCCACAGAAACGCGCAGATCAGCAACTCTTATCTTCTTGTGACTGGCAAAAAGTTCCAAACAACCTGTATGGGGTTATTTAAGTTGAGCTCGAGGGCTCGATCTTGAGTGAAATTATGAAATTGCGCTACATCAGAATACAGAAGTAACAGTTAAATCCTCACTCAAAAGAACAGTCCCATCCGAACCGGAAGTGCGTACAATTCCCTTTTTTAAGAGCAGCAAAAATGAGTTTGTCAAAAGTAAGCGTGCATGGTGTGCGTGGAGATTAAAAAACAACACTATGTTCAAAAACACGAGAACAAATCGATACGACGTTCGTGGCGTTACATCTACAAGAGATAACTTTCACTTCCTAGCGGAAAGTCCAGTGGTTCGGATAAAATACAATACCCATAATGCTCTTCGGCGGCCACGGAAGTCCTTTTCTTTCCTTCCGCCGTCGCTGAAGTCCCTTTTGGATTTACATCGGCGGGTGAGTCGATGCAATCTATGTTCATCAGCACGATTAATGGCACTTTTTCGCCATCCAACCGTGTGTTGCCAACCATAGACGTCCATCCTACATATATCTCACACTATGGATGTGTTCATAATAGTTTTGTTGTTCGTTTTAAACGAGGTTTCGCTCACACAGCGACCGCTGCGGTGCTAACGCTCTACCCTTACAATTAGCTTGTAGTAAGGGCCTCGCGTACAGCCTGGCTCATAGAGAATTATTTAAAATGATGAGCCAACAGTTAATGTAAGACAACCGTAAAATACTGATATTTCTGTGCGGTAGTGTCCAAGCGCAATGTTTGGACGGAGAGTAGCATAGCTAGCTAGCTAGCAATCGAAGTCTAGATATTAGCTTCGCCGTGGAAGCTAGCCAAGTAGCTGGCAAGCCGACGTGGATCCACACGTTTATCTGAAGCTCGCGCAACATTAACGTTGTTGCTCACTTGCATCGCTTGCCAAAACTATTCGTAAGCAGAAGCTATCGTTTTGTTGTCTAAAGGTGTCAATGAGCTGGACCCCACTCGACACGAAGTGTTCCTCCGGAGCTAATGTGGCACGTTGTTGTGTAGCGTTAATGCTGCATGGCCGATTGGTTGTAATCTGGTTTCTAAATGTTGTGTTTTCTGTCCATCTCAGTCACCATGGCAGCCCTCAGGCCCCTCACAAAGCCCAAGATTGTCAAAAAGAGAACCAAGAAGTTCATCCGCCACCAGTCTGATCGATATGTCAAGATTGCGGTAAGAATCTATCTGATGCTCAAAGTTCAGGCTGCTGCTTTCTGTGGTTCACCTGCAGGTAATTTAATGCTTGAATGTCTTTTTTTTTTTTCTTGCGCCATTAGAAAAGTTGGCGTAAACCCAGGGGTATTGACAACAGGGTCCGCAGGCGGTTCAAGGGTCAGATGCTGATGCCCAACATCGGTTATGGTAGCAGCAAGAAGACAAAGTACATGCTGCCCAATGGCTTCAAGAAGTTCCTGGTGCACAACATCAAGGAGCTTGAGGTCCTGATGATGAGTAACAAGTAAGTTGTGTGTGTCTTTCACAGATCATTTCAGGTGTGCACAAAGTTTGATTTTATTAAAGTTTTATTTACGCACCTTTTTAACTAAAGCTTTCTTAGAAAATGCATTTCCAGCGCTCTAAGTATTGCGAGAATTATTCATCCCTACTTTAAAGACTGGGTGGGGAAATTCTCAGTTTGCAGAGATGTCTGATCTCAAAGTATTTAGTCTTTTAACAATCCTGGATGACGGTTGTAGTGGTGAAGGGGAGGACTTTGTAACAGGCTCATTGTGGCTTTCATTTTTTATCCAGTGAGGACTTTTTTAATTCAGTTTCACTTTGAGACTAAACCGGTGTCTTAAACTCTTAAATATTTTCCAGCCAACTCCCTTTAATGCGCGTCCTTCTGTTGAAAACCACATGCATCGTGTCAGTACCTCGTCCACGGGTCTTATCTATGGGATGTTTTTCATCTGAAACCAATAGGAACACTACAGCCACTTGCACATTAAGCTTTAAGAGGTCACGTACCATGACTCTAAACTAGTTTAATTGCAGTGAATGAGAAGTGATTCTTTAACGTGTGTCGGTGGTTAATCCCAGTCTGCCTGAACAAAGACTTACGAAATAGGAACTCACTATTCTGAGGAGCGGTCAAACTGATCGGTTTGTATATAGTGGAAGTACATTCAGCAGTAGAGGAAGGAGAGGTTATGGATGCTTGAGTTGGTGCAAGGACGCGTTTAGAGCATTTCAATGTAAAGAACTTAAAGCTTGTCATGTGAGCTGGCCAGCATGGAGCGCTGATGGTTACAACCCAACCCACACTTAAACCCTGAATAGGAGCCAGAGGACAAGGGACCACCTCTAAAACGGATTCTTATTAAGAGGCCAAACTGTTTCACGTGAGCCGTTTGGCTTTTCACGCCTGCTGTTTGGATCCAGCAGCCAGTAATTGTTAATGACTAAATGGATGCTTGGAAATGCCCGTTTGGTTAATGAAGATTTGACAAGCAAAAAGTAATTCGCCCAAGTGAGGGAAACTTCTCTTCAGTTGTCACATTTAGTTGCAACGTTTGAGTTGATCACAATTTTTCTCAGTCTTTATCGTAAGCTTGAGAGGCTTTGAGTGAAGCGGACACAACCTGCGTCTTGGCGCATGTTGTAGAAACAGACACTTTCCTGTAGCTTTTTTAAAATGTCGCTTGGGCCGTGCATATAGACCCCGTAAAGGCGTCCGCCCGTTAACGCTCCTCCTCTTCCTCCTGCAGGACTTTCTGCGCTGAGATCGCCCACAACGTCTCCTCCAAGAACAGGAAGGTGATCGTGGAGCGAGCGGCCCAGCTGGCCATCAAGATCACCAACCCCAACGCCAGGCTGAGGAGCGAGGAGAACGAATAGACGCGTTGTTCACAATAAATGTTTAAAAACTCCGACGGCTCTTTCTGCGCTTCATTGCTCATTATTTTGGGAAGAGGCTCATTTTAGAGTTTTGAATTTCTTGCCTTTATGCTTTTCTCTAACATGAAAGTATAGGAGGAGGATTGGGGGGGGGGGGGGGTTTATTCCCCACTTCTCTTCCAGGTGGCTGCATGCTGTAACGGAACAAAGGGGTGAACACGCCTGAAGGAGCGTCGACCTGGGTAGTGAGAGGAGGAAGTTATTACTCACATGTTGCTTCTGAAAGAACTTTTGCACACCTGCGGCCTGTCGAGGATCTGCCCTCAGCTGCTACAGAAAATATATATCTTGGATGGAATATGAAGCCCCAGATATGTCAGCAGCTTCAAAAGGTAAAACGTTAGCGTGAGGATCATGAATATGTACAAAGGGTTGTTTTAATTGCCACATGCAGGCAGCACCTCCTGTGGGGCATGTAGTTTCTGTGCATGTCATTTTAACACTCTTTGCCGTACTGCTGAGGTATAAATGTTGGATTGGATATCTACAACATGTCAGAATATATTGTACTACTTTATGGAAAAGATTTTACAAACCATTCTAACATACTACGTACCAATAAGAGCTGAATTATCCTATGGAGTAAACATTCATTCCACGTTTGAAGTACATTGGTCCATATTGTAATACAGCATATAAACTTGTTTTATATTAAGGTTTTTTTTTTACGATCTTGCACTGCACATTGACTTCTTTCTGCACTTTTGGTTAGATGCTAAAACTGACTTTTGTTGTACTTTTTACTTTGAGCAACGACAACATGGAATCCTTTAAGTACTTTTAATACAGATTAGAGTGTAAAGCGTTCGCGTCTCCATGTGTAAAGTTGGCGGACTGTTCCTTTAAACCAGACTTCAGAAGGTTGGATTCATGTACTTTCGTCTATTGAGAACACGTGACTAAGTAGACCTTGTGTCTTCACGTGTCCAGGTGGACTAAAGAGGCCTCCCCCAGAGGCCGTCTCCTCGGGACTCCGCGGTGCGATGTGCACGCTCGGCCCCCCTGCAGAGGAAGTCTCCAGCGCGCGCACCCGCACAAACTGCGCTCGCGCGCGCGCGCGCTGCAGCCCCGAGCCGCGCGCCATCTGCTCCCTCTGCGCCTCGCGATGCCAGAGATGCAAAAATAAAAACACAGCCTTCATTTATCCAGTCAGCTCGTGGCTGTTTGTGAGCGCGGAGCACTCACGTGCACGTGATGGACACGAATGTATTCCGGTTTAAAACAACAACAACGTGCACCTGTCTACTGGTGCGGAGGGATCACCTGAGGGGACTGGAGGGCGTCCAGAGAAGGAGGGAGGAGGGGGGGGGAGGGGGTGAGAGCGTCAGGAAGAGGACGGAAGTCATCACTTCCTTTTGTCCACCGCTCTTAAAGGGATGAACATGTCCGCCAGGCTGGCGTTCGGGAAGTGGCGCCTCAGCCCGCAGCAGCTCTCCCTCGGCCTCCCCCCCGCGGCCTCCCCCAGGGGGGAGAAGAGGAGGATGTTCTCGTTTTCTCTCAGATGTCGGCTGGGTGTCATCAGGGGGAGAACCAAAGGTAAAGGGGGGGGGTCTTCAGAGGGATGGTGATGTGTTCAGGGGGCTTTAAAGTTTGACACATCACGCACGTGTTGTTGTTGTTGCCGTCGCATCATAACTTGAGTTTATCTTTATGATTAATCAACCCAAATCAAACATATTGACTGAATTGATTTAAAAACGGTTTGTTTGTGTGCAGCAGGCGTGTTGAACTAAAACACGGGCACAAGAAGAATACTAACGACAATAGTAATCAATTCAACGAATAGCAGGTATTTAAAAACTGGGGAATCGAGGTGAAAAACAGAAATACTCAAATTCTTAAGAGGTACTCATAAGTAATACGAGTTGATAATGGTAAAAGGGGTTAAATCATATTTTTAAAAACGTGAATATGTCACAGACACTCATGCACTCCCCGCCTCTTTTAACAATGATGACATGCACCCCTAATAGAATTTCTCACAGACACATATAAGCAAAAAAGGTATGTAGCGTCTCCTGTATCTATATATATATATATATATATATATATATATATATATATATATATATATATATATATATATATATATATATATATATATATACATACACACAAGAAATATATACAAGAAATATTCTCCAATGAAATGAAGATAAAACAGAAATTCGTACAGCTGAGAAAAGATACATTAAGTGGGTACGAATTTCAGTTTTTATCTTCATTTCATTGGAGAATATTTCTTGTCTTTCTGGAAAAGGTGGTTTATGTATTTCTAGTTCTTTTCAAACCCGACCTCGGAGGTGCACGCTGAAGCGTGAGCGCGTGAGTCACGTGCTCATCCTCTCGGTTCTTCGTCACCCGCCGATGACGCGCCGCGAGGAGAGAATCGGTCGTTTGGGCTCGTCAGACTTCTTGCTGCAGCTGCAGCTGCGCGCCACCAGGGGGCGGTGCGGCGGTCTGATGGCAGGTTAAAGCGCCACACGTCCCTTGTGTGTGTTGGGAATGGAGGCTATTTCAGAAGGGTTTATTCTTAACAATAAACCAGCAAACATTGTGAGAATGTAGAATCCGTCACTAGAAAGTGAACACAATCACAGGTCATCCTCTTTTTGAGCTGTTTGGGTTTCTGCTTTATCCCTTGATGATTTAACATTCGCTCCTGGTCGATTATGCTGCCACGTGGCCTCGGGGAGCTGCGAAAAGATTCAATATTTATTGCATTAACCTGCTGTTTTCGTGCTGCTCCCCGGGGGGGTTTCATATCAACACAGAACGCCGTTTCTCACCAGCTTTCTTCTGCTGGAAATTAATTAGTCTCGCTCTGAAAGACCACTTTGTAAATGCAGTATTAAGGACAAAAGTCTCAGAGGGAGTTATTTACACCGATGAGTATTGTGTCCACTAACAGACTAATTGGGCCCCTGGTAGGAAGAACGTGGAAATGTTCCCTTTGCAGTCTGTGCAACAAGCAGTGGTATGAAAGGTGTGCGTTATGGAGGGGGAGAGGTGAGACGTCGGCCCTTGTAGAGGCAACGCATTTCCAAAACCTTTTTTTGTGCTTCTGTATTTCTCTGTAACATATGTGACGAGGGCTGGAGGTGGTCGTCCGCGTCCTCGTGCACCGTAACCGCACTGTTAAGAAAAACACAACATGCCAGACCGCTCGGACGTGCAGCTGCTCTCCTTTTCACACAGGAAGGGTTTTTTCTCCCCCACATCGTGTGACCGTGCGAGATGCAGATACAAGCCCTGCAGAAAATAGGACGTTCAAATGGGTTCAACCTCCACACGAGAAAAATGGTGACACAGTGCAGTCTGAAAATGAATGTGCAAGTGGTGTTAATTGTGCAGCGGGTTGAGAGTGTGTGTGTGTGTGTGTGTGTGTGAATGTATGTGGGTGGGTTTAAGGATGTGAGAACGAGGGGTGTTTGACTTAGTGGGAAAATGGATAAAGTGTGTGTGTGTGTGTGTGTGTGTGCTGCAGGGGGAGGGAGTGATTATGGTGTGTGCCTGCCTCACTGAACCCCTCTGGCAGAGAGAGAGGGAGAGAGAGAGGGAGAGAGAGGGAGAGAGAGGTGGGGAGAGAGGGAGAGAGAGAGAGAGAGAGAGAGCGCACTCTCACTCCAGCCCAGCAGAGAGGAGGAGGCGGGTCGCGTGTGCGCTCTTGTGAGTGTATGAGCGGAGGATGTTAAACCCTCTGGAAAGAAAAGGACGGCTGATTAGTGAGAAGGGCTCGAAAATGGAACCGCGGCGAGATGGCGAGAAGAGGACGCCGCTCTGCCTGCTCTGGATTGGATAGATTCAAAGAAAAAGCTTGTTGGGTGCAGATGTTTGAGGATTGAGAAGATTCCTCGGCATCTGTTTTTTGCGTCCGTGTGTGTGTGTGTGTCGCCAAGTTGAAACTAGAACTACACAGACCCTCTGAGGATCTGAACCTGCCATCTGGAGCTCAAATCCTCGCCGGGGGAGGGGGGTGCAAAGGTTAAGGAAACGTTTGTGCGAGGAGGCGAAGGCGAAGACACGATGACGGCGTTGCGTCTGAGCCGCTGAGACTCTCTGACCTCAGCTTCTCTGCGGGCCGACGCAAGCATCCAGCCATGCTGTGTGGTCTGAGGAGAGACACCAAGAACAGCATTGGTAAGAGGACAACGTGGGGTCAAAGGGCAAGGGGGGGAGGGGCTTATGTCACTTGGATCACCTGTTTCCTCTCTAATGTGAAACCCATGTGGATTTAACGCTAAATCGGTGTAGAATCACTAGAATGCGTGTGTCACGGCCCTGATTGGCTGGGAGAGCTTTTAAATGTCAGTGGACTCGGCCCACCGGCTCTGAGGGGGGGGGCACCCTGCCATTTGTAATTGGGGCAGGAATAGCGCCCCCCGCACCCTCCCACACTATATAAATAAAGTTCCCCATCTGAAAATAGCGGTATGATTTCGTTGTCGCTGTGCGCCCCCCCCCCTTGTTCAACCTACATTCCCATTGGCCGGGGGACGCACGCAGTGCCCTGAATTACACGAAAAGGAGTTAATTAACTCCCCCCACGTTCATGTCGTATACGGATCCGGAGCTTTGTTCTCGGCGCCTGCAGGTCCTTCGGACGGAGAAAAGAGGACCAGGGCAGTTGTTGTCATTGTGGGGGGGGGGCGTCTCCTAATCGTCCCCCCCCCCCGTCCCGCTCGGCGTCTCGGTGGGACATCTGCGCTTGGTGTCGTGCTGAGCCCCTACGGCTCCCACGGCTAACTTTGCCCTTTGTGGCGGGAACAGCTGCCGGACAGGCAGGGGCCCTCCGGAGCCGGGGAGCTTATTCAAGGCTTATTAGCCCCCCCCCCCCCTCCTCCACTGGGCCTGATGCGCGTGTGATGTGTCACTCACTTTGTCCGTGCCTCGCGGCTACCGGACCAATGCCGCTTGTGCAGTGAAGTCTGAAGACGTTTGGGTGAAATAACGTATTGTTCGTATGCGCGTGGGTCCCATCGTCTGAGTCACGCCGCTGCTGCTATGCGGGGCCCGCCCACAGGCCTTAAGGTCAGGGGGGGGGTCGGTCAGAGGACCCGGGCCTCTCCGCCGCTGAAGGCCTCGTCTCCACATGCGGGGGCAGAGAGACGGCGGTGTGTGCTCGGTGCCCTCCGAGGTCTCGGCTCACGTATCAGAGCGCTGATTGGGCGGAATGGGTGACGTCGTTGTTCATGTCAAATCGATGAACTGTCAGCCCCGGGACGACGCCCCCTAAATGATGACAGGTCTGATTTCCGACCTTTAGAGCAGATCATTATTTAGTTGTCTTGGATTGGTCCAGAGGTTATAATAGGCTGTTCAGATTTTCTCCTTCCAACTATTCGTCATCTTAATTCCATTTGTTCGATTGTTTAAATTGTAGTTTTATGAATCGGGCCTAAAAAGGATGCAGAATTAGCCATTAGCGCCCCTGTGTCCACAAACGACCATCAGTAACTTTAGTGCAAGTCCCATGGTATCTAAAAATGTCTGTATGCGTGCGCGTGATGTGCCCGAGGACGTATTTACTACTCACACAAAACTTCTGGTTTATGAATCATTTCTGCATATGAGGTGTTATGAAAGTACGGTTTTGACGAGCCTCTGAGCTGCACAGAGTGAAATCGTGAACACTTGAGCCTGTAGCGCGAGGCACTAACACGCGGTGGTAATGGGCTGCACTGTAAGTATGAGAAATCCAAAATAAAACATCCGTTTCCCCGCAGAGACGACTGAACATTTCCCGGCCTTTGCACAGCAGCTGCTGCAAGTGACATGAAATTTATGATTTTTCTCCCGGTGCCTCGAACAGTCTATTAACCGCATGCTGTTGCTTCAGGAAAGCTCTTGTGCTTCAGTAGCCGCATACGTCACGCTCGCCCGCAAATGTGTTCTTCTGGTAAATTGATGGTTTTCAAGGGTCTCTGCTGCAAACGGATAAGTGCGTTTTATTAAATCCCTCAACCTTTAATAGGATTATGGAAACAACGTGGGAAGACTTTCCAGGCTTGTTTTTTTTAAGGCTGATTCAGTCTGTTCACGTGGAAAAGTCCAGTTCTGATGAGGGAAGATGAGGCGGAAGTCTTAAAACCTGCATCTCTCCTCCACCATCTTGTAGAGAGAATGCAGAAGGTTGAAAAAAGATGTCTGATTGAATAGAAGTCTGCGAAAATGACTCATGGTCTCAATCTCTAGTTTCAAGTACAGCATGAGGTTTATTTAGTAAATGATGATCCATTTAGAGTAAAGTTGACCATAAAGCCGGCGATGCTTTAGGGCGGGCTTACTGTGATTGACAGGTCGATAATTGATGCCTCTATTTGTTGTGCAAAAATCAACCTTTCGAAATTGACGTCGCTTTTTGCGCGCAATATCGCTGTTGTGTCAAAATGTTGGTAATAGAATGAGGCGTCTGAAAAAACACATCCACACGGTGTAGAAATCTTTAGTTTGTTCGGTAACTCCTTGAACTTCATCGCACACCTTTGTCACATCATGGGAATAGCAATGAGAAAGCTAGTTAGCTAGCTAGCTAGCTAGCAGTGCGGGGTCTGACGCAAGCTAACAAGCTAACGTGCTAACTTGGCAGCCGTCTTCCCGGCAAACGACGACGACATCAGTTTGCGGCCCCCTCCGACCCGGTCGTCACCGTGGCAACTAACTACTAATAGCCATTTTCTTTTGTGCCAGACAACAGTCCAAAGACCGCTCTGGTTCCACGCCTTCGCCGTTGACTCCATGACTACTGAAAGTTTGCCATCACGTGTTACATTTTCATTTAACTCTGTCACAACGCTGCCTTCATAACCGCACCTTTACCTCCCCTGCCGTCTCCTCAGATGAGGGGCCGTACTCCAAGGGGAGCAAGGAGGCCGGGGCAGCTGACCAATCGCGTCCGTCCTGCAGGCGCAGCTTCTCAGGTAAAAAACGCAGTCGATCCCGACACGTGCGGTTCTCTCTCTCTTGTCTGCCACGGAGGCTTTTGTCGGCGCGCACGTGTCTGTTCCGTTTGATGTTGCACGGTTGCGAATGCTTAGATAAGGTGGAAAAATAAAAACTGCTAGCGTGGCACGGCTGTCGCTTGCAGTGAACCACACTCGGTGGACTCCACCTAGAATGATTGAACAGCACAGCAGAACGTGGACAGAACGAGTCCCCCCCCCCCCGAAACTATGGAGCCACGTGTCCAAGAAAGTCAAATAAATTCACTTCAGGGTCTGAAAATCTGCAGATTAAAGAGCCTCTTGTTGTGTAATAAAGCAATTTGAATTTCTGTCCTTTATCAGTAATAACTTAATAGAACCGACCTTGTCCTGCTCCTCCTGAAACTGTCTCAAGGATTCACTCAGATGGAGAGACTTGAAGGAACAGGGACAGGACGGGCAATGTGAGAAAGTGAAGTATGTGGTCGTGCGTCAGAGGGCATTTGTGTGAGAGACCCAGGAGGGGGAGATTGAGTCGCCTCTCAGACGGGGTGATGCCGTCGAGCGGACGCTAATGCTGACTGTGGATCTGTGCCTGTCAGCGGAGGAGCACCGGGGAGTGACCACGGTGGACCTGATGAAGAGGGAAGGCAGCAGCCTCGGCCTCACCATCTCCGGAGGCTCCGACAAGGACGGAAAGCCCCGGGTGTCCAACCTGCGGGCCGGCGGGCTGGCCGCCAGGTGAGGTCGCTGCTCTCCCTTGTAGAACGCTTTATATCCGGGGGGAACTTTGGCCTCGGGGGGGGTCCGCGTGGAGTCGGGACTGGGCCGTGACCTCATGTCCGTCCCTCCGGCCACTTGCTCTTCAAACCAGGTTTTAAGTGATTGAAATGAGTCTCAAATCACAGTTATGTACAACTCTAGAGATCGTATGTTGACTGTGATCATTTCATGACGGCCGCGCTGGTGCAGGAGGATGACTCATTCCGCAGTAACGTCCGACAGGGCGGAATGAGGAAGTGGGGACGTTTTGGACAGACGGGACGTCTAGTTGTCCGTCAGTTAAGTGGGATTCAATAAAAGGCCAAAATAATGTGCCCAAAAACAAATGTCCCCAGTTGGAGGTAATTATATATATTTTTTAAACTCATCTTCAGTGTAGCGGAGGACGTTTCGTGCTGAATAAGCAGAGTGTGACCGAAGCGTAACACACACACACACACACACACACACACACACACACACACTTTTGTCAGATGCAGACCCATGAAAGTGTCTCGGCCGATCGCGCCATCGCCTGTCACGTCCGAGGAGTCTACAGACACACACGCTAACCCTTCCAAGCAGCTCGTCTTCCCACAGTACACGCTGGCGTGGAAGCGCTCGCTAATTCACTGGGAAGGGGGGGTGGGGGGGATATGGGGGGGGGGCTGTCAGCAAACTGAATGACGCCTGTCGCTCTCCTTCCGGTCTGCCTGCCATCACTGCTGAATGGCAGTAGCCCGAAGGTGAAGAGAGGGGTTTGGTGGGGGGGACGGGGCGGTAGGGGCGAGCAGGGTTGAGCGTCCTTTTAATTAATGAGCCGTCCATTAAGCAGCGCGTTGCCTGAGGACGTCGCGCGTGAGACGGCCGTCAGCGCCTCAGACATCCGCCCTCTGTTACTCCACTCACAGATTATTAGTGCCGGTTCGGACGACAAATTAGTAACCGTTCGCTCTATTTTTCGGCCTCTTTCACGCAGCCGGAACCGCCGCGTCGGTGATTTCAGGGGTCGGCTTGTTTTGCAGGAGTTTAGAGCCAATTAAATGGGCCGGAAGAGGTCATGTTACGGATGTCTGGAGCTGAATCACTGAACCCTGACGTGCAGCTGGAGTGTTTTGTTGTGACTTTAAACAGGAGTGACCAGCTGAACGTAGGAGACTACATCAAGTCGGTGAACGGCATCAACCTGTCGAAGCTTCGCCACGATGAGATCATCAGCCTGCTGAAGAACATCGGGGAGCGGGTGGTGCTGGAGGTGGAGTACGAGCTGCCTCCGTTCGGTAGGCGAAAGACTCCGTATCCGAGGAAGTGGGGCGTAGCCGTTGTGACGTCACTCGCTGCCCTTTCGGCTCACGGGGCCTCTGGTAGCACTGTCAATCGCAGTAGCCCCGCCCTAAAGCACAACCTGTTTCATGGTGTCTTTGACCCACGAAGGTTTCTTTCGATTTTACCATTTCAAATATACCGGAACATCGTTCCCCCTTTCAAGGCAGCAGATCACTACTTACTGGGTGCACTGGGGCGGCTCGGTGCTTGAATCATTAACATGCGTCACAATTCATGAGATTAATGTCCTCGTTTGAGATTTTACCAACGCTTCATCGATTCAACCCAATTACAGGAGAATCAAAATGCTTTCTATGCTGACAACGTTCTTCTGAATCTGTGCTCTCTCAGTCCAGAACCCCTCCGGCCTCTCCACCAAAACCATAGAGGTGTGTTTACACAAGGAGGGAAACAGCTTCGGCTTCGTCATGAGAGGTGGGCGGGACGTTTAAATCCTTCACTCAAGAGAATTAGCTCCTTTTGGGGGCTTTTTTTTTCTCCGCACTGGTTAATGATGTGGGTTGCTTCGTTTTCTTCAGGAGGTTTCCACGAGGACTGGCGCCGGTCTCGTCCTCTGGTGGTGACGTACGTGCGGCCCGGAGGTCCGGCGGACAGGTGGGGTCAGGGGGCACGAGTAGGTCGCATGCATTTAACGTCTCAATCGCAGATGAAGGAGCCTTTGCAGGCGTGCCCGTTCGATGTACGTACCAATGCATACGTGCTTCTAAATCCGCGGTACATTGATGATCTCCATGATCTCCAGAGCAGGAAAGGGCACCGCTCCTCCTGCATTCACCATCAAACGCACACCTTCGTCTCACCTCACGTGGAACCGTTGGACGAATCTCGTGAAACGTCCTTTTTCTTCCGTCTCTCTGCAGAGAGGGAACTCTGAGGGCCGGAGACCGAGTGCTCAGCGTGGACGGGATGCCTTTCAACAGGGAGAAGCACGCCGACGCTCTGACCGTGCTGATGCAGAGCGGCCAGGAAGCTCTGCTCCTGATCGAGTATGACGTCTCCGTCATGGGTGAGCACACACACACACACACGCGCAGACGCGCACACGCGTGGAGGCCTGGTGGGGCAGCGTTGCTCTGAGGGTAAATAACGCGGTGGTTCGGCTGCGTGGATGTGAGGCAGACGCCATCAGGGGAGTCACTGTGGCCCGAGAGCACACTTCCTCAGTGAGCGGGTGGATACTTGTATTATAGTGTGTGATCTCTCTCTGCTCCTGCATCATCGCTGGGAAATAATATCATCGGTTAAACAGTAGGGATACCTTAAATTATTCATTTTTGTAATTAATAAAGACAATATTCAGTCGATTCAGCCAATAACTCAGTTTTGTATTATTCAAAACATTTATGGACAATTCATTTTCATTTTTCAGATGTTATATATTCATATTTGTATCCAGTAATTTTCTTTTAATATATCGAACAAAGCAATAGACCCTGTTTGTCAGATCCCTGATCATAAATGAACAGTGAACCTTATGTTCAAAGAGACATTTAATCACTGTGACTTGATTATAAAAACTTAAAATAGTTACGCCACGGATTTATTTCATGGATAATATGCAGAAGATAACCAAATATATCTTTGCATCCGCGTGGGGCAGAAGGAAATAATTGGAATGATTCACAGTATGTAAGCCAATTTCACACTCAGTCTACTTGGCCGGTGAGGTAAACAACAAACAACAACGTGAGCTGACGCACGGGAGTGAGGACCTTAGGCTGCTTAACAAATGGCACACAGGCAGTAGGTGTGTGGGAGGGAGTTTTTCTGGAAATGTCATCCGGTGACCTGTTTAACAGCCGTTGGCCTTTTATTTCAGGGTATTTTGATCTTTTTCTTTTGTTCACTCCTCCTCTGTAACACTGCATCTCTACACGGGGATTCTTAATGCTTGTTATCGACGCCTCGGGGTCGGACTCGTATGCAATCGGATCAAATCATGAAGGTTCACCAGATGCTCCCGCGGGGACAAACCCCAGAACCAGTCAACCATGGTGCAGGGAGACGAGAGCTTTTCTAAAGGGACGCCGGCGCATCGACGCACTACCAGCTTTGTCCACAGGGGCCGCCAGAATCAACACAACATTAAAAGCTCCTCGCAGGAACGTTTACCTTTTAATGTTGATGTGGAAAACTGATTAACGAGAACATCTAAAAATGACAAGGTGTGACGTGACGTTACCACGGCAGCGGGGCTGAAATGTCTTTTAAGGTGTAGAAAATTCATTTGAGGGATATAAACTGACTCAACGGCTGCCTCAACAAAGCGGTACCAGCGTTGTTCCAAACACATTCGGTGACACAGAACTTCCGACGCAGGAATAACATCCGACGCAGATCCGTCTGTGAGTTTACAGGGCGAATCCAATCTATTTTGGGTTCAAACGCATCCTCGCCATTTGCTCAGAAGCGGTGAAATATGCTCAGTGAAGACAGGACCTCACGACAGATTAAAACCTCCATTTGGTCACGGCGACTAATTCTCCACGAGATCAGAAACTCGGCTCTTTGCAAACTGGGGCAGGTCACCCAGGACGTTTGACACACATTATCCCCGTGAGTGGGACTCCAGAACATCAGAGGGTTCACAAGACATTTTAGACCTAAAATACGGAAAACATAAACATAATTTTTTTTTCAGTCAGAGCTGAAGTTTCTCTTAATCGCTTAGACCGACCGGTTTGCAATAAAGAACCACACTGCGTCTGACCTTCAAATGACAAAACGATATATGTCTTTGTTATTGTTCAGGTCAACAGAATTAAACGCTTACGGGCGGGGCTACACTCTGATTGACAGGTTGCTAACGGCGCTCTGGGGGGCTGTTCCTGTTTTTGTCGCTCTACTTTAACCCTTTCACAGTGTGTTATGTTCATTATAAAATATCTGAGCGTCTGGTTGAAGCTCCACACGCGTCAGTCTATGCTTAAAACAGCATATTCAGTATTTCATATACTTGTGGTGTAAATGTCTTTGAGAAATCATTGAGCTATTGTGCGGCGGAACCACACGTGTCACCAGGACGACGATGGACTCCATTAAATGAAGCAGCTAAGTAGAGATTAATCCGGATTATTGATGTTTGATAGGTTGTGTGAAGATTGGCCGCTACGTTGCTCTGACAGAACCGATGTAATCTCTGCGTTACCGGTTCCAGACGCGGTGCAGCAGGCCTCGGGCCCCCTGCTGGTGGAGATAGCGAAGGGCCCCTCGGCCGGCCTGGGGATCATCCTCACCACGGCAACGTACCGCAGCAAACAGGTCATCATCATCGACAAGATAAAAGCAGCCAGCGTGGTGGAAAGGTGAAACACAGCAGCCCGGTGAAATCTTCAGAGTGAGACTAAAAAGCTGCCCTGACACGACCCGTCTCCCCTTCCCCTCCCCCGCCAGATGTGGCGCTCTGCACGCGGGCGACATCCTGCTGTCCATCGACGGGACGAGCACGGAGCACTGCTCTCTGATGGAGGCCACGCAGCTGCTCGCCAGCGCCTGCGACCTGGTGAGGCTGGAGATCCTGCCGGCCAGCCAGGGCAGACTTCCCGCCAGGCCGCAGGACACGGGTACGTCCCCCGCAGGGCGCCGCCGCGTTAGGTCAAACAAACCCGGGTGCACTGCAAACAAGGGGGACGCAGGTACACGAGTTCAGACGGAGAAGAGCGGGGGGGGGAGAGAAGGGCAAAGACGATCAAACTTTTGGTTGTTTGGTTGAATTTTCCTTTTTGATCCATAAATCTTCCCATGGCGGGTTTCCTAGAGACCAAGCCGTCAAAAAATGACCGTCCGTCGGTGGTTCAGACTCATCTGCTGGGGGGGCTCCTCGCCGCGAGCAGCTTCTCTTTTTATTACTCAAGCCGCTTCTTCTTCTTCTTTTGGTTTACCGATTTATTTTTACATACATGCATGCGTTCATTTATCCCAAGTGAGGAAATGCACAATAATCCCACCGTGACTGTGAAACACTCGATCTGCATTTTACACTTGTTGTTGCCAACGCGAGAGAGAGAGAGAGACGCACGCACGCACGTCATGTGAAACGACAGCATCTCGTCTTCTGGCATTTCCTTTTTCTAACGATCCCCTCCTTGAATTAGGCGCCGTGACGTTGTGATAATGTGATATTTTCACAGCGCTCCCCCCCTCCTCCTCCTCCCCCGGGGATAAGGCGTGATTATAAGATGCAATTTGTCTAATCTGCTTTGGGGATTTAATAAGACTGATATGGCTACCGAGAGATTAGCGGCTAATGTTTCTCTCTCCGCCGGCGTCGATCAAAAAGCACCATTTTCACGGAGAGGCCCCGCCCCCCCCCCCCAGGTGAGCTTAGCATAAGCCGTCAGGGCCGAGGCCTCGCAGGTCCGATCGAGTGCGATGGAGGCCTGTTTCTTCCTGCCGGTGTTGTGATTGCATGCGGTTGGATTTAACCAGGCTTCCTGTGAACGCGGCCCGGCGTCTTAGTCCTCGCCGTTTGCGGCAAATCCTCGGTCCGTGTGAGCGAGTCGTTGGGGGATTAGACGCGAACGAAGCGGCGAGGATTACTGTCACGTGCGACGCTCTTCCACAATTTCCTCTGCGCCAATCTGCAAAGGAGAGTTAATTAACGCGAGGTGGCCGTCACGCAGGAGGTCACCCGCTCCGAGCGCTTCGGCGGCGGCGTTTGTCGACGGGTGCGGTGAGACGCCTTCGGGAAAGTGTGTTTTCGACAGAAGTGAGCTTGACACGCGGGATCAAATCAAAGCCCCGTTTTGGACCGAAACCCGTCAATGCCAATCAAGTGCAGGGACGCCTCCTCGGGGTCGAGCAATCAGGCTTTCAGCTGCGCCCAATCAGGCCCCACCCCCGCCCGCCCCGAGGGCCTCCTGCTGCACACTGTGACATCACGGCGCCCAGCGGGGAAGCTCGCTCACACGCTGCCTCTCTCTGGAAAAGTTAACTCGTAAAGATGATCTCCAGTTTGCACTTTGCGTTTTGGAGGCTCGCTGGTAAAAGTAAGACGTCTTTTTTTTTTTTTTTAGGGGCACAACATCCCGTCCGTCCAATTCCGCTGTGTGTGTCTCACTGATTATCAGCAGAGTACATTAAACCGCAGGATTTAATCTAGTGTACCGCGACGAAAAGAAACATTAAATATCAATTACTGCGCTGTGAAACGGTCCTCGGGGGGGCACGAATTTAGCCACAGGAATGAAAGCGTGACTTCTCGAGTTCAGGCGCGATGTGGTTGACTTTGTGGACGTGTTTGGCCTCCTGCAGTAAAAGTGCAGAAGAGCAACCATCACCACTGGGACCAGGGCACCAACTACTGCCACCCCCCCCACGGCAGCCACGGCAAGACATGGAGCAGCCCGAGCCACCCACACAACCAGCAGGACCACTGCAAGCGTAAGTCATCACGAGTGACAGCGGCGCCGCAGCAGGGATTGTTAACCCCCCCCCCCAAGAGGGTTACTCCACCACGGGTCTTTTTTCCCCTTTCTTCTTGGATGCCCCCCCCCCCCCCCCCTCCTCCCCGGAGCAGGACACGTGTGATGTGAACACAGAAGGAAAGACGTGGTGAAATGTTTTTTTTGCCTCCTGTGCAGCGGCGGCGGCGGCGGCGGGGGCGGCGAGCGGGGGCTTCTCCCCCTCCTCCACGGCCACCTCGGGCTTCAGCAGCCAGGGGAGCAGCACGCTGCCCTGCCCCGTCCCTCCGGTGGCCCCCACCAGCCCGCGGGGCTCCACGGCCAAGAGGAGGAACAGGAAGAAGGACCACAAGAGCTCACGTACGCCTCTTCTGCCAAATCGACCTTTTTCCATTAGATGGTTTTCACATAGACTGAATTAAGCCAAATAAGAAGTCAATGATAAACTGAGAGTTTGAGGAAATTATTCGTGTCTTAAGGTCGAAGGGACCGATTTAAAAAATACACATCTTTCTTCATACCTTTTTTTTTTTTTTTTTTTTTTAAATGTCCATTTTGGCAATTGAACCTTTTCACATCCAAACGCAGTGAAACAGTGTTTTGGGTTCATCTTTATATTTAAATTAGTGGCCTAGTTTCTGAGGCACCGGTGGCACGAACGAGGCTCCACGTCGCTCATAAAGCCACAAACATTTAAGCAGTTTTGCGTAGGAAGTAATTTCCTTCATTTCACCGTTTGCGGGTGAAGCTGCTCACAGTGCGTTTGGTGGATTATCTCGAGTAACGAGGTCATACTTTGAGTTTTTTTTTTTCTTTTTGGAGCGTCATAACCACAAGCCGAGGGCGTCGTGTTCACTCGTTGCTCCCTTTTGAACTGGAGGTCGTCGCTCTATTTGGTGGTTAGGGGTCACTGTCAAAAAACATTGTGTCCATTTTGTCTAATTATGACACGCTCACAAACCTAAAGTTTCCCGGAATCGTAGACCGTCTGCAGGGAGGATTTATTCGTCTTCGCCTCAGCTGCGCTTTGGCAACTGCTTCCGTGCTGTCATGCAAAAGCAAGACGACACCATATTTAACCTTCTTCTCCAAAACCCGAGCGTCGTCAACGCCGGACGTCTCTGAGAAGTGACTCATTGTCGTCTCCGTGGGTGCACGTCTCTTCCACTTACCCTCCTCCACTTTTCCTTTTTTTTTTCTTCTTCCTTTTTGTGTCCCAGTGTCTCTGGTGTCCAGCTCTGTCGGCCCCGGGGGGCAGGTTTTCCACGTGGAGACGAGCGAGGTCTTCCTGAGGGGGGATCCGCTCACGGGTTTCGGGATCCAGCTGCAGGGGGGCGTCTTCGCCACGGAGACGCTGTCCGCTCCCCCGGTCATCCGCTTCATCGAGCCCGACAGCCCGGCTGAGAGGTAACGCACCAAAGACACCCGGCGAGGGGACGGGCCGTCGCGCCGGGCGTCTCCACCCTAACGACGTAACGCGGGCGCCAAACTCTTAATGAGGGACAATTATTATCTGTGATCAGCTCCTGCTGCTGATTTTAACAGCTGACCCCATAATATGTCTCTTGGACGGGGTTTGAGATGTTGAGATGAAGCTGTTTTATATAATTTTATTCCTCCACAAAAGCATTAAACGTATCAAACGACCAGCTCCTTGATGGGTGTCGGATCCGGTCGGCGTCGGTTTGCGGGCCGGTGTGTTGCGTCCTTCCTTTGTCCCGTGAGTTTAAAGGCGGTTCGTGTTGCCGATCCGTCCCCCCCGTCCCCAGCAGCGGTTGGACCGGCGCTGTGATGACGCGTCTCATCCTCCCCACGAGGTTAATGAGCAGTGATGTTGATGCAGTTAACATCACGTGACAGCGCCTGCGCTTCTAATCAGGGCTCTGATTTTGAATGTGTGATATTTAGTGTTTATTTTTTAATTGTCTGAAGAGTTCTCGCTTTGTGGAGGTGTTTTTCTTGCAAGTAAGTGTTGAGCGTGTTCATGTCCAGTCCCGGAGGCCCGGACGGGTTAAAGGTGACCTCCTAAACATTGTTCACCTGAGTGGGTCAAATGTGACATTTCTTCTTCATTCTATTCAATGCAACAATAAGGAGTTTATTTAATTTTTCCACCACATTTCTGTCATCCAGGGTAAACCGAATAACAAACGCCTGTGTGGACTATAATCTTCATTATTTAATCCAGATCGGATGCATTAGGTTGTGTACCTAATGAACTTTAATGTATATTATTTGTTTCTAAAGAAAAAGTGCCAGACTAAGTTCAAGATGTTACGTTGGGTTCTAAAAAATATCAATGGGCGTTTTTCCATTGTTGTCCAGCGGGAAAATAACCAACACAGTATTGATCCTAATTCAAATAATCGTTTGTTGCAGCTCAAGTTGAGACGTGATGCATTTAATTTGTTGCTTATTCAGCTTCTTTCTAGATAACAAGATGCTTTTTTGTTTAATATTTTTTATGATTCTCTTCCATTTGTCTTTTTTTTTTCTATTATTATATGAAGTTGTGGGCTGCTGCAGGTTGGGGACAGACTTTTGTCCATCAACGGGATCCCCACTGAAGACGGCACTCTGGAAGAAGCCCACCAGCTGCTCCGGGACTCCGCTCTGGCCCACAAGGTCACAGTGGAGGTCGAGTTTGACGTTGCAGGTACGAGATTCTCCTACGAGTACGTTTGTATCCTTTCCACCTTTTTTTTCTCTAAGTCTGCTCCTCGTCGTCTATTTCCAGAGTCGGTGGTTCCCAGCAGCGGCACCTTCCACGTGAAGCTCCCCAAGAGGAGAGAGGTGGAGCTGGGCATCACCATCAGCGGTGGGTTGAGAGCAGCAGAGGGCAGTGATGCTCCACTAACCGGCACTCGCTGATTCTCCAAACGAACCAATGCTCTCTGATCCATTAAGCTGAAAGGCCACACAGCTCATTACCTCCTGAATAAACGGAGTCACTGGGCTAGTGGAACAAAATAAATGGGTGTTTAGTGCTTTTTTTTTAAAAAGATGCTTTTGTTCTCGTAAACATCCTGAAATTTAAAAAAAAAGTTCATTTTTATTTTGTTTCGCCAGCAAGTAAGAAACCCGGCAAGCCGCTCATCATCTCTGACATCCGCAAAGGGAGCATAGCACACAGGTATGTGGGCAACGCAGGGGGGGCTCCGTGTTGATGAGGGGGAGGCCGATGATTCCGGAGGAGGAGGAGGAGGAGGAGGAGGCCGCTGGATGGCTGAGGTCCTCTGGTCTCTTGTGTCCCCGGTAGAACAGGCACTCTGGAGCCCGGCGACCGGCTGCTGGCCATCGACAGCGTGCGCCTGGAGAACTGCACCATGGAGGACGCCATGCACTTCCTGCAGCAGGCCGAGGACATGGTCAAACTCCGGATCCAGAAGGACGAGGACAACATCGGTACATTGAACCCTCCCGACGTACACCGGCGGGGAAGTGAGACGGAGGGGAATGACTCATTTTATGGCGCCTGATCTTTCACACACACACACTCGTTTGTGTGTGAAACGAGCTTCTCCTTCCGCCTTATTTCAGAAAATATCAACGGCGAGAGACAATTATTCCTTGATCTTGTTTAAATTGGCCTGCGATTGGATTTTAAGGTCATTTTCACATCACATTTGAATCACATCTCTCGACTCTCGCCGTGCGACACCAAAAACCACCGTTAGCTCGGCTAGCCTGCTCGCTAACGCGATCTTACTGACTACAAAGGAGGTCTGATGGGGGTCCGCTGGGAGGGGTCGTAGTTTATGTCCACAGTCTCCGATAACCTTGAGTTGTTTGGCCGATGCATCCCGTCCGTCCCGTGTGCTTGCAGATGAGCTGGAGATGTCGGGCTCCGTTATCTACACGGTGGAGCTGAAGCGCTACAACGGACCTCTGGGCATCACCATCTCCGGCACGGAGGAGCCCTTCGACCCCATCGTCATTTCTGGCCTCACCAGAAAAGGCCTCGCAGAGAGGTGAGGGAATGCAGGGGGGGGAGGGACGCGGCACGGGTCGAGAGGGCAACGTGGCGGCGCGACGTAGGGAGGCCGCATTTAAAAACAAACAGGTGGTCGAACGGCGTCCGCCTGACGGGAGAGTCGGCGCGGTCTGGTGCACTCGGATAAATCTTCCCCTCTCTCTCTCTCTCCCCCGCAGGACCGGGGCCATCCACATAGGGGACCGAGTCCTGGCCATCAACGGGGTCAGTCTGAAGGGAAAGCCGCTGAGCGAGGCCATCCACCTGCTGCAGGTGGCCGGGGAGTCCGTCACCCTCAAGATAAAGAAACGAGCCGACCGTAGGTGTCGTGTGTGTGTGTGTGTGTGTGTGAGACGGAACGAGGTCATCAAATGAACAAGGCGACTCGGTGCTCGTTTTCAATGTGGCCTTGTCCCGGTTCCAAAGAGTCGGACGGCCGGCGGCCCGCGGGCCGAGAGGGGGGCTTCTCAAGCGACCCGGACGACGACCTCGCCGACTCGCAGAAGACCGGCAGGCACCCGGCGGCGTACTCGGCCGCCGTGCCCAGCGTCGACTCCGCCGTGAGCTCCTGGGACAGCTCGGGGTTTGACGCGGGCTACGTCAGCCAAGGTGAGGCCCCGCCTCCCGGGCTCCACAAACGACCCGTTTCCTGTCCCGCATACGATGAGGTGTGTTTTCGTGCTTCTTCAGGGGCGTATCTCCACAAAGCGTCCGACGTGTTGTTCAACCCGAACGATTGGCGACGCGCGAATCCCAGGAGCCAAACCGGCGGCGGCGGTCTGGTCCACCGGGCGCCGCTGTACGACGGGAGATTCAGCGAGGACGAGTGGGACAAGATACCCGGGTGAGCGCCTCCTTCCTGTCGCCATCTTGATCCAAGTTTTTAAATCATCACGTCATTTAAATCATATTCTGTTGGAAGTAAAAACGGGTGTTTTATGTGCTTGGACTTTTTATGCTTTATTTTTACTCCCATCACATATTTGACAATATAGTTATAAATAAACACACACATTATGGTTTATGACTCCCGACATTTGGGAGCCCTTGTCGGGTTTCAGATGTCTGTTAAGTCGTTGGTAAAGAAAAGTTATTGTTTCATTTAAAGTGACTGTGAGGAACTTTTAACTGGTTTGTACAAGATCATGGATTGGATGGAAAATCATTCAACACTTATTTGAGTTCCTTTATAGTAACTTTAAACTGTCTGGATTCTTTTCAGTTCATTCTATGTCGTGTGCTTTCATGTTTTGTCCTCTTCTCTTTTCTCAGGTATTCTCTCTCTCATCTGCTTTACTAACTGCCCACGAGCTCTTTGGTGTTTCACATTGACGCATCTTTTTCTGTCACCCCTTGTGTCCACAACAAAAACATTTCCACAAAAATAAAAGCACCCGAGGATGCATCAGCCGTATCTTGTATTTTTTTTTTTTTCAATTTTCCATCTTCTTGTGTTGGTGGGCGACGTCGCTTTTGTAAAACTCTTTTTTTTTTTTAAAGCTTTATCCAATCTAGACGTCTCCGGAAGCCGCTTCACCGCAAGTAAAAAAAAAAAAAGGAAAATAAACAAAACTCAAAGTGGTCCAGAGAGACTTTGCGAAGGGATCCATCAGCCGGCCGCATTTCCCCGCGCTGCCTTTTTTGGGAAAAGCAGCCCCCGGCCACGAGAACCTTCAGGGCCGCTCTCATGTTCTGGTTCCTGCGTTGTCATAGATTCGTCAGCCCCCCTCGTTGCCATGGCACCCTGAACCAGGAAGACGGCTTCTGGTCCCAGGCTCTGCAGGACCTGGAGACCTGCGGCCAGTCGGAGATCCTCAGGGAGCTGGAGGTAGGCCGACCCCCCCCCCCCAACCCCTCCCCGCCATCTGGCGTGGTGCCACTCGTGCATGAATGACCACGGCAGATGAAGCATTATGATAATCGCTGCTGTATAATCTGATATTAAATCTGACAAGGTGGGCCGGCTCCCTGCTGCCACGCTGACGGGGGCTTAATCGGGCTGCGTGCACGCCCGCGTTGGGACGCCCCCGTGTGACCCCCCTTCTGATCCTGTGCTCCTCCAGGCGTCCATGACGGGGAGCGCGCTCAGTCTGTACCTCGAGGAAACCAAGACCAACGACGACTCCATGTTTCAGCCCGAGATCAGTCCCGTCAAGAGGGAGGGGCTCAGCGAGCTCGACGGCAACCTGAACGTGACGCCCGGAGGCGGGGACGCGCCGTCCCGGGGACGGGGGGACGCCTCCGGCATCTCGTCCCCCAGCGCTCTGGCCCTGCACAAGGTAGTTCTGATGCTGATTGGGATCTGCTCCGGTGGCTTCGGGGGAACGAGGTGACACTGGTGCGGTAATCTTTTTAAACGGGGACGTCCCCCGGTGGAAAGGTCGTACCCGCGCACGTCTTTTTGTTGGACTGTTCCGGTGTAACTGGACCCAGCGGACACCCGGCCAGTCAGGCCTTGGGGTTTGTGTGTGTGTGATTAGTTAGCTTCCTCTCCTTGGCGCCACGCGGGCTCGCCGTGTGTCCGGTACAGTGACCGGCGGACCGGGCTGAGACTCTATAATGGAACGTGTCATCGTCCCGCAGCTTAAACCTGGTGAATGTTTTGGCTTTACACAACTTGATGATCTCATGGAAAGTCACAGGCTCTTTTTTTTTTTTCTTGTTTTTAAAGCTTGTTTCTTGTTGAACCACGAGACGCGGTTACAGCTTCAATAAATCAAAAGAGAAACCGATGACCCGGAGAGATGTGTCTCTGAAGACTATTTGGTATAAACAGACAGTGGACACAATAAGCAACGTGTATGCGTGTTAATAAGTAAGTCTTTATGCTAAGCTAACTGGCTCCACATTGAATGATGAGGGTGGTTTCCTTCTCATCTCTAGCAGGGTCTAATTGTACTAAACGGATATCTCGCCCGTCATCTTTCGGTCACTTTATTAAGGACCTGACCGGTGTCACTGAGGTCGCCCGTGTTCGCAGGTGACGATGCGGAAGGACGTGGAGAGCCGTGACTTTGGGTTCAGTGTGTCCGACGGGCTCCTGGAGAAAGGTGTTTACGTCAACATGATCCGCCCCGAGGGCCCCGCAGACCAGGGGGGGTTGAAACCCTTCGACCGGATTCTCCAGGTACGCCGTGAAAAGGACTTCGTACTTTGGGAGATTTGCTTGTTGGCTTAACATTGGGAAAAAAAACGCCCTCGACAATTTAAACATTTGTAGAAATCTTCCTGTTACTAATCAAAAATTGTAATCTACATCTCAACCGCCAACCTGCTCCCCTGCAGATTAAATGTATATGTAGCGTATATTAATCTATATATAGATATTTTGTTTTATCTTCTATCTGCTCACCATCATTGCTTTATGGGGGAAAATGTAAAACAATGCTGTTTTGAAATAGAAACTCTCCTCCCCAGGTGAACCGGGTCCGGACCCGGGACCTGGACTGTTGTCTCACGGTGCCTCTGATCATGGAGGCGGGCCACGTCCTGGACTTGGTCATTAGCAGGAACCCCCTGGCGGCGCCAGACGACTGCGACGACCACTTGAACTCACTGTTCTGCTTCCCGGAGCACAGGACCAACGGCGTCGCCCTGTGACCCCCCTCCCCCCCCCAGCTCCCCGGGACACACACACACACACACACACTCTGGTTACGTCTGTCATGGTGACTCTCTGACAGGCCGCCACGCTCACGCAGAGCATCCTCCCATAAACGCCCCCGAAGCGACAAAGTGCACACGTGCTGCCGCCGTTTTAGTCACTGTGTTCACAAAGAGGCAGACCCCACCCTCCTGCCTTTGCAGAGCCACATGTAGGGTTATATAAGAAGGAGTCATAGCTTCTGCCTGAGCCAGGATGTCAACGCTAACGCCTCAGAGTCCAATGCTGCGCGCGCACACACACACACACACACACACACATGCACACTCTGCACAAATGTGTCCTTTGCTTGATGCTCATTTGGCAAAGGACACTTTTTTTTTTTTTTTTTTTTCTTTTTTACACACAAAATTGGACATGCAATTCTTGATATGTATATGAAACACACGTATGTACACGCAGGTTGTTGGTGGACTCGAGGTCCAGGGAGCTTTGTGCATAATTGCGGTTTTCAGAATAGGCCGACCTGCTCTCTGCATTCCTTCACCGCATACGACCAGGAGCTCTTGTGAAGTCGCCCCCTTTTTAATAGTTTGTGGTTAATTGTTCCACAGAGAGTCCGGATGTATGTCGCATTTTCAGGTTTCGTTTTTCACTTTCTGCACGTTTCTTTCTAAAACTCCATTTGCACATGTTGCACAATTGTTTTTGTTTTTTGTCACAGTTCATAACTCACTTTTTCCTCCCCCCGTTGCACTGTTTTTATCTGCACGGCATCTCACGCGGCATTACACCGGAATGACTTATGGTTTGGCAAGTGAATGCATCCTGAACCAAACGGGAGGATTAAATGCCTTTTTCAATGTTCACTGGTGAATGATGTTGTTTTCGTGTGTCTGGGCCGATGTTTCTCTCTGGAGTATTTTCCCCTCCGACGTCACGTAGCATGCTTAGGGTTTGTCTTCGGAAAGTAGTTCTTCCTTTATAATAAAACTGAACCGGGAGTCTTTGTTTTCCTCATGTGTTTTTATAAAGCTTTTGTGAGTGAAACCTGTCCTGCTGCCTCTCTGGAAACCAGGAGACGGATGTGAGACGGTTCCTCTGTGGAGCAGGCTGATTCATCCTTGGGGCCAGTAACCTTTTGTCTTAAATTAAATGTCATGTTGGGAAAAGAAGCCTATTTTAAGGCTTTTTATATATATATATTAATATACTGTCTTTATCTAGCTGTATCATGGTATGCAGTGATTTTTTTTAATTTGCAATAAAAGCACATTTAGCGTCATATCTTTGTAAGTTGTGTGATACTGAATGTGGCCGCAAATAGTTTGGTTCATTTCCACATTCTCAGTAAATGACAGGATTTTTTTGACTGGAATCTCAACGATTTATTGGATATATTTTATTTTTGTTATTTAATTTATTATCAACCAAAATGTATTTCTTATGAGAATAAAGTTCATGAAACCATAGTTTCTCGTTAATGTTTTATTTGGCTCTCGCCACTTCAGGTCAACATTAAATTTGTCCAAATGTTTAGATTATAAGTGATTAGAAACACCAGCGACTTTCCTCTTTTATTCTAATGATTTCGGCCTCCAAATTTAAATTTCAATCACATGATATATCTAAGAGGAAAAACATCATTTTGGGAATAATACAGCAAGACACGATCCAAAGAGACAAATGTTTATTTGTAATCTATATGAATCTATAAGAAATGATGCAATGTGCATCTCAAAGGGGGCGACTGTGCAAGAAATACTTTGGTACACTTGAATCCCCAAGATTTGAACAGACAAAGCAGCGCGGCGCCGTGGTGGCTACTGCACATGCTTCAGAATTTTCTGTGCAAGTTGATGAATTATTGAACAATATTCTAAAGTTGATGGTGCATTGAGCGAGCGGAGGGTGCCATCATTGCTTCAATGAATAATACACGCTGAAAAATCCTGGCTCGTAATTAGTATTTAGTAAAGTGGTGATGGTGTTCACGTGATGTACAGTATAAAATTGTTACAAAAAGGCATATGTGATTTACAAACAATTCAAATTCTACATTATAAATCCCTAAACCGAACATAAGAAACTAGAATCCAGTGGTAGTTCTGCAGAGCGCATCTGCTATAGATGTTCAGAAAAATGTTTTTACTTTTAAAGTGATCTACTCAGATTCTCCTAAGAACATTTGATTTCTACTCCATTTCGTCATTGTCCAAGCACGTAGACAACTAGATACTGTATATCAAAGTTCACAATATCAAAAAGTTAGAAACTAAAAATATTTCCTCCTCAAATGTGCTGCAAATGCAACTCCGCATAGCCTCCGACAATCAAAACAAATACTACAATAAAAGGTGGAACAACATATAAAGTGCAAAGAGAGGTTTCAATAAATGCACTGGGACTGACTATAGTAGTCACGCAGGCTGTGTACAAATACTCTAAAAATGCCACTTCCCTTTTCTCCGTACTTCTTCTTTTTCTGGTTTCTGAGGATGGATCTCATTTTGGATGGACGCATTTCTCACAGTATTTGGCCAAGGCCTCATTCAACGAGTTACTTAAAGGGATGTCAAGCAAAGATGAACTCTTTTCCACTCAACCTGTTACAGATTCTTACTCTGAGAGACGCGGGCGGCTCGCATACATTCATTTTCACTGCAGGGGGGGGGGGGACCACCACCAACAACAACAACAAATTAGTAGTTAGCGCAGGCAACGACAATCACGCAAAGGTGTCGAGACGTCGTCTACCTTTTACGCGGTTAATTGCTCGTTTAGTTTAGTACATTTATGTGAAATAAGAATTTCTTCTATTACACAACAACAACAAAAAAAAAAAGCAAATTCCTCATCTCTTCTCCGGAATCAACAGAATCGTAGTAAACATTGAATATTTTCTATCTCAAAATACTAAAAGACTGAGATCAGTGCCAACTACAGCAATAATAATTGTAATATCAACAATATCAATATAGCAAAAAAATAAAAAAAAACATTACAACAATATTATATAACTCTTCGTAGAAATCAAACCAGAGTATCTCCGACGTGAACATATTTGCTGATGGGAACCTTCCGTTAGCGGACATGATAACGCGGAAAAGCACATCGATCGTATTCCTCTCACAGAGAGCGCTCACATCGTCGTTTCCACGATGGTGTGGGTGGGCTTCGCCGAGCCGCTGTTCCCGTTGGGGTTCAGGGGCAGCGTCGGCTCTTCGCCCTTCACGTCGTACTCTTTCGGGCGGGAGCTCACGCCCGACTTCGCCGGCGCCGCCACTGCTTTTATCCTCTGAGGGAAGAGCGGGAGGAGGGATTAGAGGGATCAGTCGCAAACAGCTGCATTACGTTGCATCTGTAGCTGCGCATGCGCGGGAAAGACAGGAAGAAAAATCACGCCCTTTTGATTTAACGCGAGGAGGCGCCAGATAGGCGGCTAACGCTACAACCAGCCGACGTTAGCTTAGCTTAGCATAACAATGAAAGGGAAACGATTATTTAACTTAATTTCAGGGGGAACAAATGATAAAAAGCAACTGTTAAGTGTTAACTGTTAAGTGTAATGAGCTAATGTTCGCTAATATTAGCAAATAAACAATTCTTTGTGTGATTAGGAACATGTATTGCCAAAATATACGAGGAATTTGACATGGCGGTAGGCGCATGACATCAGACAGTAAGACAATGGACAACAAGAAAGATAAGACAACATAGTGCAAGAAAATGGCATGTTAAATTTACAAATTAACAAATGAACTACGGATTAGGATATGGACTAGCGGAATATAGAATAGACCATTAAAAGAATTACAGTTTTTTCTTCACTGTTTACCTTCTGCAGTACAAATAGACGTTAGCTAGTAATGCTACAGAAAAGTCGCCTGCTGCCGTCTTCCTCCTCAAAGGTTCATTGTGTGACTCCTTCACACTTCACACCGATTAAACAAACACAACAGAAAGTCAAGTCGCTGGTTTTTGGATCACATCAGGCTAGCTCGTTAAGCTAAGCTAACCTCCTGGATTGCCTAGCAGGGTACCGGTTCAGCCAACTCACGGCAAAAAAGCCAATAAATGCATTTTCCGCAAATCTTATGTCTCTCTCAAAAGTACGGAAAGGACGGCGCTCACCTCGACCAGGGATCCCTCTGACTGTAGGATCTTGATGACCATCACCATGGGGATGCAGATCATGGAGGACAGGGCCAAAACCCAGCCGATACCGATGGCCCAGTCGGGGTACTCGTACACCTTGTTGTAGGTCAACGGCTTGTACTTCACCAGGGAGAAGACGAAGCAGCCCTGGCGGAACAAACAACAAGCTTACGTTAGCACGGCGGCGGTTTCACAACGTGTCACGTCCGAGGCATCAAGAGGGGACGCGACGGAAGCCCGAGGTTGGTCCCTCACCATGCAGAGGATGGGAGTGATCCAGGTCCAGCTCAATTTCATCCACGCGTTGGGTCTGTAGCCGATCATGTCCTCGACGCCATCGTAGAAATTATCCACGCCTGCCCAAAACAAACACGCGACTGTTATGTAAGTATGAGCAGCGCCGGCTTCTTCGGGCCACCATTCATCCTCCCTCAGTGTTTACTGTAGCCAACCTGCTGAGGGACTAAAGATGAAGCGCGGAGGAGCTCCTCCGCGATGCTTCTACGAGCACTTGTAAGCATAATGAAAACAGTTTGAAGAAGTCTAGGACAGCGTTTCCCAGCTGTTTCCACTCTTAATAGGTTGCGCGTGTCGGTCGGCAGTGAGCACTTGAACCCAGGAGGGTTTTTCCCTTCTGTGGTTCTTTGTTTTAATCATTTTTTAGAGCCCAGAAGAAGTCGAATTCCTCAGTATTTCACATCAAAGAAGCTAATATTGACTGATCTTATTTGTGTTTCATCTCTTCAAATATCTCTTGATATATTGATGACTAGATAAACAACATTTCAACAAGCAATAAGCAACCTGCATCTTTGATTTGATTTGATTTGTATGGAAGAACAGCCTGTTTATGAATTGGAGTACATTGTAAGTATATTATATATAATATTAATTGTGGCACATTTGGCAGAAGTTTACACAATAATTCAGCGTTCTGATTGGGCCTTTATTTTCTTCCTGCATTATTAACACAAGGGCATAATCTGTTGGGAGGCAACCTGTGGATAACCAATAAGAATCCCCCCGCTGCCACACTCCTCCTTACGGTTGATTTAGTTAATTTACTGCTGACGTGGGAGGAACCACAAGGGCACCTTTGTTTACCGCTTTCTTTTTCTGGTTAGTTTTCTTTCTCAAGGACCGTTTTCGTTGAAACTTACCATAAACCCAGGCTACAGCGATGCATTCAAAGAACGCCACCCACAGAAGGCACACACCGCTGGCGGCGTAGTAGTCGAAGAGTTGAAACACGTACATGCCGCCCTGGAAAAGCGAAGAGAAAGGGAGGAAAAACACATCAATTACCTCGCCGGGGGCGTCGAGCAGAAGGGAGGCACACGGGGTGGACGTGGGTGCTGGAGCAGAGTGGGTGGAGGGCGGTTGGCCCCCCACCAACAAAGGCAGAGTTCAACAGGTGTTAAGGCGCCATTGAAGGCTGGATAACTTCTAAACGGAAAACGGCGTTGCGAATTTGTTCCATTCACACACACACACACACACGCACAAACACACATGGATTGAAGGCCATATTTGGTCGTGGCATAAGAGGGTGGAAAGTCAACGGCTTATCTGTGCCGTTGATCCAAACAGGCCGACTCCTGTCGAGGGAGGGGGTGGGGGGGGGACTTACTTTGGTTACCATGGCGAGCCCCAGCAGATAGCTCATGGAGCACATGAACGCGATGAACATCTCCCGGCGGTAGCCCTTCCGCAGGACCTCCGGGTACAGATCCACAATGGAGGTGATCTGTCCTTCCACTTCAACAAACTGTGGGGGGACAAAAGCATCTATTAAGTTCTCAGAGTGGGGGGAGGAGAGGACGGGTTGGGGGGTGAAGAAGGTTTATCTCCGTGTTTCCATGCAGCTCTTGTTTTGCCTCCACAAACCAGCGGTCACAGAATGAGCGGTCACAGAATGAGGTCTTTGTCGAGCCGGAATGAGGATTCAAGCGGAGCTTCTTTCCCGCTTTGACACGACGGAGACAAAACAACAGCGCGTCACTGTCTCCGTCTGCCCGTCTCTCTCCCGCTGCCCTGTGTCTCCGCGCCACATAACGTCTGAACAGAACACGCTTCTTTGTTAAAGCAAACAAACAGCCCCTGACGTAGCAGCGGCATGCGTGTGTGTGTGTGTGTGTGTGAGCGATGTCGACGATATGCGCCGTCCGGGACCAGAAGTCTTCATGAAACGTAAGGTCACGAAATGCACCCACGCAAACTGTAACTTCCCTCATGAAAATAGCCCCGTGGACGTACACGTGCTCAAAGTCGGGGGCTGATTTCGCAGTTGGCCGAGACGTGCGCCGGACTGAGTTAGCACAAGAGTAGAATTACACTTGGGGGGCAGGAAATGTGACACGACCAGCGAATCCCTCTGGCTCACACTTGTGTTTTGTCAACGCAGATGATCTCGTATTAATCAAAGCTCCGCTTCCTACCAGAGCTGGAAATTGCAATGACTCCTGCTAACTAAATGTTGGGCTTCTGACTGGGTCACCGGGGGCAGTAATCGGAACATAATTCTCATAAGTGGTGTAGTGTGATAGCGAGAGGCCCTTTGTGGGGACGGCAGCTTCAAATGTCATGTGATACCTCGGAGACGTTAGATGTGGATCAGAGAGACGCCGAAATGTGTTTTACGCATCGGCCAACTAACCCACGGGACATGGGAGGTGCCCACGGGACATGGGAGGTGCCCACAGGACATGGGAGGTGCCCACGGGACATGGGAGGTGCCCACGGGACATGGGAGGTGCCCACGGGACATGGGAGGTGCCCACGGGACCTGGGAGGTACCCACGGGACATGGGAGGTGTCCACGGGACCTGGGAGGTGCCCACAGGACATGGGAGGTGCCCACGGGACCTGGGAGGTGCACACGGGACATGGGAGGTGCCCACGGGACCTGGGAGGTGTCGACAGGACATGGGAGGTACCCACGGGACATGGGAGGTGCCCACGGGACCTGGGAGGTGTCGACAGGACATGGGAGGTACCCACGGGACATGGGAGGTGTCCACAGGACATGGGAGGTGCCCACGGGACATGGGAGGTGCCCACAGGACATGGAAGGTGCCCACGGGACAACGTTTTGACGGTGGGGGTACCGACCTGGCTGTCGAGGCCCAGCAGCAGCAGCATGATGAAGAAGAGGACGGCCCAGAGGGTCGGCATCGGCATCATGGACACGGCTTTGGGGTAGGCGATGAAGGCCAGACCGGGACCTGGAGGGAGGACACAGCGGGGACGGGGGGGAGAAGGGGAGGAGGACGGGATTAGTATTTCCGACATCTGATTTACAGCTTGGACGACATAAAGGGGCTTGAAAAAACAGAGCGAGAGAAGTCGAGCCACGGTGAATTTAGATTAATACCATTTAAAGACGTGTTTATTCTTTGTTGGCTCAGAATAAAGTGTTTCGTGCTCCAGTGTCCCGTATTCGTTAACTTGCAGGAACTGTCTTTTACATCGTGCATCGGACATAGTTGCACACTGTACTGAACGTTAGACACAGAGACCATCTCACTGCACATTCCATTAGATCCTGTTCATGCAGCTGCTTCACATGTGAGTCACATTTAACTCCTAATGCTCTGCCACGGTTTGCCTCATCGGACCCTGAGCTGCATCTCTTAAACTTACTGCGAGCGCCGACAATAAAATCTGGAATCTGAGCTCAACAAAGCAGGCGAGCAAAGCCACGAAACACACCGACAGGATAATAATAATAATAGCAGTCACATTAACCAGTGCCCCCATTAAACAGCTGAGCAAAATGTTCAGTTATTTCTACATTAAAACCGACGGATTTAGTTTAATTCGAAAGTGAACGGAGCGAGAAAGCGGAAAAAGAAGACACATAGGGTGTAAAAGGAAGACGGGGAACAGGACCTGTGGCGTCCCTGTGGCTCACCGAGCCGTGCTGCCGGCCTGACAGATCAGCACCCGGGCTGCCGGTCTTCTGATCGACGCAACTAAGAAAACGGCGAGAGCCAGTTGCTCCTGATGGAGGAGCTCTTTGACCCCCCGCGGCTCATTGCGCGGCCAAACCACCGCCGACGTGACTTCTGCTGCTCCTCTGCGGCTTTAAAACGAGGAGTGTGCCACGGCCGACACCTCTACAGGTCAGCATCATCGTTTTCCCCACGTTTAAAACCCCCGGCTCCTTTTTTTTTGGCTTGTTTTCGTTTTTGGCAACAGCGCCCCACCATCGCTGCTGCCGTCACCTCGGACCCTCGTACCTGACTCTGCCACATCGGCAATGTCCACCCCTTGTTCTTGTGCCATGAAGCCCAGGACGGAAAATATTGCGAAGCCAGACACAAAGCTGGTACCGCTGTTGAGGCCTCCCAGCAGCAAACAGTCCCTATGTCACACATATGTCATGGGGGGGGGTTTTAAATGAACACAGGCGGAACCGGAAGTTCCCATTTTCTTTTCACGCATTCGTTTCGCACACCAGTGGCTGTCATTACTACAGTGCCCCCCCCCCCCGCCCCCGCGCCCCCCCCAGCGGAAGCTCGACTCACCTGTAGCAGTTGTATTTGTACTTGTTGTAGCTCCCCAGCGATGTCATGGCTCCCAGGCAAATGGCGTAGGAGAAGAAAATCTGGGTTCCCGCATCGATCCACACCTGAGGAGACAGAGGCAAGAGGAGCAGATGAGCTCGACCTGTTGGGAAATACTTTTATATTTTAAGGAACATGCACAGCGCGGTTACACGTGTTACCTCTTTTGGATTGTAATGCATTCGTTAAGTTGCCTTTATTTTGGTTATTTCTCATGAACACATGCTTTTATTTTGAAAAGGCAAAAAACACGAAATACGAGAATAAAGTTTAGTGTACTTTCTGCCTTTCTGTTTGTTTGATTTCTCTTTAGCTCGTTTGTTGAAGTCAATGGAAAACAGAATAACCGCCATTAGATCATCAGTCCACCGTCATCTCCGATATGAGACATCGAGACGGAAACATTTTATTACACATTCAATGTTTTTCTGTCCACTTAGGAGGAAACAAGTTGTGAACACAGACGCCACCCGTTGAAGGCTTTGGCCTGTTAAACTGTAGAAGATTTGGGTTGTTGAAGAGAGAATCGAGCAAGAGAACGCCAAAGTAAAAAGAAAAAATCCAACGGAAAAACACAAGCCAGCGTTTGCAACTGCTTTTCAACGAAAGCACGCAAAGCAAGTCGGCAACACCGACAAGCCTCCAACACGAGCCACTTCCCCACCAAATCATCATTATGAACGTAAACAACACAGATCCCAACTCAGCCGAAACCGACCCCAAAGAGAACCCGTGAGCCGGAACAGAGCCGAGGAGAGTCAGAGTCCTCTGAGGGTGCGTGGGAACACACATGAGTAACAACGTGGCCCATTTCCAACGATGGCAACTCCCTTAATTAAAAAGTTCCCGAATGCAATAAAAGCCAAGCACCATTTCCACATCGGCACAAGGAGCAAAATAGAAAGTATTAAAGCGTAGGAGTGTCGACGTGGTGCTGCGTCATTGCTTTTGTCTGAATCAACGCGCGGCGTGTTGTTTTCAACTGCAGATCCAAATATGATGTTAATCCAATCCTTCGTGATAAATTATGTCGTATTTTTGAACAAATTTTGAACTACTGAGGCTGACGTCACTTCAACCTCCATCTGTTAAATGGACGTTTTTTACACTTCCTTTGCAAAGATTACCAGATGATGATCTCAGTGCGATTTAAGGATGCCGGTAGGTGGATTTCAGACAGAGCCACACGAGCTACTTCCAGTTGTTATGCTAAGCTAACCGGCTGCCACCTCTAGTTTCCTATTTAGGAAAAATCCAATTTCTCATTTAACTCTCAGCAAGTAGAATAAGTCGGGGTTCTTAGATATTTAATTTACCCACTTGTGAGCAACTGCCCTTTTCTGACAAATGCATATGGCTTTTATTTCTTAGAATCTCTTAAACGTGTGTGAACTTGTAGGCCTCATGCCTGCAGCACTTCAGAGCAGTTCGGTGACTCACCTCAGGGTCCTGCAGGCGAGTCAGGTTGGGGTAAAGGTAGAATTTGATGCCTTCGGATGCCCCGGGCAGCGTCACTCCTCGCACCAACAGCACGATTAGCATCACAAAGGGGAAGGTTGCCGTTACGTACACCACCTAGACGGGACAGCGGGCGGACGAGCCCAAAGGACTCATCAGGAGAGGACTTGACTCATCTTTCAGAGAATTCATGTTCCTGCTGAATAACTATGAGGTGGGGTTAGTGAACTGGCGTAAACACGGCAAGCGACAATAAGGGGAAAAGGGCGCAGTTTACTCCACAAAACAAAAGATTTTAAGTGACTTTTTTAGTAATTTTTACTCCATGAACATTTATAGGATCCTCAACTGACCTGATTTTGGGAGCCAAACAGTTTATTCTCTTAAGATCTGTTCAAAAAAACAGATTTTTCAGGATTTTTCTCTACTTGTGGGGAGGATCGCTTGATCGTTCATTAGTTTAATAACTTCCTTTGACGGAAGCGGAGGCTGACTAGCGGCGCCTCGCGGCTGTAAATCAACGGCTCCTCGAGCATGTGGCTTTCCACCGAGCAGCCGCAGAAGTGACCGCAGGCAACGGGATCCGGGCAACACAGCGAGTGACGGGACGAGCCTCCGTTTTCGGCCGCTCACTTTCCCCGTGGACTTGACTCCCTTCCAGATGCAGAAGAAGCAGATGACCCAGACGGCCAGGAGACACAGGGCCAGGTCCCACTTCACGATCCCGATGTCCTCGATCCCGGACGAGATGCTCAGGACGTTGCGTCTGCGGAGGAGACGGAGAGGCGCCACGTGACGAACCACAACCAGGGGATTATAAGTGGAAATGAAACAGACACAAGATGTGGTTCTACAAATATTATATATATATATATAGAGAGAGAGAGAAAAACTGCATAAATATCTAGAGACGCTCACTGTGATGAATAAAAGCAACCGGCGACACGGAGCTGCGTTAAATGCCCATTTAGATTGAAATCTAATTGAGCGATGATATTGGTTGACCTCGTGTCTTGAGCCCACTGGGGGGGTCAGCTTCCTGTTGCCGGGTCACACACCTTTAGGAGTGTAGCAGCAGGTCGTGAACGCAGATAATGAAGCAAAGAATAGAAGATTTGCTTTACTCATTAACTCATTCCCTTAATGATAAATATGCCTGTGAAAATATTACATCCCAACCGTGGAAAAAAGATCCTCTTTTCGCTGTGTAAATGTGAATAGATGCCAAATACGAGCTGGGATCTGATCTAAAAGACTCAAAGAGGTTGTTTTTCATTTCTTTGAGCTGAACAAATATATTTTAAGATAAACTGGCCGCAAGCTAAAAGTAAATAGCCCTTTTTTGTGTGTGTGTCAGTCAACACTCACTCCCAGAACTCGGTGACAGGGGAGGTAAAGTTGGTGATGTTGGCGGCGAGCCACAAGGTCTTGTTTCGGCGGACCGTGTCCTCCACGCAGAATTCCGTGTTCCAGGGCTGCTTGCACTTGGCCCAGGGGAGCTCCGGCTGGAAGCACTGGAACAGGTAGTAGAGCCCCCAGGCCAGGATCACCACGTAGTACACGTTCAGCAGGGACACGATCACCACGGAGGCGTAGCCGATACCTGCAGGGCGGCGGAGGGGCGGATTATAAGCTCCAGCATTTGTGTTTCTGGTCACTTGATGAATGTAAATCCAGCCAATCAATCACCTGAAGCCCTGATTTTGGTCTCGGCGAAGGATAACCTTTGAGTCAAAGAGGGGGAAGCGTCCTGAGCTCGTCTGTTGTCTGCTGTTGTAATGTCCTTAGTGTTTTAACGCTATTTTTAGCACGACTTTGTCACGAACCTGGAATCAGAAATCCTCGGTACTCTTCCACCGCCGAGTATTTATAACCTCATCATCTCATCACCCCCCCTCGTTCCCACATACCACATGCAAACCGATTGACGACGCTGTGCCAGGTGTGTGCGCGTGAAGGTGTGGAGGGCGTGGAGGGCGAGGAAGGGGGGGATCATCCGTGACCTCCGGGGGCCCCGAAGGCACGACGCACTCGGGGGGGCATTCATACCGCGCGCGTCGCTTTCTGCTGCTCGTTCGTTTCCACGGCAACGGAGAAGACGATTTGTTACGCTCGCAAAATCAGCGCAGGATCAATGGCTGACTTCACCTTTCTGAGCTACTTCAGACACGCGGTGATTAAAACATTAATCCTCCGCGTTACTTCTTGTTTGAACATTTTCACTGGTGCTGTTTGTATATATTAACGTAACCTTTGCTTTGTCACAATTTCTTCTCGTTTTCTTTTTTTTAATGAGTTTTCTTTGTATCTAACTGTTTTTCTGTTGACTTCATTTACACATCTCGGAACCATTGTAACCTTTAAATAAACACTAATAAGACATTTACTCTCCAGCACTTTTAGTTTGTTTGTCATATTTCTATGTAAATTTGAGTATTTCTCATTTTTATTTCGCCTCATGCTAATGCGCCTCGTTTATTGTTCAACGTGTGCAAAACCTGCTCGGCACAAACTGCTTCTGATGTTAGGATACATTACTTGAAGCTGATTGGACTGTTTCTTGGATTGAAAGTGTTTCCCATAGCGGAGTTATATAAGTGAACTGAAAAAGTGAACTGAAAGAGGACGAAAACCCTTGTTTTGGCAGTTGATGCTTGTTCCCAGCGTTAAATATCCAAAGACCTTTGTGAGGAACATTTTGAGCCTCTGCTGCTCCGCCTCGGCACTGACCCGTGAAGATGGGGCACAGCTTGGCCCAGCAGGTGATGCCCCCCTCGGAGGTGTACTGGCCCAGCGCCACCTCCAGGAAGAAGACCGGCAGGCCGCCGCCGAACAGGAAGATGAAGTAAGGGATGAGAAACGCACCTGGGGGGGGGGAGGAGGCAGAAAGTCAGACATCTCCGAAAGGTGTGTGTGTGTGTGTGTGTGTGTGTGTGTCTCTTTCGGCCCACCTCCACCGTTTTTATAACAAAGGTAAGGAAACCGCCAGACGTTTCCCAATCCGACGAAGCCTCCGGCCACCGACAGGACGAAGTCGAGCTTGCTGGCCCACTTCTCCCTCTGGGGGGCTTTTCCTTCGGCCTCGTCCTCGGGCCGCGTGCCCGGACTCTTCCCCGGCGACGGCTTCAGGGTGTCCTTGTGAAAGTCCTTCAGGCATTGGAGCTTCTCTTTTTGTGCCATGCTGCGGGACGGCAACATCACCATTATTGTTTTTTGAGAAGAAAAAAACACACACACACACACACACAAGCAAAGGTGGGGGGCGGGGCCAGACGCAGAGAGGGGGGGCGGAGCTTTGGGGAGATTACGCCGTCTCCTGAGAGCGTTACAGTGTGCCGTCTCACCGCCGAGCGCGGTAATCTCGCTAATCTCAACAACTGATGCGAGGAGGTGATTCGGACGAGAGAAACGTTTCGGGGATTTGAAGCAGACGGAGAAATCCCAGATTTCCTGAAAACGTCACACTTGAGTTTCTTTATCCGTCACAATCGTTCAATCTGCGGAAAACTAATCGGAATGTTGTCAATTTAGACGTCAATGTCAATTTAGACAGCTACAATATGAGCCAAAGATTTAATATTCACTTTCTGTTTACTCTGATGTTCCTCCCTCGGTCACCCGAAAGTACCTGGACGTGTTTTTTACCTTTGACCCTTTCGCCTGTCGGTAGGCCGAACAAATGAGAATCAAAAAAGCTTCACCCAAACTGCACGTTGACATTTTGACTCCAGCTTTGTGTTTTCTTGTGGGGGGGGGGCGTCACATTGGCCCTGAGGGGAAAAAGGAGCGCCACAGTTTCCTCGGTGGCTTTCATCTTCTGCGACAAGTCGGCCCTTCGGAGGCCGGATTTAGAGCGGCGGATATCTCTGTGCGTTCCCAGAACCCTCGAGACGACGCGAGGGGGCTTAAGGTCGCCTGAGTGTTGAAACCGTAAACCGCCTTTCCAAGAAAGACATGGATTTGTTGGTACCAATAGAGAGGTATCTGATTTCCACCTGCACGGGCCCGGAAGGAACCCTAACCCTAAGGAACAACCGGGCGGGACGTGCCAGGACTTGGTCGTAAACCTCAAGCCGGCAAACAACAAGGACAAAAAGCATGACGGAAAACTATAATTAATTGTAAGACACATGATTCATTGACAGGTGGGTAATTACCTCGTCCTTTAAGAGGAGCCACATCAAATACTTTCCACGCACCCAAATGTATAATTAATGGCAGACTGAATTATGTGTCAAAGGAAAAGGAACAAAACCGAAACAAGTTGCTTGTTTATATTAAAAAAAAGAAGAAGCACGTCATGTGGAGCCGATCGATAAGAAGGCTCCTCCAGCGCTGACGCATTCCTCGAGGGAGCTCCGCGTCTCCCCACTCCATCAACGACAACCCCCCCCCCCCACCCATGTTCTCCCCCATGTTCTCTCCCCCCCCCCATGTTCCATCGTTTACCGGAGTTCTCTCTTCCTGTTTTGCTCGACAAGTCAACTCGGCCCGCTTTACATTCTCAGACAGCGTTGCATAACTGTTCTTGGGTCCCGGCTCACTGTGCTCCTCATCTCTTCATCTCTTTTCTCCCCCTTTTTGTCTGCTTGCCGTTCGCGTTCACCTGGAGGCCAGATAAGACTTAAGACAAACCGTCCTTGGGATTTAAATCGGACACGCTTGAACACAAACTGCTTAACCTATAAGAAGAAGAGAGAAGCGGCTTCGATCCTCGTGAATCCTGTCGACGTGAATCCCAAAAGGCAAACAAAAGTTTGTATAACCTCTAAACCCATGAACGTCATTCATTCGGCCGGTTTTAAAGAGGAAAAACAAACCGTGTGAAATAAATCAAGCGTCTTTTGCAGCAAAGCGTTTCATAAAAACTTACATTTCCTTCATGGCGGGCGACTATGTTTAGAGTTCCTCTCCCTCAGCTGTCACCATTCCTCTGTACTGAACGTCTTTATGCCGACGCGGGTCACAAGAAGTGGGGCTGACAGCCGGCTGGGGCGAGTGGGATGTGTGGGTGGGGGGGTGAGGGGGGGTGAGGGGGGGGAGAGGGGTAGGGCCGCCCCCTTTGGCTAAACAATTAAATCCAGGGCAGCGATTGGACGCTGGCTCTGTGTGACAGACAGCTCAGGTAGTAACGAGGAACACTGTAAATTTCCACTTCTGACAACTCGCCTGCCCACACACACACAGACACACACACACACACACACACACACACACAGCCCAGTGGTGTGTAAATGTGGAGGGAGGGGGGTCACGCATACTTCTTATGCACGTGTTCAGAGGCCGCCCGACGCAAAGGCGTCGCCTGCGAAATACTTGCTGTTTTCTTTCTAAAGGCACAACGAAGCCACACGCCACCAAGCGTCACACACTCATAAATATACTCAGACATACACTGGACATCTGGAACCCCCCCCCCCCCACATACCCCCCCCCTCTCCATCTCCATCATGAGATGCGGTTTGTTATCTGTAAAATGTAAACACGTACAGTATCAGAGGTACAACAGCTCCTAATAAGGAGTCTCCTACGTCTCCGGCTCTGAGAGCTCGCAGCGGACGGAGACAATTAAAAACTACAAATGTTTGAGGGTCACGTGACCGTTGAGGGACGCCGTCTGATCCAATGTGCGAGAAAGGGACTGGGTTTGAGGGTAGAGAGAAATCACGTTCTCCTTAGTGAAACGAGTCGATAACAGGTTGGTTATTAGGCCGAAAAAATCACAGTATTTCAATCACAATATTTATACTATCACATACTTCTGAAATCATATATAAAAAAATGATTGTTGAATGATTGTTAATCATCAAAGTCCACATCCTGAATAAGCGGGTCTAGACGTGTAATCTGTTTATAAAAAATAAAATAATGTCCACCCTTTAAAAGCAGCAAAACATGATACGATATCTGACGATATCAATATAAAAACTGTTACTTCAACTCGCTCCTCCATTCATTTATTCGGTGATTAAATGAATGGAGGGTGTGCGCAGGGACACACACCCGCGCGCACGCACACCCGTCACACGTCACTGTGAAGTCGGGGCTGAGCCTGAACGCACCACGGCGGACCTAAAAAAAAACAAACGATGAAAGAGAAACGAGCAACAAGGTCTTATCGGCTGTAAACACAGGAAACCGGGTTCAAAGGCCAAAACAGAGCTTTTCCTTTTTTTTTTTCTAGCACCAAGCCTATATTTACTCACGTGGATTTTATTTGTCAAAGCTGGATTTCTGATATTTATATTTGTATGTATTTGTATATATTTGTATGTATTTATATATACATATATATATATACATAACGGAAACATTGTGGGAACAATGAGGACAGAGCATCACGTCAAAGGGAGAAAAACCCCGCTGGTTTGTTTATTTCGGAGAATTAAACGAATCAGCTGCATCAAAACACGAAGTTTAAAAGACAACAACAACCGTAAAATAATAACCAGAAGCGGACTTGTATCACGGTGTTTCTCTCCATCTTGAGTTTGCTTGTTTATTTGTGATAAAAGCAGTGCCTCGGTACGTAAAGAAGAAGATTACCTGTCCTCGCTTTACCGAAGCCGCCTGTTCTTCCTCCTTTTAACGCGGAGGGAAACAGTTTAATATCAGTTTGAGTGGAAAATCACCAGCTTCTCCTCCATGCAACAACTTCTTAAAGCGACAGCCTCACCTCCGCCCCCCCCCCCCCCCCTCTCCTCCCCCCGTTTAACGGTCCGTGCCCGTGATAACACGTATCGATTACCGTTCACCGCCGATACGTAACCGATGAGGCGCCAAAAGGAACGTTTAGCAGACGTGTTGCACGTGCAGTCGGATTATAGGTTCAAAAAAATGAACAGAAATAAAAAAAAATACCATTTGCAGGTGTTTATCCCTTGGATTTGGTAATTATTATTAGTAATGTTGGTATTAATAAATGCTTATTGTGTGTGAATGTCTAATAAGACATGTGCTATGATATGGTGAAAAGTATTCAGCAAGTGAACTCTTATAAGCTACTTTGTTTCCTGACAACACAGTGCAGGTATTAGAAACCAGCACAGCAGCATTGCTTCGCTTAAAGTGGGTTTTTACGACCTGAAAACCAAAACGTTGCTCTTATTTGGAGTTCATCACAAGAACAAAAAATACTCAACCATTAATAAAGCCATTTGTTACTTGAAAAAGTGGAAGCTAAATGTATTTATTTGTTAATGTATTCGTTAATTTGCATATAACAGTATATTTCGCAATCTGCAGCGTGCAAATATCTTTAAATTCCACCCTGTGCCGCAGAACAGATGCAGATTATTAGATGTAGATTATCTCGTGAATATCTTCCACCACATTGTCTTAGGCTGCAGCGTCAGTCGTGCCAATCCAACAGATGGCGCGGCCACGTGTTTTTATATCATGCATATGAATGCGTGACAGAGAGGGAGTTCTCCGTCATGAAGTGAAATCTTTTGTGGCGTTTGTTTCGGCGCCCAGAGCTCAGCTGCCGTTGGATAACAGCCTTCCGGTAAAGTGGATCTGTAGAATGTGCTACAGAGAACATACAGCAAAAAACATGTCAATGATTCATGCTTCCGGAGAGGGTGGGGAAGTACGAGCAGAGCCACTCCTGCAGACCCGTCCACCAAAGAACGCCCGGCAGTGGTTAATATGGAGAAAAACAAGACTTAATATATATTGTAGGGTTGAATTCTGATACAAAATACTTACAAAACGATATTTTTGCAGGTGCAGTCATCAAGACGGTCGCCATTAATACTGGTAATAAAGGTCTGTCCACTTGTGAAGCGGAGGCATAATGACTATGTTACTGTTTAACAATGGATAGTTTCTTATATATTGAGCCAGATAGCAAAAGGATTTCATGGCGCAATCATATGAGGGAGAAAACACACACTCAAATCAAACCACAGGAAAGAACAGTGTTGGTTTTTGTTCCTCGTTTCTGTGCCCTGAATGCTTCATCTTGCACATTTCCTCATTAGCCCTCAGAAGCAACAATTCATGTCCGTGTTTTGTAAAGCAAAGAGTGCAAAGACACCCGGGCGCCTCGAGTTTCAGTGATGGTTTCCCCCTGCAGAGAACAAAAGCCCTGTCAGCAGGGCAACGGCTTTCTGATGCCTGAGGGGTGAAACGGTCAGGAAACAGGAAAGTAAAGGGGGAAAAAAGAGAAGTGCAAGTGCAATGCAAGTTTGGAGCCTCGCTGTTTGTAACCGTGACAGAAACCAACCTTGAATCTAAAGTAGCTGAACACACACAGGAGAGAACTCGCTCTACGTCAGGCCACGATAGAAGCCATTTCCACACAGTCTACGTCCCAATCATTATGATAGGGATGTTTATAACATACACAACTCTCAGGAGGCCATAATCCTTTGTGGTGACCATCTTTGTGAGCTGAGAATAATAATTAAAACTATAAAAATTAAACTGTTCCTTGAAATCATTGTTGCTGAGGTTAATCTTAACTTTGGTTCAAACTATGGCCTTAAATTCTGGTAAAAAGGGCAAAACACTCCAAAGTCTCCATTTCTGTACACACAAAGCACCAATCGCAGCCCTGCATTAAAAAAGGTTGACCAATCAGGTTCCTCCGCAGGAAAGCGTCTTAAATCTTTTATTCTCTCTCTACTCCTCTTTTGTGGAATCAGCTTCCACTTTCAATCCAACGGGCAGATTCGGTCAGCTCATTTAAGGTAAAGCTTAAAACATTCCTCTTTGATTGTGCTTATATTTAGGGCTGGCTCAAGTTAGCCCGGACCAGCCCTTAGTGAAGCTGCTATAGGCTGCGGGGGGACTTCTTAGGACACACCGAGCTCCTCTCTCACGCTCTCGTTCTACAATAATTCACGTTTTATTAATGCACATCACTGATTCAGCTTCTTCCCGGAGTTTGTTGTGCTTTTTCGCCACCCAGGTTTCCACGGTTCATGGTTCTATCCGGACCCTGTTCCTGCCGCCTACCGGGGCCCTGCTGACACCTGCTGCTATCATCATCATTATTATTTTAAATATTAATCATATCACTATGAAAGTCATCATAAACCAACATTACCATTTCTTAAAGTCTTGTGCTTTCCCTCCTTACAGGCTTCTGTGGATGGTGGTTCTATCTGATGGTGTTTTTTTCTAATGGTGGTTTTATCTGATGGTGGTTCTATCTGATGGTGGTTTTATCTGATGGCGCTTCTATCTAATGGTGGTTCTATCTGATGGTGTTTTTTTCTAATGATGGTTTTTTCTGATGGTGGTTCTATCTGATGGTGGTTTTATCTGATGGCGCTTCTATCTAATGGTGGTTTTATCTGATGGTGGTTCTATCTGATGGTGGTTCTATCTGATGGTGGTTTTTTCTAAGGGTGGTTTTATCTGATAGTGGTTCTATCTGATGGTGGTTTTATCTGATGGTGGTTTTATCTGATGGTGGTTCTATCTGATGGTGGTTCTATATGATGGTGGTTCTATACGATGGTGCTTCTATCTGATGGTGGTTCTATACAATGGTGGTTCCATACGATGGTGGTTCCATACGATGGTGGTTCTATCTGATGGTGGTTCTATACGATAGTGGTTCTATCTGATGGTAGTTCTATCTGATGGTGGTTCTGTCTAATGGTGGTTCTATCTGATGGTGGTTCTGTCTGATGGTGGTTCTGTCTGATGGTGGTTCTATCTGATGGTGGGTGTCCCTGCAGTGGTCCTGCCGGACACCTGGCTTGCTACTCGCAATTATTTGAATCCTTTCTGTTATCGGGATTGAATGTATTGTACATCTTTTGCATTGTTCATTCTGTTGTTCCATTGTATTGTGTCCATCAGGAGACGGATCCATCCTCTCTCTTGAGGGTTTCGGGACAGAGGATGTCGGATGTAGACTGTGAAGCTCTGCAGGCACATTTGTAATTTTGAGATTTTCGGCTACACAAAATAAAATTAATTGAAATGAATCCTGACCGTTCTGATTGTATAGAAGTCTATAATCACTGTATACTTCTCACTTGACTTATTGTCTATTATGATTCATTTGGTAATTAAACGTCTCAGTCACCCCGCAGGATCGGTTGCGTGTGCGCGCGCAGCTCCGGAGGTAAAGTTGTCCCGGACGCATTTAGCCCGACTTTGGTCGGAGGTTCTGTCGGGGGGGCAGATGGGTCACGTGGTCACTGCGTAATCCTCCCTCACGTGCAGACGTTGTTGTGTTTATCCATCCACGGAGCCGGCGACCTTGTGACGCACCGCTGGTGGCGCGTTACGGCGCGCAATGTGGCGGAAAGGAAGAACAACTTGAGTTAAACTCGCCGTTGTTTTTCTGCAAAACGCACCTTTAACTTCTCACAGTCTCACAGCTGAGCAATAAGACCTGTGTGCCGGCTGCTAACTCTCCGGGGGGGGGGAGGCGTAATCCCGTATTACCGCGGCCGTGTCCGGTGCGTCCGAGAGGAGCCGCCGCGCGCAGCTCTCACGTCATGTGAATTCACGTGAGTCACCAATCGGTGTTCTCTCCAAACGTGCGCGGGCCTCTCGAAGCACGATGTTTGCTCAACAACCTAAACCCACCAAAAGTAACGCACCACGTGGTGTCTTTTTGTGCCCGACAGAGACGCAGACTGACCTGAAAACTCAGGTCAGTCTGCATTTAATGGGTTTACCCCCCCCCCCCTCGCCCTCTCCCAGGGGGGTAATCCCCGACACAGTAGGGTGTCTGCAGTGAGTTATGTCTTCCGATGACGTATCAATACTCAGGGACAAGGTCGCAACTGTGTAGCTCTGTGAGAGATAGGTGAGACATATACATATAACTTATATATAATATATATATATAATATATATATATATATATATGTATATATATATATATATATATATATCCTCCATCTGTTCCAACTGTAATGAATCCTACATCTGAGCAAGAAAAACTCGTCATGGTTGAGATATTTGGACGGTTCCACAAATGGCACCCGGGTTTATAACGACACAGCAAAACTAAATTAAGAAAAGCACGTTTGGATGTAAAGGGAAACTTATGAGAAGAAAACATGCGCTTATTAGAGTGCGCATTAAGAGCCGGACAGATCATATGACGTGCGTTGTCAGGATAATTGACATTTGACTGGCAGATTATGAGGAGACAGATGTCACAGTGGAGGCTCAATGAATCACGCAGTGAGTCATGAGCTTTTACCCTCAGCGCCCCTGTTAACAATTACAATTGAGAAAATCACGCAAAACATGTTTTGTACAGCACAGCACATGTGACTTGAGTGCGAGTCAACACGCTGACGGTCAAACAAGAGAGTTCCGTTTTAGTGAAGCGTCCTCTGCACCTCGAGAAATATGCACACAGAAAAAATAACCATTTGATCCATAAACAGGAAACAAAAGAGTTATGCAATCGATAAATTTGCCTCAGAGGGTTTACCAATCTGCACACATCCTCTGTCAAAAGAACCCCCCCCCCACAAAAAAACCTTAAAGGGGAGAAGAGTGGAACAGCCCTTTGGTCCCAGGGTGCATAATGTAAAAATGATTCAAATAACCAGAGTATTGCAAGAAGAACACTGATGGGAAATGTATGACTAAAGGACTAAATGAATAATAATGATAATAAGAAGAGGAATCCATACAATAGTTCCGGTAAAATCAAGTACACGTGAACGCCGGTTCAACATCAGAATATTGCTGATTATTTACTTTTCAAAGTAAAAGCTTTGCTCCAGACTGAATCCAACCTCACAGTTTTGACTTGAGGGGCGTTTAACGGGAACCAACTGGGGCTATTAACGGGCCGCCGGATCGACTTGTAAACACGGTTTCCATGGATACCAATGAAGACGCGAGGAATATAAATGAATTTGACTGTCCCTTCGCCCCAGCAGTGCGACGTCCATCTGAAAACACAATCAAATGTACTTTCCCACCCAGGACCAAGAAACAACCACACACACGGTTGCTTAGCAACAACCGTTAAATGTTTGCAAAGGAAGCTCGCTGAGGTCATAACTAATCGTGTTGTTTATTCCCGTCTTTTCAAACAGCCCCGGAGGCGCTTGGCGGGAAGCCAGCGGTCTGGTTGGTGGAAATTAACTTTAAACGTTGTTGGGTTTTTTTTTTTAAACCATTCACCTTTGTGGACTTGTGATTAATGCTGCGAGTTGAAATCAAAAAATAATTCCCATGAATGGGGGAGACCACAGAGATGGGTTCAGTGGTCTCCCACCATGCAGAGGGTGGTTTCTGAGGCAATTGTAAAACCGAGAAATGGCGCCATCTTCAGGGGACTGCGTGACATAAAATGTGCCTTCAAAGGAAAGAGGAGTTTCCTGCACCTGCATTGTATTTTAAGTTAATTAAGTTTCTTAAAATACATAGAACAGAGGAGGAACTCCTAAGTGGTCATGACACAGCGTCACGTCAACACCGCTGCTTGTATCTGACCTAAATATTTAACCAAGACACTCAGCGAGACGATTCGCTGTTTCAATATAGATATCGGTTGTGCTGGACGTCGCGGCCCTGCTGGAGGGAAAGGGTGGTACAGGGGAACCAGAACCAGAACCAGAACCAGGACTAGAACAAAGAGCGGCCGGCAGTAAAATGAGAGGTTATCTTGGAAACACTTTTGGGGCCAAACAGCATTTTTTTGTCATAACTTTAAAATAAAATAGTTGTAAAACTTGCATGTGTTTTCTTAAGCGTAAAATATTTCTTCAAGAAAGATCAAGAGTCCATAGCAATGCTAACGGCTCTATGAGGCTGTGCTTTGAGCTAAAATGCTCACACGCCTTCATAGATGCCTTCTGGCTCTTTCAAAATAAGAGCCAAGTGCTATTGAACGTGATAAGACCTTCAGAATAAAAGCCCTTTAAAATAATACAACTTCATTTTAATTTTGGATTAAAGAGGTAATTAACTCAAACAATAGTTTGCAGATATTTGGTAAAGTGTTGGACCAAACTAAGTTTTGACCAGATGATAGCGCTAGATGAAAAGTCAAGAGGATTATTACAATTATTACAAATCGTCCTGTGAGAGGCACCAATGTCTAGATAGCAGAACTCATGGCCTTAAATACAATTATAATGTAATGTAATGTAATTAGTTATCGAGATGTTTCAGTCTGTCTGACCAACAAAGTCATCATGAATTCTTCAAGGCAAATCAATGGAATGCAAAAATCATTAAATATTATGAATAAAACTCAAGTTCTGCTTGCAATGCCACATTTAATTGGCAAAACCAAGAGCAGATATGTTTACATTTTTTTGGATGGTGGATTTTACAGGCAAAACATCAGTCACAGCTTTATTTTTGTGTGCGTACCCTGGGCAAGAGAGGTACAAGGCCGCCGGGAATGAGTTATTCCACGTAAGGTAATACGTTTTTTCCACATAGGGTTTAAATAAAGGGAAATGTTAAAAAGGGATGAAAGGGAAAATATTTAAGAATAATGAATAAAGTGTCACACAGGAGCAGATTGGGTGGTGACGTTCAGCCGCCACGTCCGATCAATTCCATAATAAAAGTTACGTGACACACGTAATAAAACTACATTCTATGCAACTTAACATAACGGTTCACACCAACAACATTTTCTGGAGTAATGACCTGAATTTATACTCGATTGTCTTTTTTAGTTATCAGTCGCACAGCACTCATTGTGCGACAAGTTTGGCTTTCTACGAGCAACGACATCTATGGAGTCCGTTTAAGGGCTTTGTTGGGGCCAAAGTAGGAGATTAAAATAACTAAATAACCAGCTTGTCCAAATTCTGGCAGCTACACACAATGCCTAAAACAAACCCATGCGTGTGTAAATACATCATACACAATTTCCTCAAAACGCCCATCTGGTAGAACTTGGCACTTTATACCAAATCTCTTTTTGATGTGTCTCATTTTAAAAATAACTCACATGTGCAGTCGGCGATTCTAAACCAGGACTCTGTAGTCAGAGGCCGTTGTTCATACTCACGTTCGGCCACTGGGAGGCGCTCATGCTCGGACAGGGAAGAGGACTTGAATTAAAAAAAAAGGATAAAGGATGAACAAAGAGAAAGACACTGGGAGTAAGCGGGCGGCTAAATTCAAAGCGAAGGGTTCGTTTGGGTTGTGAGTTCCAACACCGAGAATGTTTCTCCAGAATCGCCGACTCCACCGTAACAACTTTCTCTGAATGAGCCAATTCTCCCGAAAATATATATTTCTGTACAATACACTGTAAATGAAATGAAAAACCCCGGGGACGGGAGTTTCTCTCTCTCATCGACCCCCTTCAGCAGTAAATGTTGATGCTGCAGAGCAACTCCTCCAAGGCCTCCAGCTTCTGGTTGGCCTCCTCTATGGCGCTGTAGGTCTGCACGTTGCCGGTGATGTGGTACCGGATCTCGTCCACCAGCGGGACGGAGTCCGTCTCCTGCCGCTCCTCCACGGACGCCGCGTCCTCTTTGATGATCTCGGCGAACTCGGCCCGCTCCACCAGCTGTGGCGGACGGGTCGGGTGACAGACATTGAATGACCTCACAGGGTCTGACATTGCTGAGATGTTTCGCATCAAGGCGGTGACGGGCGTACGAGTTTACTTTTAGTGAACTTCTTTAAAAGGCCGGATGCATCCGCGGGAGTAATGCCAGTGAGAGATGAGGACGTCAATAATATGAAGCAAGAGCTGGGACGCGGTTAGCTTAGCATTAAGACCAAAAACAAGAGGAAACAGCTAGCCTGGCTTTGTCTAAACGTTAGCACCTTCCTAAATAACCAATTAAATCATACTATCAGATATCTCCAAAGGGCAAATGGCCCCTGGAGCTTTAGCAGACGTGACGTCTGCACTCCGGCCTCATCCCAAACAACGCGGAACAAAGGGACACCCACCCGCTCGATGATCTTCGCCATGAACTGCGTGCACTGGTCCTCCAGCCGGGAGAGACGGAAGAGCTTGGCCGTCTTCCACATGTACAGGACGTTGTCCTCGCATATGGTCTTGGCAAGCGTCTTCCCACAGAGGCGCTTCAGCCCGGGCAGCAGATACATGTCGGCCACGCACAGCACGTCGAACGAGACCTCCGCTATCAGCTGGGGATGGAGGACGAAGAAGTATAAAGTCAGCTGCCGGGTGATCGAGAACATTCCGGTTAGGTTTCCAAAATGGCAACTTGGCAACACAATTTACAAAGATCACAAAAATGTTTTAGATGTTCCCAACCAATACATAGTTTATATATATATACACCTCTGGATTCCCAAAGACATTTTTCTTTTTTTTACACGCTCACGCCGAAATATAAGAAAATCGTCTTTTGTATGACTCATCTGCAGGTGGACCGCCGGGTAACTAAATAAGCCCCCCCCCCCCCCGTGCACGCACCTGTGTGTCATCGGTGTAGATGTAGTACATGACGTGTGTGAAGATCTCGTGGGAGATGTTGTGGAGGGTGATCACCGGCGTGCTGGGCTGCGTCTGCAGCTGCTCCCCCTCGCTGAAGTGGTCCTCCAGCAAGGCTTTGAAGTAGTCGCTGCGCCCGCAGAAAAACGCCTGCAGACGCAAACGCAGGGCGAAGTCACGTGGTCATTCAGCGCGGGAGGGGGGGGGGGGGTCATGATCCGCGCCTGTCTCACCTTATGGCACAGGAAGTTGAAACCATCAACTCTGAAGCAGATGTCGGGATACGTAGGGAAGCGGTCGACTCGGTTGAAGGGAAGCTCACCGAATCCGACCTGCGGAGATCCGACCCGGTGGGGACGGAGACACAAGAGGCTTGTTAAACTGTCCCAGCAGCGTTACTCGTGCTTTTTTTTACGTCCTGCTCGCCCGCGCGTCCTCACTCTTAATTCGATGGGAAGGGCGCAGTCCGCCAACTGGGCCATCTCCTCCTGCAGCTGGCAGCTGTGAGGATCCAGGCTGAGGACCTTCACACAGATCCCCGGCTTGTGGGACACTTGGGACACACGGGCGGAAAAAGAAAGACAAGACGGGCGCGCCGTCACACCGTTGTCCCCGATGCCCGACAACCGGCCTAAATGTTTTATCATTTCAGGAGCAACAACAAGGTGTCAGTCATTTTCAGTAATTTACCGAATTCGTAGAGCTGTTTGCATTTATTCTCCAGCTGGTCGATCAGCAGCTCCATCTTGCACTGTTTGGCCAGTCGCCTGCAGTCCTCCACCAGGCTGATGTCAATGTCCATCCTGCCTGTAGCATCAGGAAGAGGAAAACATCAACGATGAGAGACTCTTTCTGGAGCGGCGCAGTACTCTTCATTTATTTTCAGGTCTTTCGTTGTTTATTCCTTTGCTTTATTGGGACTTTTTGTTTCAGTTTGTGAGAAAATATGCGTTTTTTTTTCCTACGTCTTCCTCTTCGGAATATTTGCCCCTCACCTGTGTAGGAATATTGCAGGATGGCTCCAAAGGCCGAAGGGTTGACCTGAGGGACAAAACGGCTTTTACCCACAGAGACGTAAACAAACAAACAAACAACGTGCGGCCTCCTCTGTATCAAGCAACAAAGCCCGCGGACACACGTGTGGGTATTTCTCTCTACCAGAGGGTGTTTGAGGGTGATCGAGCTCTTCCCTTTCCACTTGGTCTCGAACATGTCGGTGAAGTACTCGGAGCGCGCGCTGAGCACGCAGCGGTGGGCCGTGAACATGCGCCCGTGAACCAGGAACTTGACGTCGCCGTGCGGGCCCTGCTCCAGCAACCTGCGGGCCAAAAAAATTCGGAAGGATCACTCCTTCACCCCCACCGCCGACCGCGGCTCCCGATCCCGGCCTCGCACTCACGCGTGCAGGAAGTAGCTGAAGTCGTCCCGCTGCATGGCGCGCACGCTGATGCACTTGTAGTCCTTGAGCAGGCGGCGGACGGACTCGTTCAGGGAGCCGTACATGCAGCGCTCGCCGTCGAACGTGTTGGCCTCGCACTTGGCGCCTGGAAGGGGGGGGGGGCGACCAATGAGAGCGAGTGAGAGACTGTGCCCCCCATCAGACGCTCTTTCTCACATCGTGCTTCATTTATTACCAATGAGAAAACCTCACCGTTAGCCAGCAGGTACTGGACCAGCTCCTCGTGACCACAGAGACAAGCATAATACCTGAGGAAGAAGAGCGCGGGCGTCTTTAGGTTTTTTGGGGTAATGACGGCGTCCGGGAGGAGGCCGCTGGCCTGGGTCGTACTTACAAAGGAGAGCTGTCCCACTTGTCTCTTACGTTGAGTTCCACGTCTCTTTGCTCAACAAGGTATCTTGGAGAGGGAATACAGGAAATGAAAGGAAGTAAAACTTATTGGTGTGTCCGAAGCTTTTGACCCAAGCGCGAGAAGCGAGACGTCCCTCCAGGTTGGATGGGGGTCCATCTCTAGTACGCCAGTGACTGTGGCTTTGTCTAGTTGTGGTGTCATAGTGTCGGTATTTCAGTCCAACTAACGCGATACCAAGCCATGATTGCTAAAAGACCAGGAGGACCAGAAACCAACCTTTCCTCCATCCTCACGGAAGACTAGGCTGTAAATGTGCTGAACAGAGGAACGTATTTGGGTCGAATCATCAATAATACACTTAACCTGAATGGGTCAAAGGGTCAAAGCTTCAGGGGGGGATTTAATGATGTGTTCAGGGTCTCGCTCAACCTCCGGAGAGGAACAGGTGTTAACGTTAGCTACTAGAAATGTTCCCACCTTTCATGCGTTGTAGAGGAACTCTATGCACGAATCTATGGGTCGATGGAGCGGATGCCTGTCTTTAAACCGCTGTGGGCGGAACCGCGACGAGGACACGTCTTGTCCTCGGATTGTCTTCATTCGACATGGACCTATGGGTGTGAAATCATCTGTACACCGAGCAGCTGGTGACCTAAAACCAGCAACGCTTCTTCGCAAAGCACCAACGACACGTTGCGCCTTGAGTTTAGCTGCACGAATTGGCTCGAGACCTCTTGTTCTTGTTGTTGTTGTTGTTGTTGTTGTTAAACCGGAAGTAACGCTGGTGCACGTTTACCTGACTCTACAAACGTCGCCCTTTCTGCAACTACTGAACAGGTCGTACACGTCCATGATCCCCGCTGCGTGCCCGCGCCTCCGCGACGCATCGAGGCGGCGTCTACCGGGCCGGTGACACGCGACGATCCGGTTCTGAGGTCCCGGGTTCGGTTCGGTCGACGCGGAGGAACTTGGTTCGCTGTTTCTTTTTTTCTTTTTTTTTTGCACGGTTGTTTACAAAAACGGGCCGATTCTGTCAGTCACGTGACCAGTGCGTCACATCGAGTGCTTGAAGGGGAATAACCGGAGAGGTGACGACTCCGCCGTCGCTTGACAACAAAAACGTGCTTATGAAACAAACAAACATATAACATTGTAATTAACTAATTTGAGAACAAGTCATATTAGTTTTGTGGTGTTTAACCGCAGGTGGGGTCGGCAGCTCGTGTTAACGGCTGTGTCATAGCGAAAGGTCGGAGCTTACGTGAGTCCCGTGAACGCAGCACACGTCACTGCGTCCGTTTACTCGTTTTTTGCGCCCCGCCCCCCACCTTGATTCGTCACAGGGTTTGTCTTTTAAAACGCAACATCCAGATGATGGCGCTCTCCTCAACATTCACCAACATCAGCATCTCACATATAACAACATTCCGATTAATCAACTGATGTTTTATTTTGTTCACCGCGTTAGTTTGCATTGATTTACGTCACTGCGTAACGTTACATTTCTGCATCATAAATTCAAAACATGTAAACAACGTGACAAAAAGATCTTCTTGTCATCATTTCAGTTGGACTGTGGCCAGCCGCTGTTTTAATATGGAGATCTGAAGGTGAAGTTTCTCTTGCTCCAGCAGGAGGTTTTCCTTCTGCAGTTCCAACACATCGACCTGCAGACTTCCTGTCAGTAGAGAACGCACACACACACACGCATACACACGCACACACACACACACACACACACACACACACACACACACACACACACACACACGCATACACACGCACACACGCAGCCTATACATGGGTTATGTTGATTCTGCGTATTTTAGTTTAAAAAGGCACAGTAGCTATTTACATGCAAATGATGTGGATGATGTTTCCTCCGGCCTTCTTCTCTATTTGAACCCTTTAGTAGGATCAATAGTCAAATTAGGAGTAGCTTTATCAGTGGTTTTATTCACATGGTTTACAGCGTGGTAACAGCGCTCGCTATAACCAGCGTAGAGGTTATAACTGCAGTGCTAAAGTGGGTCTTTCTTTCCTTGTGAGTCCCACCTTTGGCATCTGGGTTAGAAAGGAGGAGCTCTGCGTAGCTCCACCTCCACGGGGTAGTGGTCGCTGACCCTCCGTGCCTGAGGCAGGGGCGGGAGACGCAGAGTGCGGGGGGGGGTCAGGGGGCGAAACGAGGCAGTGAAAACAAGCCAGACGGGACCCGTTGTCGGGTTGGATTGCGTTCGGCTCACGCAAAGAGGCGAAACTCACCATTTGTTCCGTCATGGCGAACTCTTTGTGGAAGTCGAACGGCTTGGCTGAGTTTGGCACGAAGGCCGCCAGCATATCGTCTCCGTACACAACAATCCTGTGGTGCACACATTCAGTCCATTAAGCCACACACGCATATATATATATATATATATATATATATATATATATATATAGATACAATGAGTAGATGCACAGGTGCATGACGGTCCCCTTATGGGCGCAGACGTGCCGGTCGTAGGCTTGGTGGCTGGAGGTGTTCGTCGTGGTGTCCACGTCGTCGCCAATCAGCCAGTGGAAGTTCTCGTCGCTGCGAATGCGGATCTCCTTCATCTCCCCCGGCGGGTGACGTGGGCGCCGTCGGCCTTGAAATCTCCCAAGATCATTACGTTCCGGAGGGAATCAGACGCAGCGGTTTTAGTGAGTATCTTGATCCCTTCATAGTGTCATCTGGGGTAAATTCCGCATCGTCTGCGGCGGAGGCTCAGCGATTGAATGTGAAACCGATGCACTTGTTGTCAAAAAGAAAAACCTTAAATGTGTGTGATTTGGTTCAGAGACGCCGGTTCAGGTTATTCCAAATAGCGACTCAAGCCAAATAATCTTAAAGAGACACCTGAGGAATGCGGCTCGGCAAGTAAACTGAGAGGTGTGGAGGGTGTGGAGGCCTCGGAGAAAACCTCTGATCTACGCAAATGTAACACTCTTTTGGGACCTTTTTATTTTTTGTGTGGAATTGAGCTGGTAAAATCAGCCGGCGTTTGTCTCTGACCGGCTCTCTACCAGCTACTCTTTTTTTTTTTTTTAAATATCATCATTGTTAACGTGGTTAACATTTGCCCCTCTACTGTTGTTGGTGCTGTTGTTGTTGCTGTGTGACCTTTGACCCTTGCTCCAAACAGAACAGCACACTAGAACAAAGCTCACGTCAGTTTTCCCACCTGTCTCTGACCGCCAGGAAGACCTGCTAGAGCTCGTCCAGCTCCCGCTCGGTGTCCCGCGCGGCGCGGCGTGCACCGGGATCAGCACCACGTCCCTCAGCACTGCGAACAGAAGCGGCCGGCCGTGAGATGCTCCTCTGCGCCGCGGCGCGCCAACTCAACCCGATAAACCCGCCCCATGAATCCGTCTCATTCACCGCTTGAAGGGGGACCGACGTGTGTTTGTAGTGCAGATGTTTCGGGGGTGACGAAACCCGCGCCACCTGCCAGATGTGCTGCCAGCTCACCTGTACAGAAAGAGGAACCGCTCCTTGTACCTGTTCCTGCCCAGGCGGGCGCTGAGCTGCAGGCCGCAGTGGTGGGTCGTGTCGACTCAGGTTGTAATAGTAACATACGGACGTTTAACACAAAAGAAAAAGTCATCGTTGTCTTCTCTTTATTCAGGAGCTCACTTGTTCAGTTCCTCCAAGAAGGTTTTGACGGAAGCGCCGCTCACATCCACCACCTCCAGGACCACTATGATGTCGTATCGAGACGCAATCTGCACAACAAACAGAGCCACGAGGAGACAAACGAGAGACACTTTATGACCGTTTAATGCTCCATTGTTTCTCCTTCATCCAAACCTCAGGCCACTGATGGCGCAGATATGACCCAGGATGGATTATCAACACCGTCGCAGACTTATCGCTGCCTCCTGGCCGCTCCCCCGAAAAGTCACACGTGTGACACAAACGGCGCATTTCAAAAATAACTCGGCTCTTATCGCTGCCGATCTGCCGCGTGACGCCTCCGCTCGACTCACCCTGACGAGAGCAGACAGAACATCTGGATCGGAGAACTTTGCTCAGCCCGAACCGCTGCACGTTGAACGAGGCGATCTTCAAAATAAGAGTTTTATTTTGTTTTAAATACACACGGTCTGACACGCACTCTCACACACACAGTCCTGTGTGAATGAACACACCTGATGGCTGGAGAGGATTATTTCTTTGTGTTGCAACGATTGGCTCATCAGCCTGAATAGAAAGAGGGCGAGACCAACCATCCCTCCAACAATGCATTTCTGAGTTAATTTCACTAAACTCTAATGGAATAATAATAATAAAACACGTCGAAATTGCCAACGATTTTTCTTCTGATTGAGGCCTAAATGCCAATTTATAATACCGGGTTGTAAATGTGTGATATTAGAAATGAATCAGGAAACATTTATTTACCAAAATATGCCAAACATACAAGGAACTTCATAAATATGTTCAAGCAGCATCATAGTTTATTTTAAGGAGTAGCTCTGCCCCCTCACTGTAATATGCGTTTATGACATTTGGGCACATTTTGTGGAAAATCTCCACATTGTCCAGAGCGGAGAGGAGGTGGGCTCAGAGCAGCATCGCGTTAGGCTTTAAGATAAATAAGAAGAAAATGAAATAAATGTGCGTGATCTGCTTCAGAGATACAGGAGAGTTCCCGGCGCCAACGCTTTTGTATGTGGCGAAGCTGTGAAGCTGTTTCAAACCGTAATAACAGTCTGAACCAGTGGTTGAGTGCGTGAGATGAAAGAACGTGACAATTACCCCGAAGGCATCCAGGGAAACTGTGCAGGAGGCTGTCACGGACCAAACCTCTGGTTTACAGTACAGTCATCCTGTCTCTGATAATCCCGCTGGTTAAATCTACCGGCTATAATGAGCCCATTTTAAAAGGTAAATCACAAGTGGCATAAAGCAAATACAAATATTTGTCCTTTTGCACATGTGTTTTTTAGTTTAGGTTTGTTGACTTTGATGGAATTTCTCACTCAAAGGCAGCATACCTGACGTGGTTACGTCTGAATTCCAACGGAAACGTTCCGGTGGTAGGTGGGGGAACAGGCGGCAGGCGTCCAACTGGTTCCCCCACATTTAAGGAGCCGCATAACTTTCCTATCTCGCCACACCCCGACCCGACCTATAAAGCAGGACCCGAGAGATAAGACGAAGCACACGCGGAGCTCAACCACCGACCCGGACGCTCTCCCCGCCCGCCACCCGACTGCAGCAGCGGAAAAAAACAAAAAAACAACCTCCACCCGTCGCGAAAACCATGAGTCTGAGGAGCAAGCAGGGCACCCGCCCGGGCCTCCGCCCGCCTCAGAGGGGCTTCAGCAGCAGGTCCGTGTCGTCCTACTCCATGCCCAGGGTCAGCAACGGGACCCACGTGGCGCCCCCCATCACGCCCGTGACCATCAACGAGGGCCTGCTCACGCCGGTCAACGTGGACATCGACCCCGCCATCCAGGTGGTGCGCACCCAGGAGAAGGAGCAGCTCAAGGGCCTGAACAACCGATTCCTCTCGTTCATCGACAAGGTGAGAGCAGATTTCACCCCGATGCAACATTTACATTCGTGGGGGCGTTTCAACTTGTATCTGACGGCACAAACACTTTGCTTTGGGTTAATTGCCCCCCCCCCCCCAGGTGATAATACTGGAGCAGCAGAACAAAATGCTGCAAACCAAGTGGAATCTGCTGCAGGGAGGGGCCGGCGCCCCCGCCTCCGACGTGGAGCCCATGCTGAAGTCCTACATCGGCGGCCTGCAGAGGCAGCTGGAGGTCATCATCAGCGACAAACACAGGCTGGACTCGAACAGCAAAGCCATGCACCAGGATTTGAGCAAATACAAGGAAATGTAAGAATGCGCCGCCATGAGGATCCATCGGAAGTGTGCAGGGGCGGAGTTTCTGGGTGGGGGGGGGGGGGCTCAGTGCAAACCGATGCCAGCGCGGGTAACCTGATATTTTTGTGCGGTTTCAGGTTCGAGGCTGAGACGAACAAGAAGCACGAGATAGAAATCGAGTTTGTCGCGCTCAAAAAGGTAAATGAGCTCTTTTAAAGAGCTCATCTAAGCATTTTACTGACAAATTCACCTTTTTCTCAACTGTAATATCGTCAAATTTGTTTAGTTTGTCTGATACTTTACCCGTTTTATGTTGGAGGTTATTATTTGAGCTGCATTTCATGTTATAAAAATAAATCAAATGGCCACACGTGTTCAACATAAAATCTGTCAAAGACAAAAGGTTTGAGAAGCACCGATAGAAGGTTGTTGGTTCATCTCCGCCTGCAGGACACGGACGCCGGCTACATGTCCAAGATGGACATGAGCGAGCAGCTGTCTTCGACCAGCGACGAGTTCCACTTCTTCAAGGCTCTGTACGACGCGGTACGCGAGCATTCGACTGTGCGACGACCATTAGCAAAATACAGAATGAGATTACGTCTTCTTACCGCTGTTGTGTGAAAACCCCAAAAGGAGCTGCGGGAGCTGCAGGAGAGCCTGAGGGAGACCTCTGTGGTGGTGCAGATGGACAACTCCCGTGACCTGAACATGGACCGGATCGTGTCCGAGGTCAAGGCCGAGTACGAGGACATCGCTGCTCGCAGCCGCTCCGAGGCTGAGGGCTGGCACAAGAGCAAGGTAAGGAAACCGATCATCAAAGCCTAGAAATCACCTCCCTAAACCCCACAATCGCTCGTCACCAGTTGGACCGGATCACCACTGAGGCGGACCAGCACGGCGAGAGCATGCGCGGCGCCAAGGCGCAGATATCCGAGCTCCGCCGCCTGATCGCCCGCCTGCAGAACGAAACGCAGGCCGTGAAAACACAGGTGAGTGGGAAGAAAGTTTATTCAGCCCTCGATTCGGAAAAAAGAGGCAATCGGCTGTTGCTCAAATCCTTTTTAAAAACTCCCAGCACGCCAGCGTCGAGAGCCAGATAGCCGACGCGGAGCAGCAAGGCGAGGGGGCCGTGCGGGACGCCGGGGCTCGCATCAGGGACCTGGAGCTGGCTCTGCAGAGGGCCAAGCATGACATGGCTCTGCAGGTCAAGGAGTACCAGGAGCTCATGAACCTCAAGCTGGCCTTGGACATCGAGATCTCCACCTACAGGAAGCTGCTGGAGGGAGAGGAGGAAAGGTGCGTCGAGATGTCGTTGCGTTTTAAGGGTTTGAGGTCACAATATGGATACATATGTATGTGTATAATTTATACATATATTCATAATATATATGTATAGTATAAAAGTAAATGTGAATAACATCTGTCGTGTGGGGTGCTTTTTTCCCTGCGACCACAAGGGGGCAACACTAAGCGCATTCCTCAGCCAAATTCAAACCCTTTTGTGTGTAAAATGAGTGTAGTTCATCATTAAAAACATTTCACTTAGCCGGTCCATACTGATGGTGATGATGTGTGTATTTTATATGTATTCCTTGCTTTCTCACTGACAGAACTGGGTACGACTCTGTAGTCAACATCCGAACAGTGGCCCCCAAGTGTGAGTACAGTCTTTTTTTCTTTCTTTTTTTGCTATCGGGATTGATTCCCCCTGTGTGTTTTTGTATGTGACCTTTTCTTTCTCCTCTCATCAAACAGCCGCCAAAATCAAAAGGCGCAGGTCAGGTGTTTTCATCAAGACGGTGGAGACCAATGAAGAATATATTAAGGCAAAAGACCCGCTGTAAGCATTTAACTGTAACCATATCTCCAACATCTTTGTTAATGAACAGCACCAATGAGTTTGTTCTTCTTCTTTTATTGGATATCACGTTAATCTCTGTGTTTACAATAAAGACTTTCTCTGGATATTTTTGCGCCTTTTTTTCAGTGTGAAAAACACTGGTTTCTAAAAAGTGAAACATCCGGTCCGATCAGAAAATGACCTCTCATGATAATATTTACTCCGGGAATAAATCCAATCGTCAGTGTATGTTCCCAATCTTTATTTTGAAATCTTCAACACAGCATGATGTTCATTTAGTAAATGATGATCCATTTGGAGTCAAATCAACCATAAAGCAGGGGAAGCTTTAAGGCGGGGCGTACTGTGATTGACAGGTCTCTACGCCTATAGAGCGCTTCCAACTGGGAGGTGTCAAAGGTTTCCTCTTAAAAATGTTTTTTAATATTCTTTTGACCCTGTGCATGGACGGCATCTATGATGCTCGATAGACGGGTGATTGATGATGAACGTCTGAGCCCTCCTAACCAGTTATTAACAAAGTGCATGTCTGACACCCCCCTCACTAAAAACGGTGTCCTGACCTTCCTTTAACAGGAGGACCTGCTCCCTATGTACATGTGAATGGCTCATTTTAACCTAATAAAACACAAAAAATGGAATTTCAAATGATTATACACAAAGTAAAACAGTATGAATATATTAGTCTGTTGTCTACCAACAGATCAAACTAAATGCTAGATGGGACCTTAGAACTATTGGATTGGGATTAGGATTTGATCTGCTGCTGTGTAGTTTAATCTATTCTAGCACATCAAAATGTGCATATTTTGATAATCCTGATCTGCAAAGTCATTAAAGCTGTCAAATAAATACTGTAAAAACAGAACAATGACTCATCTGAAACGCGTTGGAATAAAAGATGCCAATAAAACCGTTGTGATCTCGGTAACGTGCAACCGTCATTATGCCTCATCAGAAGCTCATTACCGTAGCGGTTCAGCCTGGCGTCGCCTCCTCGCCGCCTGTAAGGCAGCGCTGAGGGCGCACGAGCCCCCGCGCACTTCCCGCTTCGCGCACTTCCGGGTTCGCGCTGCTCGTCGTTTTATTGGCAGGTACGTCGCTCGCGACTCTTACCGCGAATCCCAGTAAAGACGTGACCCCCCCCAACAAACGAAACAAAAACAAAGAAAAAATCCTGCTTTTTAGTTTCCCGCTGTGGAGTTTCTACCAGGTAACTGCTTCCACTTCCGTGTTCTGACGAGTTACAGACCCACTGCCACTGCCACTTTGTAGGCCAGATGTTAACATCAGGAAGTGCAGTTAATGACTATTTGACAGCTGTGAGTTGCATGTCTTTTTTTTCCTTTAAACTGTCTTTTCATTTTCCAGTGATTTACACCATGGACAAAGACTCCATGTTGACTCACATCCTGCAGTCTGAGGGCCCCGCGTCCCTCCTGGGAGGACAGTCGCCTGTCACTGTGATAAACGGCAGCCAGCACATCTCCCCGCTGACCTCCGGGGGCCCGGAGGCCCGGGGCCCGGACGGAGAAGCAGACAGCGGCCGGCCCTCCCTCGATAGCGCCATCCGCACCGCTTTGTCCGAGGGGACCAAGACCGTGGTGCTGGAGGGCCCCGACGGCTCGGGTAAAACCACGGCCCTGCAGAGGCTGGTGGTGGGCTGGGCCCGGGGGAGGAACCTCCAGAACTTCTCCTTTGTTTTCCACTTCGGGCTCGGTCGGTTGAATTCCCTCGGCGGGGCGCTGTCCCTGGAGGCCTTGATGCTGCGCCACCACGGTCATCTCCTCCCGGGGTCCGTGCCCCAGCTCCTGCAGGATCCCGAGGGCGTGTTGTTTGTTTTCGACGATCTGGATCAGTGGCGACACAGCCTGGACCCCTCGGCCCTCCCCCACCTCTGCTCTGACCCCGGAGAGGAGGCCCCCGTGTCCCGCTTGGTGGCCGGTTTGCTCCACGGATCGCTGCTGAGAGGGGCCTCGTTCCTGGTGGCGACCAGGCCGGCCGAGGGTCAGAAGTTCCCGAGCGGCGCCCGGTTGCAGGTTTTGGGGTTTCTGAAGCCGCAGAGAGAAGCCTACATGGAGGGGTTCTTCTCCGCCGACCCGGCCGCCGCCACCACAGCGAGAAGACACATGGAAAGCACTCTGGGCTTCTATGATATCTGCACCTCCCCCAGATTCTGTTGGACCGTTTGCTCCGTTTACAAGTCTCTGATGGACGCTGGAGCGAAGCTCCCCGAGACGCTGACTCAGCTGTACGTGGAAATCCTGGCGCGACTAATCCAGTCGCTCCAGCTGAACGAGGCCCGCAGCAGAGCCCTGGTGTCGGCCCTCGGCAAGATGGCATCCCATTGCCTCCTGCACCAGCATTCGAGTTGCACCAAAGAGGAAATGGATTCTTTCGGTTTTGGTCAGGATCTGGCCTCTGTCGGCGTCTTCCTGCGAGTGGACGGCGACGGACCCGTCTTCTCCTTCCACTCTCAGCCGATGCTGGAGTTCAACTTGGCCACGTCTTTCCTCCTGGACGCCTCGGCGGCGGAGGGCGTGGAGGAGCTGCTGGAGAGGCACCGAGGCCGCGCGGACTTCCTGGACGTCTTCCTGACGGGGCTCTCGGAGCCGGCTCAGCGCCGGCCGCTGGAGGCCCCGCTGGGGGAGCTGGACCCCGGTCGGGTCGCCGACTTCGCCCGCTGGTTCAGGAGCAGCTCGGAGGCGACGCTGAAGGGACGGCACAAGGACCAGCACCGCCGACGCTTCCACCTGCTCCTTCAAACTCAAAACGAGAGTCTGGTGAAAGAGGTTGCGGCCGCCTCGGCGCAAACCGGCATCGGCTACGGCGACCCGACCCTCCGAGACTGCGTTGCCCTGAATTACGTCTTCAGCTGCATTGGCGAGATGGAGTTGTTGAACCTGTACCGGACGAGGGATCTGACGGAGGAGCAAGCGAAGGCGCTGGCTCCGGCTATGAGCCTGTGCCGCAAGATCAAGTAAGTTCACACCTCCGGGGATCGAACCTTTCAATGTGCTCGGCACGCCTAATGTGAGATCCCTCCCCCACCACAGCTTGTCGGACAGCTCCTTGAGTCCTGGCGCTGTCCCCCATCTGGCCTCGGCTCTCAGCGGAGGACTCACCGAGGAGCTGGACCTCTCTCACGTCCGCCTCGGCGAAGAGGAGTTCCGGCGCCTCTGCGAGGGACTCAGAAACTGCAAGCTGCGCGTTTTAAAGTAAGAAGGGAAGCGTTCTTTTAAAAATGTGCCTTTTTTTTAAAGAGCTGAATTGAATTCCTCGATGTTTTTTCTCCCCCCCAGGCTTCTGGCATGCGAGCTGACCGAGGCGGTCTGTGGTGATCTGGCGTCCGCCCTGACCTCGGGCGCCGCCCAGCTGCGCGAGATGGACGTGAGGTTCAATCCCATCGGGGACCGGGGCTTCGTGAAACTGTGCAAGGCGCTGCAAAGTCCCCTCTGCAGACTCCAGGAGCTAAAGTACGTCCTTCATCCTCGGCGCCGCGAGCCTGACAGGCGGCGGCGTGTTTGATTTTTGCACTTTTTCTTTTGTTGCTCTTTTTGTGTATTTAAGGCTGCAAAAGTGTGAGCTGACCGCCGCGTCCATGGAGGCCTTGTCGGCGGCTTTGCGTTCGGGAGGGTCGCAGTTGAGAAAAGTCGACCTGACGCAAAACGTGATCGGCGAGCAGGGGATGGAGGCGCTGAGCGGGTCCCTGCAGCACCCGCTCTGCAAACTGCGGGGCTCGTGTAAGTCCAGGGGGGGGGGGGGGGCCATTAGGTGATTGGAGAGACGTTCAAGTTACATGATCTGAAGCTGTCACTTAAAGGCACGGCGGGTTGGATTTCCGCTCGCTCCTCCCATACCGAGACTACAGGGCGGTCCGGGGGGGGGGTTGCACTCTACGGGGGCCCTCGGCTAACGACAAAAACATGAGAAGGCCCCCCTCACGTGAGCCAGTAGCCGCTTTCCACATTTTAATTGACTCATTACTTTCTGGCTGCATTTAAAAAGCATATTGTTGCATCACATGGCTGAACTTTGACCCCCCTTCAGAGGTGTGTGGGCTAGAAAAACATCCCGGGACCATCTTTAAAAAGGGACATTCTAAATATTATTTCTGGCATTTTAACTAGTAGTTTTGGGGACGGTTTGTCCTTTCTGGGTCACGGTAGAACACGCACAGCACACGTAATGAAATATCTCAAACGATACATATCACCATGTAACATTTTTTTTTGGTATTTCTTTTAATGCAATTATAGGCAATTAATATTAAATAACCTTGTGGTTCAGTACACCTTCCTGTGAATGAAATAACAAGTGAAAAACGTATTTTCTCATTTAATGAAGAACAGTTTGTCAGACAAGTCGTAGTTTGTAGGCGCTTTGTTATCATTGTAACATCCAAGATTTCATCCCATGAAATTATTGAAAGATGAGAAATGATTATATTGAATTATTACCCAGTCCCACTATGTAGCTATCAAAAAGCGTATTCTAAGCTAAAGAAGGTGGATTTTTACGAGGTAAATGACATTAAATGGAGCGCCGGGTGGGACGCTGTGCCTTTAACGCGGCTGAGATGAGTCATGCTTTCATACTTTAAGCGGCCGCCCTTTGCTGATCTCTTCTTCTGCAGCCTGTTCGACTGCCAGCTGTCGGCCGCGTGCTGCCCCCGTCTGTCGGAGGCCTTGATGTCGGACCGCTGCCTCCTGACCGAGCTCGACTTGTCACTCAACAACTTGGGCCAGGAGGGGGCGCTGCTGCTCTGCCACGCCCTCCGCCGCCCCGGATGCCCAATAGAAAAGCTCAGGTGGGGGTTGCCGCCAGTTGCCTTCGAACACGCCGCACCCGGGTGATGTAGAGCCACCTCTGGAGACATCTTCTGCCCCCCCCTCTCTGCTGCAGCTTGTCACGATGCGAGTTGACCCCGCCCGTCTTCAGGGAGCTGAGCTCGGCGCTGAGGGGCGGGACTTCTCGTCTGAAGTCCCTTGTCGTCGGTCTCAACGCGGTGGGGGACGAGGGGGTCAAACCCCTCTGGGAGGCCGTGGCGCATCCCAACTGCGTGCATGAGGATCTGGAGTGAGTGGGACGACAAACTGTGACCCGAACCTCCGGCACGCTTGCAGCGGAGACTTGCTTTAAGCCCCGCCCGTTTTCTCTCTGCGCAGCGTGGAGATGACGGGTCTGACGGACGAATGCGCCCGGGACCTGTGCGCCGCTCTGCGGGCCGGCGGGGCCCTCAGGAGCCTGGAGCTGAGGAACAACTCGCTGACGGACGCCTCCGTCCCGGCGCTCGTCCGCGCCGCGCAGGACAGCGACAGCATGCAGGAGATGAAGTGAGCTCAAGACATGAGAAACGTTAGAAGTGTAAACGCCACAAGAATGTCGGAGGACAGACGACTTTGACGCTTTGTGTGTCTTTCAGCCTGCAGTACAACGACATCAGCGAGGACGTGTTCGACGTGATGGACGAGTGTGGCAAAATAAGATACTGAGGAGGACGGAGTGGTCGCACGCTGCTCACACGCAGGGTTTATTTTTTCAAAATATTGAAATGATTTAGTGGAGAAAATAAACAATTCATCAAAATACAAGTCATATTTCAAAGAAAAATGTCCAGCTTCTTAAATGTTCTGAGTTTTCTTTTGCTTTTCTCCAGGAGATCAAAGTCAATTAAACATTTGGACAAGTTTGGACTTTTTATTTGCCAAAGCAAGAAATTGCACTTTTTGGGGGCTTTGTTGTCTGGATAAAGCGTAAATAATCAGGCAGACAAACCATTAATTGAATAATTGTCATTTGCACAAATAACACGAATCCTTCACATTCATTGCTGAATTTGTTTATATAATAATGTTTTATTAAGAAATCTTTGGCATCTTAAAAGAGATTTCGCTTACGGGACCTTAAGCGATTTAAGGCAGATTGCATTGATTTGTTTTACAGCTGTAAATATATTACCAATTTCACAAATAAAATGTATTTACATGTAGAAAATGCATTTTGACAAAAAGCAGTGTTTACATGCTCCGTTTCATGTCTAACTCTAACACACACACACACACACACTCACACGTACACACACGTAAACACACGTGTTTAGTGTAAACCTCACACAGTGTAAACTCGACTCACTAAGGCGTCTTTATTCCACAAAGAGAGGGAAGACTCCGCTCTCTGTCCAAGTCCACTCTCCGTTTTCTACGATTCAGCAAACCTTTTTCGTGGTGGTGGGGTGGGGGGGGGGGGGGGGGGCCCAGTGGGTCACACGGGAACGCAGCCGGGGACATAAAACCACGCTCGTGGGGCTCAGGGGGCGTGAGCTTCTCCCGTGTTGAGGGTGCCCGCGTGGCCGATGTCCTTCGGCTTGAGCGTCTCGCTCTGGTTTTTACCGCTGTTGGAATAAATCTCCTCGTCCGAGCTGCTCTCCACGTCGCTGCGGTCGTCTTTCGCCACCTGCGCGGCAAAGTCACCTTTACGTTTCACTCAAACAGCGACGCCCTTCGTTTCCTCCGATGATGCAGCTGGATGGAAAGACGAAGGCTCCCAACCCGATTGGTCGATGAAACTGGCAACACTTTGGATGCTAAAACCCCTTTCAGATCTAATAGCTGTTGAGACATTTTACCCCCCCAAACTCTGTGTGTGTGTGTGTGTGTGTGTGTGGGGGGGGTGTGTGTTAAGATCAATACTCTCAGAAACGCGGCGTCGCCAACTGACCTTCCCCTTGAACACGGCTTTGACGGCGATGCGAGCGATGAGGTAGAACCAGATGACGTGGAGCGTCTGCAGCACCAGCAGCAGCCCGTTGAGCAGCCACCAGGACCGGTACGGCCCCACGATCTCCCAGCTCTCCACCAGGACGCTGTGGACGACCCTGCAGCAAAAACGCCTCACGTCACCGCCACGCCACGCCACGCCCCCCGGCTCCTCAGAGGACCGGGCTCGACAAAAAAGGCCAAAGGTTCTGCCACTTGATGGTGTAAATAAGCGCTCATTTGCCTCACCAGAAGGGGTAGATGACGAGCCGCGTGATGAAGAAGCTGACGCTGAACACCACGAACAGGCCGTCGCACAGCCGCTGGTACTTGGCGTAGTTGGCCAGCTTGGCCGCCTTGAGGGATCCAAAAAAGGAAATTCATTGGTTCGTTGAAGAAGGATGATTGTTGATGTTCTTGTTTCAGTGGAGCAAGATCTCCGTGGTTTTATCATGTTCTTTAGGGAACGACCCAAACTGGCTCCGCTGCATTTCAGGGAGTGCGTCTCGCCCAACCCTGTCGGGAGCGGGCCAACTCGGGTATCGCCTCCCGCCCGGCTCAATACTACCATTTACTACTATGGTCCACCTAACCCCAAACAGGAGGAGGAGTCCCCTACCCTCGAAGAAGGATGTCGGACGGGTCGTGCACGCACATGACCAAGCGTCCGGACCTTCAGCATTTTTTCGCCTTAGGAAGAAGGTTATGAGAAAGATGTGCCGAGGTGGTGAACGACCTTGATGATGAATCCCTGTGAGAAGACGACAAGAGCGGGAGAGGGTGAACAGGGGGGGGGGGGGCGAGGCGACGGGAAGCCCTCGCCGGCGGTTTGCTGCTTGTGGGGAAACCGCAACGGTTTCACCGTCCCACCGGTTCTGCGGCTGCGCGTCGCAATGAAGCGACTTCTTTAAGGTAGCGGGTGACGTGGGACGGAAAGCACGCGGCGCGATGAAAGGCGATCGCCGACATCGGACACCCCGGGGGGGGGAACGCGGATTGGCTGGTCCGCTCACCTTGCGTTTCACGTCTATGAACTGGGAGAACATCAGAGACCAGTAGAAGGACAGCTCGGCCGCGTAGTGGGTGAACTGCTGGGAGCTCTGGTGCTGGTGGGGGGGGGGGAGAAGAACAAACAAACACCTTTAAGGACAAACCGAGCGGATCGGAAGAGGAGAGAGCGGCTCGCGAAAGGGGGAGGAAATAGCGCTCACCTGGAAGGGGTAGTTGTACCAACACTTTCTGGTGTCCCAGGTCCAGGGCGACTAAGGGGAGCAGATGAAACGTGCACATGATTACGTCAATAAGACTGATCTCATTCCTCAACAGTCCCCATTTCAATGACTATTGTTGTTATTGTAAAGCCCTGTTTGACATAGTTTTTAGAAAGGTGCCGTATGAATAAATTCTAATGCATTGCTTATCTTATCCTACACCTATCGAATGGCCTTGGCTCCATTTTTATTATTGTACTTTGCTTCTATCTTGATCGCAATCACTTCAATTGTGTATTTAACAGGAGAATTATTGTGCAACACTGGTTTTATTGCAACTTTGAAGGTTATTATTATTATTATTATCATCATCTCACCACCCACAGATGTCGAACGGCGTAGATGAAAATCCCCAAATAGAAAGTTAGTCGCCACCTGAGAGCAGATAAGGAAGCAGAGACATGAGGGGGGGTGGTGCACACGGTGCGATCACTTTCACGGGAGTCGGTTCCCCCGCGGGCCGTCGGGCAGGAACTCACATGCTCTCGCAGAACTTCTTCTGCATGCCGGGCCGGTCCTGGTTCCGACGCACCCGGAACCATCTCTCGATCTTGCGCTGGTCCCAGTCCAGCTGCTTGGTGAGCCCCTCCAGTTGCCTCGTGTCTGGACACTGAGGAGGACAAAATCAAATGAAAAAGTGGACATAAGATGGGTGGGGGGGGGTCGACAGAGACGACGCAGAGGGAGCTTCGTGAGTACCGCTTTGGACTGGAAGACTTTCTCCAGGACGGCGTTGGGCTGAGCTCGCCGAGGAACTCCCGCCTGGATGTGAAGTATGTGGGCGCAGGGCTTGGCCACCAGCCTGTGAGCACGCAAGGAGGGGCAGCAAAAAGAGAGGGAGGGGGGCAAGAAGAGACGCACAAACACAGGGACATAAGTTAGGCTAGGTAATGATTGACTTTGTCTTACAGATGCTGTGTGTGTGTGGGGGGGGGGGGACAAGAGTGTTTAGACCGGAATGTGGAACCTACTCTAAACGGAGCGTGGTGACCTCTGTCATGTGAGGGAGGCCACAACACTGATGTGTGTCATCTCCACCTCACAACACCCTACTCCTCTGGGTGTGGGGGGGGGGGGGGGGGAGGGTGGGTCCCTCTCATCGGTGAGATCAGCTTCACTTTGATGGAACCGTGTGACTTATTTAAAGGGCTGTAATACAGATGTGGTCCTCCCGGCACAGTCCACAAAATAGAAAAACGAAGAACGAGGCGTCAAAAGAGAAAAATAAGAAGTGTGTTCCGAGACTTGATGTTTCATCACCTCACAGGAATGCTGACACTGCTAAAAAAAAGAAGAAAAAAAAGAAGAAGAAGAGGCCAAAAGGCAGAAACAACAGCGAGGGGAGAATAGACCCGATATCGGTCACGTGGGGGAGGATCAGCTCCCAGCTGTGGAGTCGCTTTGTTAAATAAATAAATAAATTAAATTACGGATGAGCGGTTTAAGTATCTCCGGTTTTAGTTCACGTGGACTCACTTCCGCGCGCCACAGCTCGCGTGTCTCCGGTTTGTCTGACGAGGCCCGCGGAGAGTTTCTGGTGTCAGGAGAGCAGCGGGGAGTGAGTCACGCACGAGGCGAACAGGGGTTTGGTGGCGAGGAGGAGGGGGGGAGGAGGAGGGAGGAGGGTTTCCACACTTTTTCTTTGGGAGCAACAGTGTAGCGACACGGACCGAAAGAGTCCATAAACGTGATATAAATGCACGTGCACGCGCAGCGGGAGCACGCGGCTAAACGATTAAACTAAAACAAAAGCCGAGGCGGGGACGAGCGTACCTTTCAAAGAGCATTCTCAGCAGAAACACCATGACAGCCAGCGGCAGGGCGTAGAGGAGGTGTCTGACCCGCGGGTACTCCACCCCAGGTGGGGGTCGCTCCAGGTCCTCCCACGTAACGTTCTTGGGGAGCCAAAAACTCTCGCTCCAAAACCAGGCTGAGATAGAGGAAGCCATCGGGCAGCGAAACCGAGGCAAAACAACTTAAAAAAAAAAACAAGCAAACAATAAATATAATAAAAAACAATCCACTCGATGTCGCCCAAAAAACAGACAAATAAAAGTGAAGCGAGAAAGTTACTTGTGGAACATCTGGTGGAGGTGAAGCAGAGACACGGACGGTTTCGGTGGAGATGTTTCCACCTCCTCCCGTCAGCGCCGACAGACGAGCACTTCTGGTTCGCCCCCGTTAGCGCGACACGTAACGCTGAAGTCTGGAGGAAACTCCGCCTCATCAGCCGCCTGCCTTTTCTTCTCTTTCTTCTCTTTTTTTGTGTGTGTTGCGGATGTGTTTCAGGGATCGTTTCACCGGTCGTGGGGTTTTTTTTGGGGGGGGCGGGATTTGACATTTGAACGAGATTTGAGTTTTTAGACGTCCCGTTGTTGGGAAGTTGGGGATTTAACATTAAGTTGGGATGATGTCAGCCAAGATGTGGCTTTTTAGTAAAGATGTGAGCCTTGTTGTTTGTTTGTATTTGTATTTTTTTTATTCATTTATTTAAACAACACATGTAGTAAACATCCTCACCCTCCACACCAGCTGGTGGCGGCAACGCAACAATTAGTTTGTATGTTAACCGCCAATAAACCTAAAACCAAAGAAGAAGAAAACCTGGCCAATTAGCTCTAGCTAAAGTCAGGCTGCGTTAGCGGCCGTCACAGCCAATTAAAGGTAATGGTACCGTGTTTTTTTTTTGGGAGATTTCTGGTGGTAAGTTACGACAGTTTGAATACTTCAAATACAATGTTTGGACACATCAACTTAACCGTAACTAGCGGAAATATCAGGTGATAATCGAAGCATCTTAAGGGTTCGCTGTCGGTAAGCTAGCGCGTCACATTCCGTGGTCCAAGATTATTCACCATGCAGTAAGCTAACAATAATTTAAGGTAATGTAGAATGAAACCTATCCAATTTACAGCTAACTCTAAATTTGATTGGTTCTGGCTAAGTTAACTAGCTATCATCAAAGCCAATTAACTGTATTATGGAGTTCTTTGGTGGTTAATGTTAATTGACAATCATTGAATACTTAATAAGATGTTGACAGTATTTCTATATCAGGCTAAGAGCGTTGAATGAATAACTTTACACACCCAGTTATGTTACATGAATTGTTACTTGACACCAATCGTTAAACAAGACATTCCTTAAATTATACTTGCAAGTAGGAGACAGAATTGACACACATAGAAGTCATGCCTCAAGACCAGAGTTTAAATATATAGTTGGAAGATAAACGTACTACTGCTAATCAACCGTGGATGTAGACGATCATCACCACCACGAGATAAACTGGACATTGACGCACGAACATCTTGACGCAGAACACCATGTGTCTCTGTGTGAGACAAAGCAGACTCTGTCGTCCAAGTAATGTTGACAAAGGCAAAACACTATTTAAGTTCTCCCAAAATTATCATGAAGTTAAATCAAATCAAATCAAATTCAAACGGTTTCAGTCAAAACCTGAACCGGCACGTTTAGTTCGGCACTGATGTATTTAACTGATAAACCGGCAGCTGAGCGTAAACTCTACATTCGTTGCATATTATTATGATGTATTCAACATTACCAGGACGGATTTATTGCTCAGTCAAGGAGTAGATTTCTTTTTATTGCATTTGAAACGAGTCCAGGTTTCGTGCAGTAAATCCTTGGAATTTGGCAGGACGGCTCTGGAAGCGTGTGATCAGAGGGCGCCAGTCAAACAACTAATTCCACGGCCTCTCACACATTGTGACATCAAGCAGTCTCGCTGCCGGCCTTTACGGTAGTAACGTTTGTTTGAGTCTTTCACGTATAAAACTGGTTTATGTGGGTTTGCCGTTCACCTGTCCGGGCGGAGAACATTGCTTGCTCTTTGAGCGCCGTAATCCCCTTCAGGCCGCTCCGCTCCGACGGAACACCTTTTGTGGGATGCAAAGACAGTTTGTAAAGATTATGGATTTACTCCAGAATAAAGTGGAAGGTTGGGTTGTTTGATTATTGACTGACAATGCGTCAATGATTAGCAGCATCAGATCATAAACCTTTGTTTGATTACTACGTGGTTGAGGTTACTCTTATGGAATATGGCCATAGATGAAGGACCCTTTCTCTGTTTTACCTTAATTATAGGATGTTAAGTTTAAGTCCAACCGCTCCCCCGCCTTGTCCAAAATTGAATTATCTACTTAAATGCATTGCTAGCGTGCAGCTGCAGACTGTGGTGTCCTCACTAAAGTTGCAGGTTGTTAATGTGGACATTTAATGCATCGCCGGCTGCAGTTTAGACTTTGGCAGCTCGCCGGGCGACGGCCTGTGAACGCTGACTGCTTGGCGCTCTTTGAGTTGGGTGCAGCTTGTTATTATAGGTGCTGATCCGGCGAGAGCTGTTCATGCTTGCACCGTTGAGCCCGTGACGCACACCGTCACCATTCATGATATGGAATAACGCCAACTGAGGCAACACCGGTAAACCGGTTTCTCCTGAAGGATCGCATGCTTGTTTAGCATGACACTATTGACACAATCTAATTGTCTCATTCACAATCTCACAATCTCTGTGTGGGGACTTCATGCATTATTCAAGCCATTTAGGAAGTTATGAAAAGCTTCTGAGCAAATTGAGTGTGTGGGGGGGCATTTACATGTTGAAAGCCTTTTCAATTTAGGCCACTGGTTTTCTTTCACTGTCTTTATTTCACCTCTGCCTCTCGCACATTTCAGAGCATTCCCGGGATGCAAACTGAGTTATTGCATTGTCCAATAGCACAGTGTAGATTAGCTGAACAATACACGGCTCTGCCCCTCGGGGCCATGTGCAGATCTCACGCTGCAGGCTGTTAATTCATCTATTTTTTTTTTTTAAAAGTCCTGCAGGGAGAAATAAGGGCAGGCGGGTGGGATGCAGCACATGTAGGACACACACAGCGTCACACCGGCCTTCAGCGCTCGGCGGCGTCCCGTCCAGCTCAACGTGGTCAGAGAGCGGCTCCCTGAACACAACCTCTCTGTCGCTGGCTGTGCAGCTGCAGCTTCCACTCGGATGCATGACCTAGTGAGGCTGGAAGACTTCAGCCACACAATAAAGGGGTGGGGGTGGGGGTGAAAGGACGGGGGCTGTTTTTGAATTGATTTGTCCGATTTACCTCTTGCTCAGCCTTTGGAACCGGGCTTTAAGAATTTGTTCATTCATTTCAGCCATATTTCTTTAGTCTTCGCTGGCCTCAGTCCAACATTAGCAGAGAGGTTTGGTACACGGCGTCGGCCTCCCCCTCTGGTCTCCCCCCACCCTGGCTCCCCGCTTGGACTGGTCCATTTCGCATCTGAGAAAAATCTGATAGTTGGAGGAGAGTTCTTCACGCCAGGGATCGCTTCAGCCTCCACGCAGAGTACCGAAGCTCCTGCATCTCCTTGAGGTAATATTTCCCGATGAGTTTCATTCCTGACCCTTTTAAACAAAAATTGTCAGTACATTTTCTCTGACTAAGAGGTTCAAGTTTAACCTGTCAGCGCCCTTGTAGCTGAGGATCAAATCTGTTCATAAATGAGCTTGCATTTTTGTGTTTACCATTTTTGAAAATACTTAAATTCTTAACCGAAACAACAGCAGTGACATCTCTAAGGTTTAGATTCATCATCTCTTCTAACTCTCGATCTAACTCTTTATTTTGACAATCGTATCAGTTTGTTGACATGGGATATAATATTTATATATATATATATATATATATATACGCACAAATAAATGGATGTAATTCTATTTTTATATTTCTATTTATATAGGGATGTGTGTGTTCACCATTTCTTCACAGATAAACCAATGGATGAGAAGGAGCTGAGTGATCCAATGAATAACGTGCCGGTCATCCAAGGTAACCCAGCTGTCTTCTCCCCTCCATGACTCTGCAGTTAGAGAGAGAGAGAGAGAGAGAGGGGGAGAGGGGGAGGGAGATGCAGGTGGCCTTGTTTTCTTTCTCCGGCGTCATCAGAAGATGGAGCTCACGTTAGCCGGCCGTGTGTTTTGTGCAATCAGGCCAACGTTATTGATTCCCTACACGAGGAGCAACAGGGACCGTCACGGGAAAATATGCGAGCACGTTGGCGAGCGAATCCAAATCTGCGTGACGAGACACTGTGACGCTCGGCTGCGCCGCGTATAGGCAGCACAAAGCAAACAGTGTCCCCGCGACAACAGCGTCCCTTTCTCCACCAAGGACGAGGACATGTCGTTGAAGCGCGCGCACAGCGCAGTGTGTCGCTGTAAATTGACCCCTCCTCCTCCCCGCCAGTGTGATCTGCTGTTTTATAGAAACCCGCTGAACACTGTCCACATTCAGTCCGCCTCTAACCCCTTCGGTCCAGTTTAGGAACGCCGTCACAGTCCTGGGGGGCGGCGGGCGGCTTCGGGGTAAAGACCGACCAGAATGGCTTCAGCCCCTCAGTGAGCTAAAAAAAGACTTTCTCCTACATTTTCCGTGTGATGCTCTGCCCCCCCCTCCCCCTGTTCCCCCCCCCCCCACCCACAGCTAGTCAGAGAGGTTTTGTTACACACAGGGCTAAACCAATCATTACTTCTGGTGACCCCTAACACACAACGGCTAAAACGGGCTTACCGGAGGAATAAGTATCTGCAATGTCTCCAGACATTGTTCACAGGGGACCCCCACGCACTTTTTCCTTCCACCCCCCCCCCCCCCCCTCATGCATATGCACGCATGAGGGAACACACAAACTCGTGCACGCACCCTGGACGGGGCGCCGCCTCCCTCCGCCCGTCCTTTTGTCTGCCGCGCCGCCGTCATGTGCCCGAGTCGCAGGGTGCCACCAGCCCCCGTCGGCCGGCCTCAGAGACCTCCATCGAGCCCACTGACGTCGTGGCCATTTATGGCGCTCACGCCTGACCTGTCCCGACTCCCACTGCTTTTCGCCTGCGCCAAAAGCTGGGCCCGAGATGAGGTCATCTCTCTTTTTTCAGAGCCGCGGCAGATTAGGGGATGAGGATATTCACTGGGAGTTGCGAAGCCCGGGTATTTGTGGCGCTTGTTTCCGCCTCCGGGGGAAACACAACAGACCCTTGACAACGTTGGCCTTTGTGTGATGTTTACAGTAACTTACCGATAACAAAGCAGTGTCGGGGTGCCAGGGAAGCGTCTGTTTTCGGGTTAATGGACAATTTGGAACGAAAGATTCTTGTAAAAGAAAAGAATGTGTCTATTTCTGGGTGAGCAATTAGTTTATGTAACGCTCCCATTTGAATATATCTTGGGAAATCATCTAGTATGTCAGGCCTGGTTAAATATTTGGGAATGAAGCAGAATTAATGTGGTGGGACCTTTTGAGTAATCCGGCTATTTTTACGACCATGAATGGCCGTCATTACTGTTTGATGCGTCACCGGGGCTCAGCCTCCCTGACGTCGCCGTCTGCAAATATCTACTTCTCACAGCTGCAGGCTTCCCTGTCAGGAGAAAGGAACGTCTAATCTGGAAAGTATTCTTTCTCTGTTTGCGCTGCGTTTCATGCATCAGATGACTTGACCAGGTCGAACACGGGCTCTTCTGGCGACTCCGAGAAAATGCTCCAGCGCTTGAACGAGGAACTCCGAGAAGCCCAGGAGCTAGCCAACACCGAGAAGCACAAATGCATGGAGCTGCAAGGTAAACGTTCTGCTCTTTGATGTTTGGTACCATTCGCCACACGGACGACTGCAAGTGCAGGAAAACAATTGCGTCGTTCCTTCGCAGGCGTCCTGCAAGACGAGAGAAAAGGAAAGCAGCAACAAGCTGATGAGTCTGCAAAACAGATAAAACATCTTCAAGGTAAACCATTTGTTGCCGTATGAACGTTGTGCCCGCCCACTAAAAATAGCTGCTAAACCGCCCCCCGCCCCCCCCCGTGGCGTCGCACAGGCCAGCTGCGGCAGCTCCAGGATGAAACGGGCGTCCTCAGGGACCAGAGGGACGTCTCCGCCGACGAGCTGCAGAGCGCCCGCGGCGAGGTGAAGGCGTTGAAGCGCGCCCTGGAGGAGGCCGCCGCCGAGCGGGACCGCGACGCCGCCGCCGTCCAGGCCAACCTGGCGACCGCCTCCAAGGATCTGGACAAATGGCGCCAGGCGGCCAACAAATACGAGCGAGAGATCGGCGACCTGCAGCGTGACCTTCAGCAGCAGAGCAAGCAGTGGCAGAAAACCGCAGAGATACAAGGTGCAGACGCACACACTGATGTACTGATGTGACGATGGCTTCAGTGTCCTCGTGATTCTGAACTACAGCTCGAAGAGACTCAAACGTCCGTCCAAGTGCACTGGGACAATATCTTTTCTACGTACTTTAACTTAATCTGGCGGCTTAATTAAGAAAAGCGCATCTGCCCGCGATGGTTGCATTAAGTCTCTTTATCCTCGCAGCCGGAGAGCTGCAGTCCATGCAGGCCGAGTGCAGCGGCCTGCAGAAGGAGTGCTCGGGCCTGCGGTCCGAAAAGCAGGACGCCGCCAACAAGCAGCAGAAGGAGAGCGGCGCCCTTCGGGCCGAGTGTGCCGCCCTGCGGGCCGAGAGGGAGGAGCTCCTCAAGGCCCACCAGAGAGACACGGGCAGCCTGCAGGGCGACTGTGCCGCTCTGCGCTCCGACGTGGAGGCGGCGCTGCAGAGGCAGCAGCAGCTGGAGAAGGAGCTCGCCAGGTCAGTGCAAACCCCCCTCCCGGTCCCCCTCGCTGTCTCTTCAGGTTTACTTTGCTTCGTGTCCTGCTACACAGAATAACGCCGTGTGAATCTCCCCCCCCCAACCCCCTTCCTCCTATTGAACCCCGTGTTTGTCTCGCTTCCCGGTAGTTCACGTGCCCAGAATGCAGAGCTCAGCGGCAGCCTCAAGGCCCTGCAGGGGGCCCAGCAGGAGCTGGAGAAGAGGCTGGCGGCCCAGAAGCTGCAGCACCAGCAGGACAGCGGCGAGCTGCAGACCCAGCTGGAGAAGGCGGGCGGCCACAGCAAGGCCCTGCAGAGAGAGGTGCGTCCAGCAGAACACGCTCATCTCCGGGGGCCACGAGTACTTCAGACCCGACAGTTACACATTGTCTACGCTGTCTGTTGCTGCCCCAGAAAAGCTTCTGGTCTACTTACACACGCACACACGCGCGCACACACAAGTAAATGATTGTGTGTCGATCCGTGAGATAAGTCACCGTGGTGTGAAAAAAAGGACTGCTGACCTGCTGCTTCACACGCCCGGTGTTTACTGGGTGTTCGTGTCAATGGCTCCTGCATGCAGAACCGAAGATGAAAAGCCAATCAGATATGCATAACCAGTATGTTTTGATGACATTATCTCCTTTGAGATTTCCTCCCTAATTCCTTGTAGAGGAGGAAAGGGATGTAGGTGAGAGATGTCCCCCCAACCAAGCTTTATGTGCTCCTTCATGACTGCAGCCCCTCGACCTTCTGGGTCACTGCCCGCTATACACCAGCGCATGTTTTGTCATATGTTGCTTCAGTAATTAATTTCCCGGTATCATAAATTTTTTATAGCAGCGGGGGGGGGGGGGGGGCTCTCGCGTGTTGGTTTATGGGACAAAAGAAAGCCGGGGAGAAACTATCAATCACAGATACTTAACATCAATCGAACCTTGACCCCGTCATGCACACATTGTTACTTATTTATTTACGTGTGTGTGTGTGAGACAGGATTTATTATACCTACACACACAGACATCACGGACGACATCCAGTTGTAGCCGATCCGTAACAAAACAAACCCAGTAGTACATTCCTGCGGTGCGTTGTTTTTAAATTTGCATTAATAACAACCTGCAGCATTTCTGCTGCGGTCAGACGATGTGGCCGACGTTTTCACAACATGGAACATGAGAACTTTGACCCGGTGTGCAAATATTGTGTCTGAGTATAAATGTTCTTTACCTTATTGTGACCTCTCTTTGCTGCTTAAAAAAAAAGGTTCTTAAAATGAGTTGTAAAGCGCCTCTAACCGCAGAGTGACGTGTTCTGTAAATACAGTTCCGAGCCAAATGTACATTTAAATGTAACGTTGAAAATGACCACTTTGCTTGGCGCAGTTTGAGGAAGCCAAGACGGAGTTGTCGGACCTGAAGGAGAAATACGAGAAGACTGAGCAGGAAAAGCAGTCGCTCGCCGACGAGTTAGAGGAGTGCAAAGCCAACGTGGAGGAACTGAAGGAGAAAGGGACAAAGGTGAGTGCCGGTCTATCGCACATCGACAGCAGCGCATATATGCATAATTAACAAGGATCCGAGTGCTCCGAGAAAGGAAAGCGTCACCGTAGCTTTGCATAAGAGGCAGCCGGTTGATTTGTTCCGTAGGAGCATGAGCTTGGCATCAGATTTGTTTATAAAATCTCCTTTGTAAGATTCACAATGTATAATCTACATAGATCTATAGAAATAGATCTATATAGATTTGTTTTATCACAGCAGCACACTGGCACTCACAGCACATCCGCTCATCCGCTGCCTTTTGTTTGGCAGCATTGTGTCTGTTACACACCACTGACCGAGGGGGTTCATTAAGACCCCTAAACGCCTGTCCTGTAATGTCCTTTCCTTTCGGTAGACGTCCCCATTGCTGCCCGTTCAGGCGGTAGTCTTCGGCCTCGTCCTGGCCGCCCTGTTTTGGTGCTTCGGCGCGTTGTGGTACTAAAGGGTACAAGGTCACTCCTCTCAACCCGGCGGACATCTTTCATCTTCACCCGTGTCTTTGTGGATCAGTTGCATGACTTTATTCCCCCCAGAATCCTTTCTTCATGGGGGGGGGGGGGGGTGGTGGTGATGTCAGAGACTCTAACCTCTCCAATCATAGAGTTCCAACATCTGTTTGTCTTGTCTGGATGGCTAATGCTTACCTGCCTTGTTTCTGCCCGTCGGCTTGGATGAGCTTCTCCGAAGGCTGTTTGCTTTCATTTGATGCGTCGCTTTCGATGCAAAGTTCCTGCTGTCAAAGCTCCTGAACTCCCCCGATGATGGTGGTGATGGTGATGGTGGTGGTGGTGGTATTTACCGGGGCCGCGTCGCTCCTCATGTCTCAATGTCGCTGCTTGTTTTCAGAAGCCGTGGTTGATCTGGGGGCCCGTCGCCGCCGCCGTGGCTCTAACGGCTGTGACTGCTGCCGTGCTCTTCAGGACCTGAGGGCAACACGCACACGCACGCACACCCCCACCGATCCACGGTCCTTGTCAGATTTCACCGCACTGAGAAACTCGCCCTCTCATCATATCTGCACTTTTAATTAGGAGGGCTCGTACTAAACAGTTTAATTTCTAAGATTCTCTATTTTAGATGACAGATGTTAATAAAAGAATGTGTTTTGTGAGGCAAAAACGATTACGCTCGTTTTGTTTTATCTTATCATTTAAAGGATCGTGTGTTTTTGTTTCCTGTCGTGACTTCCAGGATCGTCTGTTGATGAATGTAAAGGAGCACTACACACTTAGTTCTGAATCTCTTTTGGATTGGATCACCTCCCTAAATGTAACACATCTCTGTAACCGTCAGAAATAATAAATATTGTCACAATAATGCGGCGGCCAGTTGATGCCTCGGACGCACAGATTGTCACCGCTGACATTCTCCTGCAGTGATTGAAACGTTAAAACGTGTTTGGTTTTCTGTTTTTAGTAGTTAAGTAAACTCCAGTTGAGGATTCCTTCTCTGCTTTACGTTGAATATACGGTTGCTTCCATAGTTTCTGCAGCAGCCGTTCATCACACTTCTTTTAGTTGTGCCAATAAAATAAAGAGTACAAAGCTCGGTGAAGCAGACATGTGTTACTTAAACGCATGCCATTTGGTATTCTATGGTATTAATACTTGATGTCATGTTTTTGAAACTAAACACTAAAATTGTAACGTGTGTTCATAGTTATGTTTGCATGCAGTATATATGATTTTGTGTGAAATATCAACTTCATTCGAGTCTATGAATTTGCTTTGTGATGGTTTGCTTGGCTCCTTGTGAATAATAATCTACGTACTTTGTAAAGAGATGAAGGGTCGTATAGTTTCTTAGGTTCAAAGTTTATGAATAACTGCTCTGAAATGTACAGGTGACCTTAATTAAAGATCTCAACCTCACAATGACACCTTGTGTATGAAGATGTGCATAAGCAGACTGAACAGTTTCATGTTCTTCTGACCTCTGCAGAGGAACATCACACAGAAGGTGAGCTGCTCTCGTCTTGACTTCTCTGTTGGCGCGAGCGGATTCGGTATCGATGTTTTTGCTTCCAAACTCCAGCCAGAAACTTAGCGAGGTTGAATCTTGTCTTGCGCCGTAAAGCAGCTGTGACGCTTCCAACTTCACCTGCAGTTTGACCGGAGAGAAAAGGAGCCTCGAGGCTCCTCCTGACGAGGAGATACAAAGTCAGTCTTCATGTAAATACCTTACTATTTTCTCAAATTGAGGCGGTTTACATAAAAGTGTACCAGTGAAGAGGAGTCCTACTTTGAATAAAGTATGAAGTGTTCTGTGGCTTTGAAAGGAGCCCCCATCAACGTCTGAAATAAAATACCCCTGATGATGGAGCGGTGACGTCATCGGGGGCATCTGGCTTCTGCTTAAAGCTGCAGTGGTTCGGATCTGTCGCCCCCTGCTGGTGAGGTGGCTGCTTTTAACCAATTAAAATTTTTAAACCAAATTTAAACTCCAAAAAACAATGTTTGTGCATACTCGATAATAGTGTATTCTATTACACAGCGTTATTATAACGCCTTGTGACCTCTAGTGGAACCGTGTGTGTGATCTAGGGAGAAAATGTTTTCATTGGTCCAAGATCACGTAAAACCTAAAGCACTCTGGGAAATGTAGGAAGCAGGAACGTTGCGCAACTGTTTTCTTCCCCAACGTGTCTGGGGTGAGACCCCCTCGCAATAAGAGGAGCTCACGTGACGTCTCACTGAGGGGGGCGGGGCTGTTCTTCTGCTGGAAGATGACGAGATGCAGCTTTGCCCTCTGAGCACGTAGAGGACGACCTCCCTCCTCTCGGCCCGGTCTGCACCCCTCCCCCCCCCCCACCCCCACTGTGCTGTGTGCGTTTAGTTCTGCTCTAGCTGGTATGTAGGTCATCGTTAGTGGGCCAGAGGTGCATGGGGGGGGGTCAGCTGCACATTGCAATGGACGGTTAGTAAATAGCTTTCATTTACAATAATAATAATTGATGATAATAGTGGCTTTGTTTTCGGTTTATTAAAGGGGACACTCTACTTTTAAATGAAAGATATAATCAGGAAACGTCCCCAGTAGATTACTGACACTTAAAACCCCAAAACGTGGATTTTGAAGCTCCTCGGCTGGAGGGTTTCAGTCCAAACAACATTTCGTAGAATGTTTAACTGTAATGCTATCGATTGTATTATTTTGTCTCTATTTGGTTTCGGCTCTTCACAGATGACAACATTCAACGTAGAAACACTAACATTCATTTTGTTTCTAATAAGGAGTTTGTTCACATATCATTCAGAATCTGATACAAGATCACTAAATAGATGGTGAAATATCTTTTTTTCAAAATTAATAAAGTGATACAAAGATGTATAATAAAGTAGAATATTTCCTTCCGTAGAATTTCCTTCTGTTTGATTCTAATATTTTAAGCTAATTGAAAAATTATTTTGAACATATTTTAGAAAACTTGAAATACAAAATTGTTTGTGTCATCGACTGAGGAAGTTCCACATTTATATTAGTGAGTTAAAAAGATGGATTGCATTAGCATTATAACATATATAATCAGCATTATACAAAATCCTTAAATGAATGCCCCTGAGTCCGAATGTCTCTTATTTGACCTTTTTTATTAACTTTATAACGTGCAGAAGCACGTTTGCACCACCTCTGGCCAACAAACTGTTCATTGTGTTTACCGACGGTCGTTGTCAACGTTCTGCTGACTTCACAGTATTTTCCACAGTTTGTATCTCATATTTATCAGGTTCCCGTTGTGCGTTCACTTTAAAAGATTGGCCCGGTTTTCCCCCCCCAATGATATAATAATCAATACGTTTATCCAGAGCCAACATCTTCCGCCCGGACCAACTGCTCTCCACCCCGGGGCTTTTTATTTTCATTCTGATTGTGTAAGAAGAAAGATGATCTGACTGTTGATGCTGCACGTCGCCTTTTAAATGAGCTCAAACATCCGCATGTTGTAAAACGTTCCATCGGAGCCGCACCAGGAGGGGAAACAACAAAAGTAAGTTGTTCCATTTAAAACAGGACTGTAGCATGCATGATTCTTGTGTCTTTGGACGCTGTCTGTGCCCCCCCGCCCCCCTCGGCACACAGTGTGTGTGTGTGTGTGTGTGTGTGTGTGTGTGTAGGCCATGGCAGCGGACCTGGACGTGGTGAACCTGTTTGTGATCGCGGGGGCGACGCTGGCTCTTCCCATCGTGGCCTTCGTTGCCTCCTTCCTCCTGTGGCCCTCGGCGCTCATCAAGGTGTATTACTGGTGAGCTCTTTCCCTTCAGGCCTTTGATATGAGCCACGACGACGATTATAACACAAGTGTTTTACAGGAAAGGACAAATTACTGGCAGCAAAACGTCTGATTTCAACCTCCTAAGAACACTAAGGCTAAAGGCTAAAACATGTAACTTTGACTGAAACTTCCCCAGTTGAGTTTTTTACATTTTCTGAAGATGAATGTTGAAAGGGTTCATTTTGCATTATCTAATAGATGCAAATATACAAAGTAGTAAATAAAACCGCCGAATGTGTATTGTTATGTTTTCTTACAGAAGCTAAACAGCCCAAAATCTAAAAAAATGTATGCATGAAACCTCCCAACGCTCCACCAGCCCGTGAGTGCTTGAGTCCGGGCCCCGGGGCCCCTGGTGTCCACGTGTTGGGGGGGGGGGGCGGGGCGGGGCGGGACGGCTCATGCGTGCACCTGCTTCCTCTTCAGGTACTGGAGGAGGACTCTGGGCCTGCAGGTGCGCTACGCCGACTGCGGCGGCTATCGCTTCTGCTTCGCCTGCCGGGGGAAGCCGGGGACGAGACCGTCCATTCTGATGCTGCACGGCTTCTCTGCTCACAAAGACACGTGGCTCAGTGTGTCCAAGCTCGGAGGAGGGGAGAGAGGCTTTAAGGAGTTAAACGTCCATTTTAACAGAAAGCAGTGATGTCTTTGCCATTTCCACGGCATTTCAAGGCTTCTTCATATGAGAGTTCACAAATTCCGATTTGACATCATTTTATAGAATTCATCCAGTAAATGTGGACGTGGTGCAAAGGATGAGCTGTCAATCAGACCTCTGTCCAATCAGGTTACACCCACGTGAAGTTCAGCCAGGTTATTAGTTGTTAGCGAGTCACGTTGTCAGTCCTTAAAGCCGAGTACCGTCTCCTCTCCGTCTGCTCCAGTATTTACCAAAGCATCTTCACATCGTGTGCGTGGACATGCCCGGTCACGAGGGAACAACACGCACCAGCGCGGAGGACTACTCCATCCGGGGGCAGGTCAGACGGATCCATCAGGTAGGGGAGGAAAAAACACAAAAGGCTCGATACGTGTCTTAAGATTTCACTGAAAACCTGTTTTTTTTTTTTGTTTCTTTTGGACTTTCTCAGTTCGTGGAAACCGTTCGCTTGAACAGGAAACCTTTCCACGTGGTCGGGACCTCCATGGGGGGCAATGTGGCCGGCGTTTACGCAGCCTGCTACCCCGCAGAGATCTGCAGCATGACTCTCATCTGCCCAGACGGTCAGCCGTGTGTGTGTGTGTGTGCGTGTGTGTGTGTACGTCTTTTTTTTTTCCTTCTCCACATAACCTACAGTTACAAACTGGGCTTTTGAGCGAGAAAGCTGCTGAAGCACATTTGTACTCACACCTGTTGTTTGATCGTCAGCGACCTGACGTGATCATAATCGCACACAAAACCCCCCCCATTCATTATTTCCGCCTTTCCTTTGTGGCTCGCCTTGTTTATCTTCCCGTCATCCCTTTCTAATCCTGCAGGCATAAGACACCCCTGTGAGACCAAATTTGACAATCACCTGCAGGACTTGGAGCACAGCAATTACACACTAAACATCCCGCTGATCCCCACCACGCCCGAGGAGATGGAGGACATGTTCAGACTCTGCTCTCACGTGCGCTTTAAGATCCCTCAGCAGGTCAGGACCTCGGCGCCGCTAAAAAACGAGAGCATCGTGGGATTCTCTTTGGCATAAGCGTCAGTCTGTGCGGCTGCTGTTTTATACATGTGATGTCATTGTTAGATTCTTCAAGGGCTGGTAGATGTTCGGCAGCCTCACAACACATTTTACGAAGAAGGTTGGTCGACACACTTTCCCCAAAGATCCCAGGTGAGCGTGGTGCGTACGAGTAAATGGGTTTCCTTTTTTCAACAGTCTTTATGGAGATTGTTGGTGAGACGTCGCGATATGCCTTACAGGAGCACTTGCATCTGATCACGGCTCCTTTGCAAGTCATATGGGGCAAAAAAGACCAGGTAATCCAGACCCGAACACACGCGGTGGCTTTTGCTTCTAAACTGATCCTTAAAAAACAATCCCGTGTAACACAAACTCTGCAACCTGCCGTCGGCCGGCGCCTGGGTTCTGAATAGCGTGAGCTCGGACACACGGTGACCTCTGCGTCTGTCCAAGGTGGTGGACGTCTCCGGAGCCGCGGTCATTGCAGAGGTGTTGCCCGGCTGCCGAGTGGACCTGCTGGAGAACTGCGGACACTCCGTGGTGATGGAGAGGCCTTCTCGGACCGCCAAACTCATCCTGGAGTTCATCATCTTGCAGCAAGAGGCCAGGGGGGGCGTAAAGAAATCCTGCTGAGACAAAGGGAATAAATGTATAAACAGCTTCAACATATGACAGCAGGCATTCTTTTTCATAGTGTTGCAGGCGTGCATTTACTAGAAGATGCATCGCATTCTATTTGTGCAGTAACCTGCATCGAGAGAATAAAAATCACTTTTAAAAAGCCAATGCTGCATTTGTGTGTGTACGTGCCGGGTTGTGCGCTCATGCATTCGCGCGTGGACGCAGCAGCACCGCCTCTCCCCTACGTCATAAAAACGCCACCTGGTGTGCGCAGTGTCGCTGCACCACCCCGGAGTCGAGCACCGCTGCCGCCGCAGGACCAGCGGCCAACACCCCTAACGGTAACGTCAAGCACCGACCGACCGCAGATCAGCTCCGGATGACAAAACCGACCAGAAAGGACGAAACAAGCGCAACAAAAACCAAAGAAATGTTACTTCCTGTTTGTGTGCACGCGATGCTCGTGGGCTGCTACCGTTAGTCGCTACCGTTAGAAGCTAGCTAGCTAGCTCAGTGTGCGATGAACCCTTTTCAACTGCGGTGCTCGCGCTGCATTTAACGCTGCGTGTCTCTGTGCGTCCGCGGTGGATTCTCAACTCCTTATCAGCGCGTATAGTTTAAACATGTAACCGTTACAATGGCTTCTTTTGGAAATGTGCTGCGTTAGCCATCTTCTTTATCACAGCAGAAAGCGTGAAATGCACACACGTTGGATGGCTGCCTTCTTTCTTCCTTTCTTTCTACTTTCTAGCGTTGGTTATTGCTCAATAATCGATCACTTTATTGTATGGAAGTTTGTATCTAAAGTTAAGTAACGCCAGGTTTCAGTTTCAAATCCGGTAGTAACACGGTGTTCTGCTGTGCGGGGGTCAAAGGTCATTCTAATAGACAAAGCATTATTTATTCAGCAGCTGTCAATCGAACCGCCGGTTGTCATGGAAACGCGGATGCTAAGATTTCTTTTCCTTCCTGAGCACTTTACCTGTACGACCAGGATGATGATGGTGATGATGGTGCAATTTTATCTCAAACAGCTGCTAAATGGACGTTAAGTGAAATGCAGCCCACTGCTAATATCTATAAGGGAAACCAGCCCAGAGTCGCAAATAATCGATCTTGTGTACAGAATGCTCATTGAAAGCACGACGTTCTTCTGTAGCGGGCTTTACTGAGAAAACACGTGATTTGTCTACATGATCGTGTCAATCATATTCTGCATATCTGTGTTACAGCTCATGTTAATGTGACTGTTTTTTCACAGGTGATATTGAATTAAGCCAAAGCGTATCGGTTCCCTCTCAATTTTGGTTCTGACCAAGTGGGTATTGTTCTACAAATGGATAATGGAGACTGGGGCCATAGGGTAAGAGATGGACAGAAGACCAGACTAGAATAGGATACATTTCAGATGTTTGGTTTGTAATGCTTTCATCGCCTTTTGGAGGCTGTGGCCTGCGGTGCTTTTGAATGATGTCGCGTCACACTGAAAGGAGTTTCTTCTCACTGTAATGCGATATTCTTCAACACCACAAACTTTTGCATCAGACTCAATTCACGTTGGCCACGTTTTAAGCCGCAAATCCACACTTCCATGTAATTAACCTACAATTGCAGCATGCAAATGCTCATTTGAAACCTACCGACAATCTGCGTTTTCTTATCGTCTCCCCGTTCCTCTTTTGCCCCCAGATGAGTTCTCCTGTTACATTGAACGTGGGGGGCTGCCTGTACACCACCAGTTTATCCACCCTGCAGCGCTATCCGGACTCCATGCTGGGCGCCATGTTCCGGGGAGATTTCCCCACCACCCGCGATTCCCAAGGGAATTACTTCATCGATCGCGACGGGACGCTTTTCAGGTACATCCTGAACTTCCTGCGGACGTCCGAGCTCACCCTCCCCCTGGACTTCACGGAGACGGACCTCCTGAGGAAGGAGGCGGACTTCTACCAGATCGAACCTTTGATCCAGTGCCTCAACGACCCCAAGCCGCTGTACCCTCCCGACATCTTCGAGCAGGTCGTGGAGCTGTCCAGCACCCGGAAACTGTCAAAGTATTCAAACCCAGTGGCGGTCATCATCACGCAGCTGACCATAACCACGAAGGTTCACGGCCTGCTGGAAGGGATTTCCAACAACTTCACCAAGTGGAACAAACACATGATGGACACTAGGGACTGCCAGGTGTCCTTCACCTTCGGACCATGTGACCATCACCAAGAGGTGTCCCTGAGGGTTCTCCTCATGGACTACATCATGAAACAAGGCTTCACCATCCGCAACACGCGCGTGCATCACATGAGCGAGCGCGCCAACGAGAACACGGTGGAGCATCACTGGACTTTCTGCAGGCCGGCTCACAAAGTCGAGGACTGAACCGCGGGCGGCGTTCCCGTTTGATTTGTCTCCATATTACGCAGGTCATGATCAAAAATGAACTTATGTTGATCTGTCTTAGAAGTGTGTCCCTAATTGTGTTTTTTTTTTTCTTTCTCTTATTTTAATAAATGGGGCACAAGGATCAAGGTCCACAGAAAGCATAAAAATAATGAAATGGGAATTATGATTTACTCTCCTGTCCTGAGGGCAAGAACACCTACTTATCTGTGCTTCCACTACTTATTGGACATTATTCTCATGAAGACTCTATAGCAATGATTCTATTATGATTGTATTTATTTTATTACACTATTATGCTCAAATGATGTGGGTTATTTTTATATTTTAATGTTCTACCGATACCATCTGTTTAAATGAAGGATAAAGTGCTCATAAACAGGTAGCTGTGGTATAAGACTATTTGCAGACAAACGGAAGAAGATCCAAGTCTGACACTGAACAAAGAACTTTATTTTAGATCCCAATTTGATCATCTTTAGCCCAATTTACAGTAGATCTTAAAGGTAATCTCTTAGCTTTCTTGTTTCCTTGTACGGTCCTTTATCTGGAGACCCCAGTCGTCGTTGCATGTGTCCGAGTGTCCTGTGTTTGACTTTCTAATTGTGCGCTTCGCAGTATTACGTCATGCTGTTCTAGTTTAGAGCTCATGTCAACAGTGATGTGTTTGGGTCATTCCAGCTAAAATAAACCCATTTGTCAGTCATTAGTTCAGTTTTACGGTGGCAGTTTTAATATTCACGCTGACTGTGCAAGTCAAACGTCCCCCCACTTAAGCTGCTTTAAGTTCCTCATGTTATAAACACATGCGCAATGTGGCGTTCATTCAAAAAAAAAGCTTTACAAAATGTTCCGGCCATGTTACATTCAGAATTTTAAGTAGTAGTATTATTTAGTTTGACATAAGTGGAATCACAGATATTAGCACCTGTCTTAAACTGCATTATTATTATACATTATTATTGAAGCCCAATAGAAAAGGCAAAAGAAAACTACTGTATTATACCTATTTGCATTAAAGGTGCTACACGTTAAGTCTCTGACCATATGAAGACCAATGCTATATATATATATATATATATATATATATATATAAAATTGAAGACTACCTCTGAAAACAATTGCTTTATTTATGTTTCGTATTCATGATTTTTATTAAACAATTTGAGACGTTATTTCTACATTTATTTTTTCTAATTTTACTGTTATATGACGTTATTTCGGTAGCACAACCGGATGTGACGCGACTTCCTGGGTGTGCTCGTTTCTCTTCAGACCGCAGCTTCCGTAACACTCGTGTCCAGATTCCACGCGGCTCCGCTCGTCCGCTTTGGGGCGAGGACACAAATCGAGCGCACCCTCGCCTAACGTCCGTTGCGCTCGTAACAAGCGGAAAGGACACGTTAAAACGTCCTCGCGCGCTCGACCCTTCACACCGACGTCAGGCGACGATGTTTAATAAGGGGGATAAAGTCAAATATCTACTGAGCCTGGTCCCGGGCAAACAACGCCTCGGTAACTACCGGTTTCTCCCGATCTTCTTCTGCGTCGGAGGCGTCATGGAGTGGATCATGATCAACGTGAGGATAGGAAAGGAGACTTTCTGTGAGTATACGTTCACCAATCAAGCTCGTTTACGGCGCTGAAGCGTCTCTTGGCTTGGTAATTAAGCTAGCTGACGTTAGCTTGTTAGCCCACCAGCTGACCTTAACCGACTGTTGTCGTTACTGCATGCTTCTCTTTCTGTTGTTGAGCCACTGCCATGTTGCTTGTGTCAGTCACGCTGTCTTCTGTGAGGACTGTTTGTGGACAGATTTGTTGACCCTTTCAAACCATCTGCACCACTTGCACTACATGTTTATATTGCACATATCAGTAAATGCTTATGCTTAGCTTTTGTGCTCAATTTTGTCGTCCTTAATGGGTTTTTTCAGATTTTTTAATATTCTGTTGTTTATTTGTATATCTATGTATGACAGAGCGACGTGTAACCGGAGACAAATTCCATGTATGTACATGGCCAATAAAGAGTCTTGATTCCTCTCCTCCATGTGGTAAAAGTGATGGAAAGGACACACAGTGCAGTTGGATCCATCAGGAAGCTGCTTGCACAGAGAAATAAATGTCAAACCACATCTGGACTTCAGCTCCGTGGCTTAAGTTGCTCGTATTTGCTTCAGCAAGATCACGTTTCACATTTCTCTGGTGAAAATTGAGAAAGAAACCGTTCGGATTTCAAGAAGAAGAAAAGAATGACACGCCGTGATTTATATACATCCCACAAAAAACATTTTGTTGGTTGTCCATGTGATTGGGGGGGTGGTGGTCCCAACATCTAACGACCTTTGACCCTTGAGAAAAAAACTATTCATGTAACTCATCAAATTGAGAATAACTTTTCATACAACATTGCAGAGGAGCCATAGCAGACTAAAAGTCCTCTAGAGCGGCATAAAAAGTCCTTCAAATTTAGTACATTGGTGCAATACTTGAACAAATGTCCACCACTGCAAACATTAGTAGCACGTGTGTGAGGAGAGCCCATTAAAAGAGCTGCTCTCCCTGAACCCATTCATCCCAGATGTGGCACTTCTGGAGAACTAACATGAGGCAAAATCCTCTCTCCTGTCCTTCATATTAGTTTTCCCGAATGGCGTGCAGTCATTATTCATATTATTCATTCCTCCCCCATCTGTATTGAAAAGTCTTTCATTCAGTTTTACAATTCTCTTTCTTCCCCCAGATGATGTCTACCGGAGGAAACAATCCGAGCGGGAATACCAGCAGAAGCTCGCAGACGGTCTGGTGGTTCCTAATGAGACGGAGACCAAGTGACTAAATGAGGACTACGGACACGTTGTCGGACTCCTGACGCTCGCTGCTTTGTTTCCAGCCGGCCGGACTGTACTTCACCGAATGCTGCAGCGACCGTGTCACAGTTCCTGTGTGACGGAGTGGACAGTGTAAAGAGGATGGAGAGGCATGCGAGTGTATCTTTTAATATGATGTTGAGTTGAAGCAACGGGAGTAATAATAATCTCAACAATGGTCTCGTATTTATTTAAATGTCATAAACCTTGCATAGCCCTTGACTGGAAAAAATAATAAAAATATACATAAAGTCTTTGTACGTAGAAACATTGAAATCTGCCAGTAGAAACTCAGCTTGTTTAAATAAATATAGTTTTTCTGTAATCACGTGACTTTCTGTCCGCTTTAAAGAGTTCTATCACTGTGCAATAGAGTTGAGTACATTAACTGTAACATAAGAACTGCCTTTGTAGACGCTTCGTCTCCGTCACAGGCCTTATTTTCAGTTGCACCATCCGATGCACACAGATGAAGCTGTTGGGGTGCTGGGACAGCGTGACGCGGTTCCCGTCCAGCCTCCCCTCCTCCATGTTGTGTAGGGTGTAGTGGCTGGAGTTAACTTTACAGAACGTCTCGTGTTGAGACGTTGAGATCTGATTGTTCTGCAGAACCAACACGCGGTGGAGAAAACCACACGCTGGCAAGACGATGGATAAAAACTCTGATTGTTTCCGCAGAGACCCTGCAAATTGAACTCGCGGTGTTGAAAACCTTTTTCGTCGTAGTGTTGAACTTTTACTGTTGTCTTTCTGTGGAAAAAAAGGGGAAATCTTCCTTTTCCTTTTACGTTCCCGACTTCCAGTGTGCATTTCCTCCACCTCCAGAAGATCCATCTACCGTAGGCTTTCTCCCTGCCGTGTGTTTATCTTTCGCCACAGAAGACAGCATCCTCGGGAGCATCACCGATGTCAAAAGTAAAGTCCCCAGTTGCGTCATTGTGTCTCGGTGTGCTGGCGGGGGAAGAGAGCGCGCCCGTCTGCTGGAGCGGGCACAGGTACATGTGAGCAGAAACACTTTTTCCATCTGTTTTTTTATTTAAGCTGGCAGAAAAAGGAAACCGTGAAACACACGCTGGTTCATGTTGCCCTCAGAGGGCCGTTTTATTTGTAGAGAAAACGGATGGGAAAAGTGTTTATGTTAAAAGTCCACATACAGCTTTTAAATATTTCTTTGGCCGACCAAAGAATGTTGTTGGTGGAAAGAGAGAGTTGGTCCCAAACTTCAGTATTCGATGGGAAAAGTGATTTATACAATGATTTGGTTGCTCTTCTGAATATTTCCCATTTTCAGTTTGATACTTTGGTTGAAATGCTAACAGCAATTGTTCCCTATTAGAAGGGACTTTTTCTGTAGAATAAAACCGTTTGTAAATAAGCTGATGGAGTATTTTGTCTTATGTTGGTTCATTTATCATGCTGGAGTTCTGGTGTGGAGCTTAAATGCCTTTTGTGCATTATGATAAAGCATTCTACCAAAGAGAGAGTTATGAACCGCTTTCTGTTGGGTGTCTTCTGTTTCCTGATGAATACAGGTCAATTATCACAATTATATGTGAGGTGCATCATGTCGTTGCACTCACATGCAGAGAGATGATACAACTATGAACATTCAACTTTAGTTTATATACTCTGAGTGGTCACGTATTGTTTAAATGTAGAAAATAACAATTAGTGCTGAAACTCTTAATTTATTAATTAGTACATTAGCAGATAACAGTCATCCACAAATCCTCTTTTATACAGAAAAAAACATTTCTCATTCCAGCTTCTCAAATGTGAGGATTTATAGTTTTTGCCATTTTAGAACTAGTGGAAAATCTGTAGAATTTGCACCATCAATTTCAAGATGTTTCCCTGCACTCACTATTTTATTAACTATGATTCGTCCGAAAATGTTCATGTCACTGCAGCCAAAGATCAACCACGCAGCCTGCAGGAAACAATCATACGGTGTAACCACGTTTCTTTCTTTTCCTTGTTCTATGGGAAGATTTAGCATTTTGACAAACCGATTAACTGCACAATCGGCAGCGAATCGCAGACTGACCTTTACCTTTGACCTTGCCGCTCACGATGGAAAGCAAGATGGAGCTTTTTTCCCCCCCACACATAAAGAATCTCAGCTGCTGATGATACACGTCCACACAATAACAACCAGGCTCCTAATTTCCTGCCCATAGTTGTTTATATAGTTATGCAACGTGTCTAAATGCAGACATCCCCCATTTTAAAGCACCGATGCTGGAAATGTTTTGGCCTGTGTTGGGTAACAACAATGTTGTATTTGTTGAAAGCAGTTATCGTGCATTATATCATGCATATGCATTTTAATTTAAAAATCGTCAGTACAAAATAAACCGTTTACAGTGAAAGTGACCCTTTTAAAAAAAGCACATCCGTGAGTCTGTGACGGAGATCGCACATGTGTGCTGTTAGGCAGCCGCTGTATCTCGTACATAAATGCTTATTTCGCCTGTGATCAGTGGCTGCGTTATGTAAGCAGATGCGAGGTGAGGAACGAGGAAACAGAAGTGGTGGAGAAGCGGAAGTGGTGCTGAGAGAGAGAGAGAGAGAGAGGGAGAGAGAGAGCGAGCGAGCGAGAGAGAGGGAGAGAGAGAGAGCGAGAGAAGCAGGACTTAAAGTCGACAATATTGTAAGTGTAATAACGTCGTAGCCACACAAAGCGCCGTAGCACGTTATATTTGCACGGAGAGCTCAATGTTCGAGTAGCCGGTTAGAATCCCGTTGAGAAAGCCGTCACGATAACGGACCGAGCTCGCGGGGTTTTGTTGAAAGGCAAGTGGCGTTAGTAGCTAGCGGCGGGCTAGCAGCAGGCTAGCGGCGGGCTAGCGCTAGCGAGCTAACGTTAACCAACGGACGGATTCCATGACACTTTGTTCTGACAGGCTCGTCAGCCCGGGCGGGCCGTGATACAGCTGTGAGAAATGAATTAAACGCCGAACCGCTGTTAGGATATCACAGGGGAATAATGTTATATTGTTTTTTTTATTCAAAAAACGCATTTGCCAACACCCGAATCCCGGTTTTTGGGGGGTTTAGTTATTTTCTTTTTTACAAACGAGAGTCCGCCTCTGCTCACGCTGGCCTAGCTAATAAACGGTTCCGTTAGATCGGCGACGCTAGCTTAGCTATCTGTTAGCCGCTTTGCGTAGTCTAGAATACGACAGATTGTCGATAATAGCGCTGTCTGACCCCGTTGGGTCGCAAACCTACACGGAATCAAAAAACAATTGCGGACCAATTCGATCGCGTTTTTAAAAAAGCTAACGTGGCCATCGGTTAGCGACATATACCACATCCCGCTAGCGTTGCTAGGACCATAAGGGGAGGGCATTAAAACCTGACCCGGGGAGGCTTCCGGTTGGTGTAGTAACTGTCCTTTAGAACGCCGCGGTACGACCAGGAACCCGCGCGTGTGTCACATTTGGTACCATCGTGGACGATGCGGCCTCGGCCGTAATTAACGTTAGCAACGGTAGTCAAGACGAGAACGGATATACGGGCGCAGTCGAACCGGCGGCGACGGCAGCTAGCAGCTAACCGCGGCTGGTGGTGCGTTGGGTTGACCCACTTGCCAAGCGGGCCCAGTTCGCGCTGCTTATCCTCACTTTCCATTGAATGCAGTGTTTCCCTGGTCCGGTGTCCCGATCTGCCAGGCGAAATAAAACCAGTTCATGATACCTGTGAACAAAAACACACTGAAATGTCCAACGAATGGACAATGTGAGAGCTATTGTCTTTTGATTGAATGCACGTGACTTATACTTTTTTTAATTTTTGCCCCCACAGTTTAGAAAATGGATAAGAACGACCTGGTACAGAAGGCCAAGCTCGCAGAGCAGGCGGAGCGCTACGATGACATGGCTGCAGCCATGAAGTCGGTGACGGAGCAAGGTGTAGAGCTGTCAAACGAGGAGCGCAACCTTCTCTCTGTTGCCTACAAGAACGTGGTGGGAGCGCGCCGCTCATCCTGGCGAGTCATCTCCAGCATCGAGCAGAAGACCGAGGGCAACGACAAGAAGCAGCAGATGGCACGTGAATACCGGGAGAAGATTGAAGCCGAGCTCCAGGAAATCTGCCACGATGTGCTCGTAAGGGGTTGTCTCATGTCTTGTGGTGTATACACGCAGTCCCTATTCCATACACTAGTGCCAGTGAAGATAGTGCTAGTGTGTTATTTAGCCAAATTAACACAAAACTAAGCCATTTGATTGCTGTTTTCAGGGGCTTCTGGACAACTTTCTCATTAGCAACGCAACTGCAGCTGAGAGCAAGGTGTTCTATCTGAAAATGAAAGGCGACTATTATAGATACCTGTCCGAGGTTGCATCTGGGGATACTAAGAAGGGTAAGTGACAGTTTATTCCCTGATTCAGTCTCAACAACCTTTATGCCGCTGCTGGAAACAAAGTGGATAAAGCGGTTGACACAAAGAGTGCAGGCTGTCAAAGTTTACAGTATATCATTTAGCACCAAAGGAGACTGATATTTTCCTGAGGGAATAGTAGCAGCTGCAACAAAGCTAAAGGGAGAGTGACTACAATTTGTTAGGCAGACTCAAATAATGGTGCTCAAAATCTTTTAAACTGACTGTTCATTTTGTGTTGTTCTGTTTCCACACAAAGATACGGTGGATAATTCCCAGCAGGCGTACCAGCAAGCCTTTGACATCAGCAAGGGGGAGATGCAGCCAACGCACCCGATCCGGCTTGGCCTGGCCCTCAACTTCTCAGTCTTCTACTATGAAATCCTCAACAACCCGGACCAGGCCTGCGCCCTGGCCAAGGGGGTACGAACTGGCGCCCAATGTCCTACTTTCCCCCCCCTTAACTGTATTGTTTTTATTTAAGATTTGAACATGACACTGATATCATAAGTAGTTATTACCCATTTATCTACCGAGCGTCAGGGATGTCGGTGTAGGGAGGTGCCTGCGAAGAGCACAAAGAATATTAAAAGCCGACAGCCACCACCAGCAACATCCTGTTAGACTTGCTGCCGCCTGGCAAGCCATGCAGAAGAATCAGCTGCCGTGCCCCCAGAATTCCAAGCACCTTAGTTTTTTGGCACTGCTAACTGTATTCATTGTGAGATCCTGTATTCTACATCAATTAACCTTGGAGGGTTATTTAGAGCTATTTATTTTTTTTAGAGCTGACCGGCTGAAAAAGATGTTCTGTCAATGCCACACGGTGTGCAAAGGAGGCTGCTGGGTTCCTTTACGCTTATATGACCATTGCAATCTTTGTATTTTCAGGCATTTGATGAAGCCATCGCCGAACTTGACACGTTGAACGAGGATTCTTACAAAGACAGCACCCTGATCATGCAACTACTAAGGGACAACCTGACCGTGAGTTTTTTTTTTTTCCCCCTCCGGATTTGATGCAGGTGTTTTACTCTAAGCAAACTATAATGTCTCCCTGTCTCTTCCCAGCTGTGGACATCAGAAAACCAGGCAGATGAGGGAGAGACCGGAGACGGGGAAAACTAATGGAATTGCACTGTTAATCCACCTACACTCTTATCTTAAACACAGACAGCATATATACATCCCCCTCCACTCCATCAACTCCTCCCACTTCTGTATGACAAGCAGCCTGAATTGCTCCCGACAAACTAGTTCACCCCTCTCATGTGACCGGGTCATTTTCAGTTAGCAGATTCACTCACTTTGTGGAAACATGTTGTAATGATTAGTGAGTCCATGTTGCTGTTGTGTGTTTGTATGTAGTGCGAGAGCAAGCGTGAAAGTGCGTCTGTGTGTGTGTGTGTGTGTGCGTGCGTGTGTGTGTGCGCGTGTCTGAGGGTGGGAGGGAGCTGGTTGTTGTGGATTCTAATCGTCCTTCCAAATCCCTTTTGTCCCAGCTAGTTAATTGTGCTCTCTTTTTCTTTTTTCTTTTTTTTTTTGTTTGTGTTCCTTTTCTCTTTTGTGATTCCTCGTGATATTTACAGGTTTTATTGTATGGTAATTATACTGGCAGTTGATTTCCACCAAACACTGTGATGGTAGGCGTTCCACTTGCTTCACAACAACCCTAAAACCTTTATTTTGTTTTCCTGTTTTGAATTTCCAGGCACACGTACAATCCTGTATTAACAACCAACTGCAATTCTGCTGTGGGCTCATACAGAAAGGAGGCAGGCTGTATTGTGACACTGACATCTTGGTGTAATGCTCCTTGGTCGTGTTCACAAATTCAGTTTTCAAAGTTTTAAGGGACCCCTTAAATTGTCAGGCTTGATTTGTTCAGACATTCCACATGATTAGGCTTTCGGAAAGGCAGTACTGTTTTTTTTTTTTTTTTTTTAATTTGTATGTTTTTTTTTAACTTAGTACGGATTGTTATTGTAGTTTTACTCACTGTTCAGGTGCTGCTTGATCTCAGTACAATGGAAATTGTATGTGCGTAAATGTGGTTCCATGTATTTTGCAGGATTGACTATCATCTGTATGTAAAACCTAAAGTAACCTTTTTATTGATGTTAATTGAAAATGTCTTAGCACACTGTATCAACCCTGCTTGCAAAATATTCCTCTTAAAGCGGTTGTTTTCTCCAGAAAGAAAAAAAAATCTTTTCCTGGCTTTCTCTTGCAGCCTCTGAGGCAAATCTCAAAGGGAAAGCGTAAGACCAGACAAACTTAGATAACTAAATCCTGACGTCAGTCTGCTTTCAAGGATAGCTGGTGTGAACAAATGACTTCAAAAATCATGTCTGTTTTGAAGGTGCAATTTGGGAAAAGTCCAAGTCCTCACTTTGGGAAGAAGCTCAGTGTCACAATACCATTTTTTTTCACCACTACATTCCACATATTGTAGTTGAAGACACCATTCCACATTATAGCTGACAGTCTGTTTACTCTGAAAATGCTCCAATGAATTGAAATAATCTTCTGTTGAGGAAAAAAAAAATCCATGTCAGTTTATTATTATGCTTGATGAAAATGCAGTTAGTGAATGTGGAACGAAGCCTGTCTGTATATCAGGTATCTTCTTGCTTTGTTTTTACTGACAAGTCTTCTGGCTAAAAAATTTGCTTCTGTAACAGTCTATTACCCAGTGCACACACGTGGTTGTGAAAAATTTAGAATAGCTCTAAAAAAGCAATGACAAAATGGAGATAAACAATGGTTGGTGTAATTCTAGCTTTGTGTTTATGTATCTTAATACCATTCTAGTTTCACTATACATGTAAGAAATAGGAAAGTGTCAAAGACCATCAGTGAAATAAAGTTTCGTTTAAGATAACAGACAAATTACGTCTTCCTTTTTTTGTTGTCAAGGCAATTTAATTGGATTTGGAAGTTCACACAGAACGCTTGAACTCGCCGACGTGCTGTGACTCGCTACACGGGAACTACTTTTCTCATCACGGCCGTTTTCCGGCCTAATTGAAACGTCTGCGCGCGCAGGAGCTGCGCAGGTGTTCCGCGGCCGTAATTAAACGAAAACAACCCCCCGGCGCCCACGAGGGCAAACTACCCGCTGCTGTGAAACCCGTCCATCACTACCCGGAGGCAGCAGCTATTAAAACGAGCCGTAAGTCACTTCTCATCATCTCAAGTCGCTGCCGCTTCTCAGTTGCTCCAACTTGGACGCGTATTGTGCGAAGAGGCGCAACAGTAACTGAAGCTCGCGTAACGTCAGCTAGCTTAAGAGCGTTAGCTAGCATGCGACGGTTAGCTAACGGTCTTTCAGTTGCTTTCCTGTGGTACTAACATTGACATATAATACTGATATATCGTATTAGGTTATGCTAGGATATCGGGATAAAACTTTTTTTAAATGGTAATTGGTGTCAGGTGTGTTCTTTTCTTAATCGATGAACCGCTTCACCCCCCCAGCACTTAGCCGCACCCTTTCACCCCACAACACGAACGTTGGTAACGGTAGTTAACGTTAGCTTGCATTAACGTTAGTATAACTTATTTTATTACCGTCTCTTAATAACACGTGCTTTTTTATGTTGGCTGAAAATAATGTGTAATTGATTAAACATTGTGATTATTTTTTATATTCGTGTTACTAAGATAAATTATTGGAATAACGTTATGTATGTTGCAATAAAGGACCTACAAAATCGGTTTAGGGACAAACTCCCAAGTATTAGTCAGGGATTTGATCCACTGATAAAATAAAACTTATTTTTTATACCGATAATAGTAAGCCGAATTACCCCATACAGGTTTTATGTCACACCTGGTAAATAAGGCTGTAACTTGTTAGTCACCAAACAAACGTCACTGCCAAATAAAACATGTTACTACTTTGAAAAATCCATCTGTAATTATCTGCATTTAAAAAACACAATTTGAATTGAATAGGAAATAAAATACATTTAAAGAAATAAAACACTGTTGGTATTTTTAATGATGTTTTATATGTTCATTTTTAATGAACATATAAAACATTATAATGATGTTTTATATGTTGAGTGTTGGATAGGCCTATAATTATTGTTGCTATGAAAACTTCCTCATACAAGGGTAGTTATTTGGCTTTTTCTCACCAAATTTACATTCACAAGATAACATTTTAAAACATTCTGGTGCCTGATTAGTTATTTTTTACTGAATAAAGTGCAAAAGCATCGTGGTGTAACTTAAAGGGAGCTGATCGGTCTGGTAATGCTAACTTTGCTAGCTTTTCTATCGATTCGAACATAATCTGATATTCAAACATCAAATCCCTAATAAGAATGTTGTCAGACATAGATCGGCAAATACAACCTTGTTTCACGTTGCCTTATTTGTTACATAGAATATTGTCTTCTGGAAAAACAATTCGCCTTTCATTGCTTTTTAGCTCTTCAAATTGAACGTGTGGCTGCAAAAATCCCCAAATAAAACTAGCTTTGGTCACTGGTCCCTCATTTGAGGCTCCAAAATCAAAACCAGGTGGCATCAGTGGGGGCCTGATAATGCTTACAATCCAGGTTAGCGCCATGCTAGACAAAATGCGTGGGACTGTAAAGGTAGAAATTGTTGTTACCTATAGAGCTTTGCAGGGGATGCAACTTTGTGTACATAATGAAAATGGCTACTCCAAGGCTATAGTGTATGCATGTCAAAATGTAAAAGCCAGTTTATTGTTTAAAACCACACCATGTAATACTTTGAACATTCTTGAACTTTCGCCTTAGATGAACGGCAGTGGACCAGCGTACCCCCTCGCCTCGCTGTATGTAGGCGACCTGCACCCCGACGTCACGGAGGCCATGCTCTACCAGAAGTTTTCTCCTGCCGGACCAATCATGTCGATCCGTGTTTGCCGGGATATCATCACCCGCAGATCTCTGGGATATGCCTACATCAACTTCCAGCAACCGGCTGATGGTGAAGTAGCCGTTTATTTAAGTTTTTAAAGAAATGCAATATTTAGTTTCATGAAATTCAACATAAGCAAATGTTTGTAGAAGTAATCCAGTGGACTGGCCGCGGTGGATCCGTGACAATGTTCTAGACACAGTCATGGGCATTGACTGATTAAAAAAATTAAAAATCAAGAAATGAAATATAGGAGAGGTATTATGTTGTCAAAGTTCCAATGGTTTATCTGATGGCATCATCACAAAGTGTTGTTCAATAGGACATCTTGTGTTGATGATGGTTGATGTACACTGGACGGCATGAAAACCCTGATTTTAAAAACTGGAATTCATTCGATACTCAAATATTGCAGGAATATAAAGATTTCGGAGTCAGGTTTTTAATTCCCACCATTTATCAAACAAAGCCGAGTGAAAAAAACATTGTCACCGGATGTTGCTCAACCAGTCGGATCATTGTGTTTAGGTAAAAGGAGGTTGAATCCCCCACAGAGATGTGACAGAGGCTGTTTCTCAAAGTCAAGGAAGGACCCTTCAGCGGCTGAATTTCAAGCATGACCCAATGTTGAGGATCCTTCAAATTGTACTGAGAACAGAGTCCTTCGTTTAGGAGATTTAGAAGGATTCGTGTGTATCATCTGTGCACCTGAAACACCCCAAATCCTGTGTGCACGGTGCGTTTCCTGACGTCTGAATAATGAGATTGAATTTGTTTTTAATCATTTTCAAGCCTGATGAGTTGTATGTTGTTCAATGAAGTGTTTTGCAATTGGCAAGTTAAAATGCTACTTTTTTTTTTTAGTCTGGTATTGTTAATGAGGGCATTTGTACATTTAGTGGATTTTCTTAATTGTAAAAATCCTTTTTTCTTCATTTGTTTTATTAATAGGCTATCATGTTTTGACATTGGAAATCAATATTCCTACAAAAAAAAATGATTGCACTGAATTTTCACAATAAAGTAAAAAAAACACCCATCTCTTCAGCACACGACCTCCTCAGGACCCCACTAGGACGGACTCGTCCTACCAGGGAGGCGTCCTTGGCTTTGAGAAACCTCTTCTTGCATCATGAGCTTCATGTCAAATGGAAATGAAAAACACCTTTTGTGACTGAAAGGATGACTTTGTGATGTCGTCACCGTCTCAGCGGAGTGCGCCCTGGATACAATGAACTACGACGTTATCAAGGGTCGGCCGATCCGTATAATGTGGTCTCAGCGGGACCCGGGACTCAGGAAGTCCGGTGTGGGAAACATCTTTATCAAGAACATGGACGAGTCCATTGACAACAAGGCGCTGTACGACACCTTCTCGGCCTTTGGCAATATTTTGTCCTGCAAGGTCAGTGTCCTCCGTGGTCGCCTTGGTTACCGACTGCCTGGTTGATGTCTCACTATTGCTCATTTAAACACATGTTTGACAATGCACATATCTTCCATGTTTGTTTGTTTCATATTGTGTTAATCTGACGTGAGCATATTCGTATTATAAATGCATCATTATACAAACTCCCTTAAATGAAACTAAGCAGTGCAAAAAACCCATAACATATAAAAAAATGTTGTGACCTGTGGAGTACGATCAGGGACATTAAGCGTTGCCATTGGCAGCCACAGAAATGAGGAAACGCATCTTGGGCTTTGCACATGTAAGAATGTGAGGACAGCGTAATGTAAACATTTATATTCTTTATTTTTATTTAGGGGATATTTCAACAGATCGTGTACAGCTGGAGTCGTGATTACGTCACGGCAGCAGCTCTGTGTCAAAAAACAAAAACGCACTTTGGAAATTACCTTATTCCGACGAGCTAGAAAGCGACGATGTCGCCGAAGTGAAGCGACGATGTCGCTAGCAGTTTAGCATTCTTCTGACCATCGCGCAAAATCTGATAAAATCTGACTCCGGAAGCGACCCTGACCGCCGCCTCTGACTTGATGTTCCTATTCGTGCTGCGTTTCGTTAGCTGCAAATGCTTTGTGATTTGCCTGTTTTAAAGTATTTTGTCTTTGCAGGTTGTTTGTGACGAGAAAGGGTCCAAAGGCTACGGATTCGTTCACTTTGAGACCCACGAGGCTGCAAACCGAGCCATCGACACCATGAACGGGATGCTGCTCAATGATAGGAAAGTGTGAGTAAATTATAAACGATCCAAACAGGTTGGTAAGAAAAGTGACTTGAGAGAAAGAGTAGAGCAGAATATATTTATACATTTATTTATAAATATGTACGTTAAGTGGAAGTTGTGTGAACCTCCCCATTTCTTTTGCTCAGTCAAAAGACAGGAAATCATTTGGAATCTGGCATTGTCAACCCAAAGGCCCGTTCTCTGGGGGAAACATGTCAGTTGTCCCTGCGTAGGTCAGTGAGTACGTAGGACATGTTGTCTTTGTGTGTGTTTTTTCTTTTTAAGACAAAGGAGATCATCAGAAAGTGATGACTAATAATCAGTAGGTTTTCCATCCATGACGGGAAGAGGAACATTTTAATTTGTTCTTAAATATTGAAATCTACTGTGAACAATAGTCAGTTAGTATTTTGTCCAACAGATGTTTTTGTATCCGAGTCGTGTTTCTTCAACGCTTTTTAAAGTCGTATTTACTTCCTGTTGTGTCGCGTCATCACTGTTCCCCCTCGGCGGCCGGTCTGGTTCTTCTCCGCAGTTTTGTCGGCCACTTTAAGTCGCGTAAGGAGAGGGAGATGGAGTTCGGCTCCAAAGCTATGAAGTTCACCAACGTCTACATTAAAAACTTTGGTGAAGACTACACGGACGAGAAGCTCAAGGAACTCTTTACTGCATTTGGTAAGAAAGCACTTGTGTGTTTTTTGTTTGTGTGTTTCTCTCCTGCTGGTTGAGGGGAACTTGTCTGTGATGCACAGCAGCGATTCCCAGAGGTTCTTCGGCCTGTCGTGGACCGCAGAGCTTTTTGGGGCAAATGTACATTTTTCACCTTCAATCAATCTGGTGAACTTGGATACCAACATTGAGAGGCCAGATCCTTGAAGGGTTGAAGCACACTTGTACTATAAATCTGTTTATCCTCTTGCTTTATTGAGTACAAAGTCGGCGTCACTCAGTGGGACTGTTTGATTTCTCAGGAAGGACTCTCAGTGTGCGCGTGATGAAGGACGAGAGGGGCCGATCACGAGGGTTTGGCTTCGTAAACTACGCCGACCACGAGGATGCTCAGAAGGTAGTTTGTGTCCCCGGACGAGATGTGTGCAGCCCACATGTTGTATGTTGACTCGGGGCTTCAATTATTGAGCCGGTTCCTCGTCATATCGTTTCAGTAAAAAACGTAATCCTACATTGTATATTTCACATACATAAGAAACCGCTGACCCGGATGCTTTGAAGCTTCCACCGTTGCCATGGTAATAACACAGATTGGCAGTGCTGGGACGCATGGTTGTTTTTTTTATGTAGGTTATGCATTACCCTCCAATCTCCAAATAACCCACGAAAAAATGTTTTTAATTTTGTTTCAAGATTACAGTCAGTTACAATCATCTCATAGAACGTCACAGGAAACTGTATTACTCCTTTATTATTCAGATGACACTTGGGGAATGGGAACACAATAATAATAATAATAATAATAATGTCCTTTTGATAATGATAATTTGTACTGTAGGTACAGTTAACACAAACTACTTATCAGTCAGGATTTTTCTGAACTTTAAATCAACAAAGCGTGGTCAATATAAGTAAATGAGGTCCAAGTTTTGAGGAAAGTATGAAGGCCTCTGGTGTGAATAACCACTGCGCTCGTCCTGCAGGCCGTGGACGAGATGAACGGAAAGGATCTCAACGGGAAAGTCCTCTACGTGGGTCGAGCTCAGAAGCGCCTGGAGCGACAGGGCGAACTCAAGCGCAAGTTTGACCAGATCAAACAGGATCGCATCCAGCGCTATCAGGTCACCTTGCTTCACTGGTTCATTGGGTAATAATAAGAAGGGTTGGAGTCTGTAGTGCTTGTTTTTAATGTAGATCTTACTTCAAAGACGAGCTGTTACTTTGCCGCTTTCAGCTGACTTTCAACATGCAATAAAATATGTAGGTAAACGTCTGCACTGAAGGGGGACATGAGTGGATCTACGGAGCCACGTGCACTGTGCAAGATTAAACCGTTCTAAACAGTAAACGTGATATTTCCTGCCCTTTTTAGGGGGTGAATCTCTACGTGAAGAACTTGGACGACGGCATCGATGACGAGCGCCTCCGGAAGGAGTTCGCCCCCTACGGGACCATCACCAGCGCCAAGGTAACGACAACCTGCTGGAGAGGATTCTACTGGGCCAGTGGTTTAGAATACTCAGGCACATCAAAACGATATCTTTAATCATTTCATTGGCTATATATTATTTGGAGGTCACAGAATACAACCCTTAATTATTCTCTAGTTTAAGCATAATAATTCTGTGCGTCTCCTCGTTGACCACTTCCCCGCCAGGTCATGACCGACGGCTCCCAGAGCAAAGGCTTCGGCTTCGTCTGCTTCTCTTCGCCGGAGGAGGCCACCAAGGCGGTGACTGAGATGAACGGGAGGATCGTGGCCACCAAGCCGCTGTACGTGGCGCTGGCTCAGCGGAGGGAGGAGCGCAAGGCCATCCTCACCAACAAGTACATGCAGAGGCTGGCCTCCCTGAGGACCATGACGAGTCCCGTCATCGACTCGTACCAGCAGGCCGGCTACTACATGACGGTGCCTCAGGTACGCGTATCCAACCTGTCGGTTTCTATTTTAACGTATTTTGCATGATTATTTTTCACATAAAATACAATATTACACTTAAATGCACTAAATCGATTCGGTTTTGTCAGAAAATAGTGGATGCAAATGGAGCATCTTGTTGTCGGATCAGATTAAAAAAAATCAATTTCACACGTGATTGATAAAATGAAGACGCTCGCACACACCTTTGCTCTGAATGGAATTTAAATGACAGCTGATGAGCTTACTCATTATAATGTGTCACATGGACAGCTTTTGTCGAAATGACCTCACGCCTGCAGAGGAACGATCCACGTGCACGACGACAAGCAGACGTGAATTAACACCCATTAAATGACCTGTACTATTTAACGTGCCACATTCCTGCAGCCTCCGACCCGCTCCTTCTACAACCAGAACGCCGTCAGCAACATGAGGCCGGTGCCGCGCTGGACCGGACAGCCCCCCCGGATGCAGGGTGAGTGGCTCGCTTCTATCGCACGTTGGCGTGAATAAAATTGACGCGTGCGACTTGTGCCAATGTCGGCCGTTCCCGTCCTCAGGTCCCTACTCGGCGCAGTTCGTCGGCCCGGCCGCCCCCCGCCGCGGGTCGACCCCCATCGCCACGGTGCGACAGGCCTCCACCCAGGCGCCGCGCATCCTCAGCTCCTCCCAGAAGACGAGTGAGTGCGGCGACGCGGCGACCTCCGGCCCTCGTTGGTGGTTAGACCCTGACGAGCACGCCATGTCTGCTTTTTGTTCAAGGTAACATCGGCACCCAGACCGGGGGAGGACGCGGCGACGCGTCCAGAGGGGGTCAGTACAAGTACTCGCCGGCGGTGAGGAACGTCCAGCAGGTCGTTAGTCTGCCCGCCCCCATGACCAGAATACAGGTACTGTCTCCACTCATTTCATTCTACTAACAGGGAAACAAAACGTGGCGTTTAGGTCCAGCTTTCTGCTCCTCAGGTCTACCCCGCTCCCGTGATGGAGCCCCCCGTGCACCTGCAGGCCCACGTGCACCTGCAGGCCCACGAGCCGCTCACCACCTCCATGCTGGCCGCCGCTCCGCCCATGGATCAGAAACAGCTCCTCGGTGCGCCCGGTCTCCTCCCTGTGTGTCGCTGGAGGAGGCTCGGCCGTTAACCCTCTCTGTCTCTCTGATGCGCAGGGGAGCGATTGTACCCAGTGATCCATTCCCTTCATCCCAACCTGGCCGGGAAAATCACCGGCATGCTGCTAGAGATCGACAACTCGGAGCTGCTGCACATGCTGGAGACTCCAGAGTCCCTGCACTCTAAGGTGTGTGGGGAGGGGGGTTGTCCTGCCGTTATGGACGTGTGCAGATTATAATCCGCGCTGGGGTCCCGTCAGGTGGACGAGGCGATCGCCGTGTTGCAGGCTCACCAGGCCAAGGATTGCTCTCACTAGTGAAGAGTCCTTTCAGGTCTGCATCAGTACATTCTTTTAATGGAAATGGTTCCTAAACAGGACGTTGGGGCTGAACTAAAGTCTTTTGTCATTTCTTTTCTAGATGTCATCGACTTTCTGGAAGAAGAAAAAATGAGAAATTTTGAATAAGGAAATGTGAAAGATTTAAAACTATTTTGTTGCAAATACCTTTTTGTTAGAAGTAAAAGTTCACAGTATATGCATTAAACTTGTGTTGTGTCATCTATTAAACGGGAGAAAGAGTTCGCCACATGAGCTTCAGTATCTTAATGGGTTTTTCTTCATTGTTCAGTAAAAGAACCTTATTGTAGTTTGGTTGTAAGATTGTTAGAAGTTCTTTCCTCAAATGGTTGACATTAAGCGAGGAGACTAGATTATTACACCAACTAAAGGCTGCTCAGGTCAACACTGTTGGCAGAAATTGTTGCATTTAGGTTAACTAAAGGGTTGACAAAAGACTGACCTGGTTTGAATTCAATGATTTTAAATCGAAGTGGCCAGTCCATCTAGCAAATCATATTTTGAAACAGGTGGTACAAAAAACCTCCCAAAGAGGTCAAACTTAAGATGAATTGCCAAAGTTTATTGGGGATCCTTCATACAAAAATGAAATTCTGGCTGTAAAAAGTTACAAAGGTTTATTGTTGACGTTGATATACTTTTGGCATTTAAGGCCCATTGATCAAACAGTTTTGTAACTTTTTGCAATTTATTTGAAATCTAAAACAAGCAGATAAGACGGGAATATTTAAAAACATACAGACCGATAGATAACTGCAGTTTACTTCTCAGTGGTTTTTACAACACAAACCCACAAAAAAATAATTGAAAAGCAACTCAGAACAAAGAACCTGCCTAATATTCAGTCGTGAACACATGAACTTGGGGCAACTTTTATTACACACTGCCAGCTAATTTCGATGACGCTTCCGTGACTGCAAACAAAGGTATGTACACTGACTCGGACGAGTCTACCGGCGCGCCGGCATCAGGAGCTGCTTCGCCGTCACCGAGTCGGGGAAAAGGTTGTGGTACGTCGGGAGCGGGACGTAAGCCGCCGTTATCATTTTACCTACAAAATAAAAAAAGTTTAACAACGGCGCTCACACATTTTGTTCAGACAAAAAAAGACTCATCACACACCTGCAAACCAGCGTCCGTGAAGAGCGTTCACAGTCGCCATCGCCGCTGGTATCGAGGGACACTTCACGTACACGTTGCCCTTGAAGTGAAGAAAGTTGTGTAAATAGAAGAGGAAGCTAATGTGGTTTTTGTTCTTCAAGTAAAACTCACTTGAGCAGAGTTCTTGTCGACGTAAATGTGAACGATTCCTCCGTGTTTGTTGCACTCCTCGATCACGTCGTCCTGGATCTCCACAGCCCAGGTCAGATCGTTCTCCCTGAAAGACAAAGTTTGGGATTAGATGCTTGGTATTCCTGAAATGATTAAAAATATTTTTAAATGATCAGATTGGTCAACGATCTGTTTTAATAAATGGATAAAGGGGCGGTCCCAGTTGAAGCGAATCAAAGAGGGGCGGTCCTTACGCCTGCGGGTTGAAGAGGTTGGACAGCTGCAGGCAGTGTGTGGCCAGCGGCTGAGACGGGAGGTTCATCGCTTGGCTCTGAGACGGAGTCGGGAGAGCTGAAACCAAAACAATGTTAAATAAACGGACACTGAGACACGCAGAGCGTCCGGTGCTCTTCTGGCGCCTCACATGGTGGAGCAGAGATGTTCCCAAAGGGAATGGAGCCGGTCATCTGTAGAGCCTGCTGAGCAGCGGGGGGGATCTTCAGGCCGGTTCCTGGGGAGGAGAAACACGTTGAGTTTAAGGAACAGAATCAATGATTGATCGCAGTAACTCACGTGTAGTTACTCGGGGGGGTTAGGCATATAACAATTAGCAAATAGTGTGATTATGATCTGGTAAAAGCAGCGAACGTGGGGGCGTCTCCCGGGTCCACCAACCTTCTGCTAGCCGGGCCATGAGCTGCAGGCGGCCAGTGGTGCCGAGGTCGATGCCGGTCCGCTCCAGCTCGTCGTTGTCCAGGAAGGAGCTGGCCGTGGAGGAGTCCGAGCGCTCCGTCACGTGACCCACTTTCATGGGCCGGCCCGCCAGCTCAAAGCCGTTCAGCTGCTCCAAGGCCTTCTTGGCGCATTCGGCGTCTGCGAACTTTAGCGGGAAGCAAAAAAAGAAGGGAGGGGTCGGGATCAGAAAGGCGCCACAGACAGGACGCCTCGACCGCGCTAAAGACGCCGTGTTTACCGATATGAAGCCGTATCCTTTGGACCGGCCCGTCTCGCTGTCCATCATCAGCTGGATGCCCTCGATCTTCGGAAACAAAAACACGGGAGGAATCGTCACGAGGGCGCCAGGAGTCGTTACTCTTAAAACATTCGGCGAACGCGCTGCTCACCTTCCCGAAAGGCTCAAAGATCCCTCGGAGCATTTCTTCCGTGATGTTGAAGTGCAGCGAGCCCACGTAGAGCCGCATCGGGCCCGAGCTGCCCTTCTGCAGATTGTTGGCAGCCGCTGCCGCTCTGTTTTTCTCCGCCTGTAAATCACACGCAGGAGAAGTTAATTCAGGAGATCCACCGAGTGTCTGAATTAACAGTCAACCGGATTTGAACCGTCAGACCTGCGAGGCCTGGACGATGATGGGAACGCCGAGGAGCCTCTGGCCGGTCAGCCCGATGGCCAGCGGCACGGAGGAAGACTCCACGAACTCTATGTACGCGATGCCCTTTGACCTCCGGGAGTTTCTGTCGGAGATCATCCGGACATCTCTAACCTGCAGAGAGGAGAGACGGGCGGAAACGGTTTGAGGGCCTGTTTGTACTCGGTGCACGCTGCTGGATTGCACGTGGAGAAACCAACTGACTTTTCCCACAGCGGAGAAGAAGTCCTCTAGGTCTCGGGCTCGGATTCGTGCAGCGAGCTGCATGCAGAAAACTGTGCGAGCATCCCTCTCCTCCGGGGTGAGGTTGTCAATCGGTTGCCTAAAAAAAGAAAGAAAACACCAAAAATGAAGGAATGCCTCGGCGCCATCAGAAAAGATGAAATGGTAAAATAATGAATAGTGTGGAATGTTAAAAAAAGGTCGGACGTACTCCCTGACTTTGTTAAACGGCCCGATAGCATCTTCAAAGTTTCTTGAAAAGAAAAACATTTTTAAAGATCTGTTAAAACCAAGAGTTTAAAAAACAACACAAAAAATCACTTGATTTCAGGCTTCTGTAACCCGCCCCCGTCCCAAAGAGCAGGACGGTTCAACTCACCTGATGGGACTCTTCTCTTTTTTAAAGGGGCTCCTACTTTTTGAACGTTTCCGGCTAAAAATGCAAAGAAGTAACATTTTAGTTTAAAGTCACGCTGAGAGATTAAAACCACCGCGACTGTAAATAAGACATTTGGGGTTTTTGTTCCTGTATAACGAGGCTTCGTAAATCTGACGGAACAACGCATTTTAAATGTGTCCAACACGACTAAGAAAAGATTCTACACGTGGTGCTGTCGTACTGGACTGCGTTATAATACAAATAAATTCTGATATTTCCTTCAACGCTCTATAAGCTTTGTACCAAGAGACGCGGCTGCCTGACTAATACGTTGGATCACATGAGATCCGTGGTGGGGAACTAGGGGTCACTGAAGGTCACGTACACGGGGCTCTTGCGTGCTCTGTAGCGGCCCGAGCGCTCCTTGCTCCGGGAGCCGCTGCGATGGCGCTCTCTGCTGCGGCTTCGCTTCCTTTCTCGGCTCTTGCTCCTCTTCTTGCTCTTCTTTTTGTCTTTGCTTCGGCTCCTTCGCTTCCTAGAGCCGGGGCTTCGGCTTTTGCTTCGACTCCTCCTTTTTCTGAAACATGTTACAACACTATCGTCGTGCAACGGGCAAACAGTCTGCTCTTTTCTGTATCCACACTGAGAACCACACTGCTGTTACGACGGATTAAATACGAGAACTTACTTCTTATTTTGCTCGTTGTGTCCATTTGCATGAGAGGACTTGATCTCATCCTAAGCAAGGTTGATAGAAGAACATCATGAGGACGTAGAGGAAACATTTCAAGTCGTCAAGGTAAAGGGGAAGGGGTGGGACAAGAGAAAATGCAGAATGTATTCAATTAATAATTATACTTCAAAACTGTCTACTGCCATGTCTGGACAGTGTCCTTCCACCCCCCCTCCTGTTATTTACAAGGCTGCTCAGTACTTAATGCAACTAAGCACAGTTACGGGAGAGTCAGACACATTAGCTGAGTTCAGAAGCTTTGTCAGAAGTCAGATCATCCCCCTCCTCATAGGTCGTACCAAAGCCACTATTTGTGCCTAATCATGTGACCACGCATGGGCCACTAAAAGAGATCCTGTGTGGTTGGTGTCAGTCCAGTGATCTTCACCCATTTTCGTTCTTGGACTGTAAGAGCTCGATGCCACCTCTGTCACACATCTTGCCCTGAAGCAAACAGGGATTCACACTTCTTAGTAATATTGACGCCCAAGGAAATGAATGAATTAAAAAAAATGAAATAAATCCATCAATTCAGCCACGTGTTAAACTGCCATTATCTTTAGTTTGCATGTAATAATATTTATATCCTCTTGAACTTCAGAAGGAATGGTTAACGACTAAAAAGAAACTCACTTTATAATGCAATGATGCTAGATATTCTAAGAATATATCAATATCTGTGGTATTGTGTGGCATGCAAAAATCAAGATGCTGATTCACATTACAGTTGACTATGGCAAAGAGGCAGTATTCATATTTACTTGCAAGAGAGATTAATAGTTCACCTGTATTTTGCCATAAAATCATGACATGGCTCATGTATTCGCACATTGGCGCTCCACAACTGCAAAATCTGCATTTTCAAGCATACTGAAGTCAAACTATTGGATTTAAAAACAGATTGATACAAAACACAATTAAGTAACCCGAATTCAATTTTGTGGCAATGTGTTTTTTTTTTTTCAAGATGACAGAGTGATACAGTGTACGACGTTCAGGAAAACGGATCCTGTAGGATTCCACGTTGAGAAAGCGTGATGGCGTGCAGATCGTAAATCGGAATACTGCCTCCTTTGCTGGACAGGTAAAGATGGGCTTATCAACCATTGGCATTCACCTTGTTGCAACCGATTAGGGATTGGATGTTCTAGGTTGAGTCTCTTTTAGCCCTACGGTGAACCACAGTACATCAGTATATGCACAATAACTACCTTCCTTTTTTTCACAGTTCACAGTGGAATCAAAGATGAATTCATGGGAGTAGAGGTGAGATATCATTAGGGAAGTCTATAAAGAGAGATAGATGCGGATTTATTTATGTCTGTATTGCGTTTGAAATACTCAATTACACCACACAACAATCAAGTAAACTCTTGTCACAGTAGCAAATATAAAGAAAAGGCTCAAGAGTAAAACATAACAGTGAAACAGGCCTCACATCTCTAATCTGAGACCCACCTTTCTGAATGGAGCCTCCAGCATGGCCTCGACGTCAAAATCATCAGCCATGATGATCCTGTGGGAGAGACACAAGCACAGTTAACCGCCACACAGATGGAAATGACGCGTTGTTCCCGATCCCCACAGATAGCATCACATCGACTCTGTGCGGATCTGTGTTAAACTGGTCATTTATTACATGCCGTTGCACTCCAGCTTGTTACTTTAGTCCAAACGTCCATTTGTGAAGTTAAGACAGCGACTTTCTCGATCGAAATTCGTATTAATCTGGTAAAATAAACGTCGGACTATCGGGCGGAAGCTGGATAGACGTTAGCTGAGAATTTGGTAACGTTAGATGGCAGCAGTGGGAGACGAGTTGGACCGAACTTCCTTAATATTTCACTCAATTCTGTAGTTGGGACTTTATTCTGGGATGAGGCCGATTTACAAGCGATGCATCCGAACATCGAAGCCACTATTAACGTCAAACACAACTCTTATACACATTCAGCATTGGGGAGAACACAACGGTATAAACACACGTTGCACCCGACACGATGCTAAAGCTAACTAGCCGCCTCGGAAAGCTCCATGGCTGTCGTCTAAACGGTAGCGCACATCAATGACCCTCATTTATGTACCTTCGCGTTCGACTAGACTGCCGGGGTGTATAAGTAGACAAAAACGCCACGTCCCTTCGAACTAAATAAAATGTAACGTTACATTTGGTCCTACGCGTTCAGCGGTGTAGTCATGTTCACGGTAGAGACACAAAAACAAGCGCTGGAGCTAAAATTAACAGCCAATATGGCTAACACTGTTTCCGCGGCAGCGAGCTAGCTTGATTACCAAACATTGACGTTACCTTTTGAAATTGATGAAATTATGTGCTAAAGTGAAAATATCCCGGGAAAGGCGGTGCTGAAAATACTCTTCTCGACGCCCCGCTCCCGGAAGCTCAAACAAAGCCGAGATGCAATCACGACTTTCGAAGTTATGTAAGCTTTGTTTTATATTGTTAGCAGCTATCCGTGGCAGGTCGTGCGGCCTGGAATGGAAGCGCTCTCCTTCCGTCTTCTTCGTCTTCTTCTTCTACGGTGTGTTTTTGCGGCAGCTGTGACCATTGGATTTCATCATCATCGCCACCTAGTGGAGCTGAGCGTTACACGTCGGCCCTAACGTGTAAATCTAAATTAAATGAGCGGAACCCTTTAAAAATATAATACAGGTCTCACTTAATGATGTTATGTGTAAATTAGTAAATAACCATAACATATTGCCAACCCCTTGGATGTATAAATCAACTGGACACAATGTGAATGAAGCAAAAAACGTTTGACTTCAGATAAAAATACCCGGATCTTCCGCATTACGGGCCCAGTGTGAGCTTGCGCAGTAGCGTTTTCTTCAGCACTGGCCCAGCCCCGTTCTCGGCTATTCAAGTGTTCATGTTCGGTGCTTTATTTTCCGTTACACTAATAATCACCGCTGAGTTACATATGTCTCTCTTCCAAAATGTCAAGTGGGAAATAGCATCAAACCACAACGTTCCCCCTGGCAGACGATACTCTGGGCAGCATTACCCACGGGGGCTTGAAATCGCGTCTTTCCTCGCGAGACCGCGCCTGATCAGTTCTAGTTTCATGGCTCTGCATCGCCATCAAGTGATGAGCCAAAAAGTCCCATCTCGCTTTTATGCTAAGATCATTAAATATACCAGACTTCACCTTCAAACTTAAATAAAACACTTTTAATTACCCACAACAATATTCTTTCTGAAAGACGTTAGCAGGGTGTCGTTTCTCAATAGTTTTGGGGTGGGTCTTTCATCATTATGTAATATTTGAAACCCTTTGGTTCTTTCTGTTTAAAAACATGTAATTGCATATTTTTTGTTATTGATTATTACTTGAATTATTTTATTTTAGACGACCCCATGAACACCAGATCATTCTAAGGTTCTCAACACTTTGAAGCTTTAGAAAACGAGCATTGACATAATTACTAACACACAGGGTTTCAAAAGTGTTTATTTTACAATAGAAAACGCACCGGCCTAGAGGGATACAAATCACTCAATTCCTTTTCATGTTTGCATGAACAACAAATATCCACATTGCTGGTTGCATTAGACAAAGAGTGGCGCTGCACTCATCGTCTGCTGCACGTCAGGCAGCGGAATCCTGTGTTGTGTCATTAATCAGTTTAAGCGGTGAGTCATAATCTGGCGGAACCTCAAAAAAAAGCCCGTCATCAAAACACATCCTATCGGGCGGTGGATCGAGGAAAGGCATCTTCACGACGAGGCCCGTGAGGACGCCTCCCAGTGCCGACACGCCAATGGTGGCGAACACGGCCGCCACCTGGAAGAGAGCCTGCTCCCGGGCCGTCCTCCCCAGCCCCGCCCTCAAACCGGGGATCAAAACCCGGAGCTCTTGCAGCTTCGGGTCGCCTTCCGCCGGCGCTCTGTGGGCGAAGGTCTCGTACAAACTGGGGCCATACGTCTCCTCGTCGGCCACCAGTATGGCGCAGATCCCCGCGGCGCAGGATATGAGTCCCGTCAGGCCGTGCAGGTTATGGATTCCGCACTGATCTTGGATCCGGAAGCGGCGCGCCAGGAAGGGGGTCAGGTACCTGTAGCCCAGCATGCACGCGGCGCAGCCCGTCGCGCCCAGGGCGTACGCGGCCGCAGGCGAGATCATCATGTCCACGGACGCCCCGACCACCACCCCCCCGGCCAGGGTCACGTTCTGAACGTCGGCCATGGTGAGCTTACCGTTTTTGCTCAGCGCGGCGGAGAGGGCGAAGGCCGTGAGCGTGGAGGCGCTGAGGCCGAGGAAGGTGTGCAGGACGGCCCGGTGCTGGTCGTCCCCCCTCACGGTCAACGCCGAGTTGAAGGAGGGCCAGAACACCCAGAGGAACAAGGTCCCCATCACCGACAGGATGTCCGACTGGTAGCTGGAGTTCTGCTTGGCGTGGCCGTCGTCCAGGCCGGGCCTGTGCAGCATGAAGGACACGCCCAAGCCGAAGTAACAGGCAAACAGGTGGATGAGGACGGAGCCGCCCGCGTCGTTGATCTTCAGGTACTCGAGCACGGCCCACTCGGTGCACGCGAACACCGGCACCTCCAGCAGAGCCATGACCAGCAGCTGCAGGGGGCTCGTCCGGCCCAGCACGGCGCCGAACGATATCAGCACGGCGGCGCAGGCGAACTCCGCGTTCAACAGGTTGATCACCCCGAGGTGGATCTTACCCCCGCGGCTGAACTGGAAGTAGCCCTGCACCAGCACGGCCCACTGGATGGCGAAGACGGCCGTGAGGAAGTTGAACACCATCCCCCCGAAGCCGTAGAGACGGAAGAAAGCCAGCAGGCACCCGAAGCCGAGGAAGATCATGACCTGCACGTGGGCGAAAGCCGGGTAGTCCCTGTAGAACGCGTTGTCCATGGGGTTGGTCCCGTTGGTCTGAAACCTGGCGTCCGCGTGCTCGTCGTACGTCACGAAGGCGGCGTACAAGGCGACGACGATCACCTGCGTGACGAACACGAAGGCGGGCAACTTCACCCGCGGGCTGGTCGACCTGCTCTTCATCCCGACTGCTCTCGGCGACAAATGACAGCGGTTTCTATCTGCAGCCGGCGGTTTATCTGCTCAGATAAAACGGGTCAAAGGCATCGGACTTGACAATGGACTTTGGCCTCTTGTCATGAGACTTGTAACAGTTCTCAGCGCACGTTATAACTTTGCTTGTATACACATTACCAGAGTGAAACCACTATAGATTCATTCGGCACAAACTCGCCCTCTAACAACCTGGCACAATGAAAATATGCACAATGGGGATTCATACCTACAAGCACGCGATGCACGATCGCGTACGTCTCCACGTGTCCTTCATGTTTGTGTTTGGAGACATGGTGAGAGACGGTTTGCTGAGCCTCTTCGGACCAGTAACCACAAAACGCACATCGAGCCGCGCTTCGTCCGGCGTGTCGACAATCAGCGCTGTGTGCTGATCGATCACTTTGAATGAAGTGCTCAGTTAAAGACGTTTTTTTTTTAAATGGACGGAGCAGAGGACGGCCGTCGGCCAACTAGTGGGTTTTGCTCGCCGGCCGGGTCTTCAAAACAAAGAGAGCGCTCGCATTGCAACACGCATGATGTGCACGTTATGAAGAACTAGTCTTGAGAAAGATCAACATTTGGCAGAAATTCAAACCATGAGGCCTTTGCAAAACAACGAGTACAAGCAGAGGCGGTCTGAACAACACGACACACGTTGCATTGAAATGATTTAAATTTATTGCATTCTGCTGACATATAAAATGGTTTCTTTAAACCATAATTTCATAAGACAATACAAACTATTTCATATCTATAAAACCTGTGTTGACACACATTGCACTAAGCCTAAAGTCAAGCACCTATTTACAAATGTCCATCTTCGCTCCATCCTTCGGTTACAATCACTGTCAACAAGCCTCGGGCATCGCACACACACACACACACACACATTTTACCAATACATCCACCTGTAGAGCTACATCGTCTTCTCATGAATCAGAAATAACACAATATTTTCAGAGTTGAAAGGGGAAACACAAAAGGCTGCATAGATATTCTCCAAAAAGAGCACGTACCAATATGTGTGTGTAAAACAATACAAATAATACTTACATGTCTTATGATTTCCTGGAAAAGATACTGACTGCTTTTCACTAGAAAGAGATGCAGAATGCTCTAGCTGAAATACTTCACAGTACTGACAGGCTGAGGGGAAGAGGGAAATAAACTCTACTGACCGCATGAGCGGTGGCACAGTCTGACAGTCTGACTAAATCACCCCCAAACAGTTGGGTTTTTTAAATACAAGGTGCAGTAGCAAAGCAGCAAACACGTTTGGACATTTTGTGAGTTTCTTTGTTGCTGAGAGGTAAAGACTTACATTACAGTTGTGCTTAATATCTGCAAGAAAACAAACGAGCAAAGTACTGAATGGTGCAGTGCTTAGTGTCCATGAAATACGGAATACTTAAATTAAAACATATCCAAACCTTTTTGAGGTTCCTGACAGCTGCACAAAAAACCCTGATTATTATTATTATTATTATATAATTGATTTATATTTATCTATTGCTGAATTTTGTTTACAAACAAACATGACATAGAAACAACACATGTTTTTAAACAGTCAAAATGAAAAATATAATTCTACATTCATTGACTTTCTCCGTCATAGACATTATACTATAATATATATCGTATTTATATATAATAAGTCTGAACCCAGTAGAGAAAATCAACTGATTTTTCATTGTAAAGAGAGAAAGTGCAGATTTTCTTTACCGCAGAAACGTGGCCACGTGACGGCAGAACACTGAGTAGTGAGTGTGCAGTATTCAAGCTGAGGTCAAAGGTCACTCGGCTCGTTCAATACGAGCCCTGTGAGCTCGTCTGCAGCCGCGGGAAATCCTCGCCACATCCTCTCTTGAGTTTCAGGGTCAAGAACTGCAAGCACGTCGCTGCGTCTTAAAATATAGTGTGCACTGAGCGAAGCTTCTGCCCTTTTTTAATTCTCCAATTAATGAATGTGAATCAATGAATGTGACCATTCCCACATAAATGTCGCTGCCTGTAAGTCTTGTAAGTTAATAAACGCACGCTTCCAACTGTACCACCAAAAGCAGAATTAGACAAAGAAAGACTAATTAAATAAATACATAAATAATATAAATAAATAATTCACAGTTAAAGAAAGAAGAGAAAAGCAAAAGGGAACAAACATGTGAGAAAACCTTTTTTCTGAGGATAAGTGACGCTTTAGGTTGTTTTTATTACTGCACTAAAATGTCAGCAGTAAGCACCAACTTATCTGCTGTTATCAGCACAACGTTACATAATCCTCCGTGCGGTGAAACGGGCGTATGTGAGCTCTTCTTTGGGGGGGGGGGGCGGAGTCTGTGTGCGTGTGACCATGAAAGACCTCTAAGCCCCTTCAGGAGTAGATGGTGATGACCTCGCGTCCACCTCCGCGCACCAGGAGGACCCGATTGAGACCTTCGGTCAGCACCTCCAGGAACTCCATGTCTGGGAGACGGATCTCGTGAAGGAGTCTAGTTTGCTTGCGCGACCTCAAAAGTTCGATTGAAGACAGATTTATGGATCTGATCAATTATTAATTTCACATTCCAGCGTATTGTGATGAAATGATATCATCAGATATCGTGGTGAAGATCAGTTTACTTCTCACTTTACATTAACACTCGATCAACGTGATTAACAACTGCTGTTTATATGCCAATAAATATTTATTTCTCTATAATTTACATATAATATATAACAGACAACATTGTGCTGCATATTGTTATCGTCACATGAAATGACACGTATTAGGATATAAGAATTTGGCCGTACGGCCCCCCGGCTCTTATGACGGAGGATACAGTTCTCATTGCCCACGCGGTTCTTGGGCGGTCCGGGCATGTTGAGCAGGACCAGCTTTGCCTCCTTGGACTTCTTGGTGATGACCTCGTTGAGCCTCATGGCGGTGTGCATGCGCCGCACGTCCACCGGGCTCCTGACCCCGGACACAACGGGAGGAAAAGTCAGCTTTTGGTGATTAAAAGAAAAGGAGGAGTCAGTCGCTAACCCTGCAAAACAACACCAAAATACTTACAGGTGCTCCCACTCCCTGCAGCAGCATGTGGGGGGGGTAAGGACAGTTAATTCCCAACTGCACGTGTGTTTATACAAGAAGTGTGTAAGACCAGAACACTGGTCAGTAGAGTGTCGTTGGTTATGTGTCATGTGTCACGAGTAGAGTGTCATGTGTCACGTGTCACTGCTGCTGCCGGTGCCGACAGGTCACTCACGGCTTCATGTTGAAGAGGTCTTTGCCGGCCTCCGGGTTCGCTCCGGTCTGCCCTCTCTCCGCGCCGTCCGTCGGGGAGGCGGGGCTGGTGGGGCTGGCCGGTGTGGAGGAGGCGGTCCTGCCGTGGATGAGCCGCACCTGTTTGGGGTCGGAGACAGCCACAGACTGAGAGACGAACGCCGCGCGGCGGCGAAAGAGAGAAAAGGGGGAAGTGCGTGTCAGTGCGGGTGGAACTCGGGAGGAAAGACGACGGGGACGTAGGCGGTTATTTCATCCTGAAGATGGACCGTGGGGACGTTACCTCGTCCTCCGGCTGTTCCGCCACGCTGGCTCCTTCATCCACGCTGGGCCGGGAGCGCGAGGCGGACGGGTTCTTACGCCGAATGGACCCACGGGAGGAATCGGTGATGCTCTGGATCTGAAGTAAAGAAAAGAAAAAAAACCTGATATAATAAAACAAGCCCAGAAAACAACACTTTAACAATAAATATTATTCCCTGCAGGGGCTGATATTTGGAGAGATGACGAGAACGTCAAAGTTCGTGACGCTCAGGGTTCTATTTATTTTAAACTTCAGCCGTCAAAATGACCTCTCTCTCCTTCTCGTTCTTGGTCAGATGCATCTGTTTGAGGATCTGCGATCGTTGCTCCATGACCAGCGTCTTCTCGTAGGTGTAGGCCGAGATGTCGCCATCGTGCTGTGAAGAGAGGAGCACGTTCTTCACTCAACACACAACTCGTCCTTATAAAACTCGCTCCCGTCAGCCGAGTCGCTCACCATCTCCACCACTTCCACAGCGGCGTCGATGCGCAGGTGATAGAGGAAGGTGATGAGGTCTTTCTTCATCTGGATGCTGTTGTCGTCCATCTGGGCCACGGTGAAAATGCGCATCTTGCACTTCCTCCACACCTGAAGCGGGAACATTCACAGTCAACGAACAAAATCATATCAAAAGTCACAACAAACAAGCTCAATCCCACCTTATGCTGTCGCAGCAGGAAGGGGAGGAGCATCAGCATGCCTCCGTCGTGGACAATCCACCACACGTCTATGTGGCCCTCGGTGAAGCGCTCTCCATTGGACGGGTAGCTGGAGATGTTCTTGGGAACCAACAAGGCCAGACTGGCTATGGTCGTCTCTCGGACCACCTCTGCAGAGGGACGGAATGGATCTTTATTTAAGTGAAGTGGATTTTAAGAAGGCTTAAAAACATCTGGCCGGGGACAGCAGATGGAAATTAGCCTCTTGCTAACTCTGGCTCACAGTACAACTGTTGATTACTTTGCATTGTCCCTGCGAAATAAGTGAAGATATGAAATGGCAAAAAAAGGTTTAATTATAGGAATAATAAAAGCATTTCTCCGGTGATGGTGTTTACCAGAGAAATATATCAGTCAGATCCATTATAGCCTGTGCAACTGTGCATCGTTGAGGCCGATAGTGATATCCTGATATCGACACTGATATCCCCCTCCGAGAGTAAAAAAAAACAAAAACATTGTAGGTAATTAAAGAAATACATATATAACACATTTCTGATAAGAAGACTTTTTAGCAAGTAACATAAAGAAAAATTATCGGACACCATATCCGGAAACTTTAAACCCTTTCAGAAAGTACAAATAAAAAAATCTCTCAATGAAAATAAACTGTATGTACAGTTTCCGGAGAGAGTTGTAAAACTATAAATGCAGAGTGGAAAAATCCCTTAACTTTCACCCATCTTCTGAGGTCATAAAGAGGCGGCGTTCAACAAGATAACCGGTCAAAAGTTCCTCCCAGTAACGCTCTATAGATGCTCAATCATCAGAATAATAGTATTCATTTAATCACATATGCAACATTTATTAGCAGTGTTTCAGATTTACCAATAAAGTTCCTGAACTGCTGGTGGCACTCGGGCTGCTTCCAGTTCCGGGGCCAGCTGACCATCACGGTGTTGTGCTTCAGACCTCCCAGTCCTCCAACCTGGATGAGGTGGGACGTCCCGTCTCTCAGATTGGAGGAGATGACCACCTGGGGGAAACCCTTGACCTTCTCCGTCTCCATCAACTTACGCAAAGACTGAGGACAGAAGACGGGAAGACAGCTTTTTAAATGTTATAAAATAGTTGTCGGAAAATAGGATCACAGCTGGAAAATATCTTCTCCTACTCAGTCTGCCGTAATTATCTGACTTGTTTCACCCTTTTTGTTGGACATCACAAAATCATGCAGCCAAGTCCCGCCTTCAAACGGCCAATCCTGACAGCATGACAACTATCATGCAATGTTTTCAGATTATCTTCCTTTATAAAGTTAAAAAAAACCTTTGGAGATTAGATCTAGAGAGTAAATGAGTACATCACGAACTAGCGTCTGCTAGGCTAGCTACTGAAGGTCTAGCGGATGTTAACACATGTTGCTTTTGCAGGGCATAAAGACGGTTCACGGGAACAGCGCGTTCCTTCATTTAATGGCACGCGAGGGGGTGGGAGCGCGATCCTCCCGAGCACCACTGTGCACGCGCCAGAGACGAGAGGATGAACCTGATCGGCCTTCTGGGCCTCCGCGTAGTTGTCCAGGAAGGTTCCTTGAACCGAGGTGCCCACGATGGTCAGACCCTTCCCTGCCTTCAGCTGATTGGCCAGAGAGAGCAGACGAGGCTGCTCCACGTTCTGCTCCGCGTCCACGCTCACCAGGACCAGGATCTGAGGCCTGACGGAGAGAAGAGAAAAGAGGCACCGAGCCTCATCTCACTGCGGTAGAGAAAAGGGGGGGGGTTTCAAATTCAACCCGATGCAACTTCAGCCCTCTCTGCGAGCGGACCTCCAGTTCTTGGTGTGCGGCGGCCCTTCCTCCAGCCTCATGAGAGCGAAGCGGGCGGCGCTCAGCGAGATGCCACGTATCCCGTCGCCCCACTCCTTCTCCGCCCTGTCAAACGGCATGTCGGCGGGTCAACTCAAATCAACCTCGGAGACCAAAGCCCCTTGAAGCGCTCCAAAGAAAACCAACTTTGCGGGGATTTGGTTTTCTTGCGACGAAACCGAAATGACTGTAATTACTCACCCGCAGAACTCAATGTATTTGTAGATGCAGGTGGCGATGCCCATGGCGATGATGGCGTAAAACCAGGAGCAGATGAACATGAGCGACAGACACAGGCTCATACCCAAGAAGGACAGAGCCCTGCAGGAGACAGCACATCGCACGATTGTAGATAAAAAAAAGGTGGGTATGTGATCCTCTGCTGTTAAACTCAAGCTGGAGCACAAACAGCACGACTTCAGCTCCCCGCGTCGGTCCAGATGCTTTATCGTCATCTCCCGGATGCTGTGACTCAAGTTCAAATAGAAAGCAGGCATTACAGCGTTCACGTTTTAGCACACTGTCCCCACACACACACACTCACCAGTGGTAGAACTTGAAGCGCGGCCTCCAGTTCGGCGTCCTCAGCAAAGTCTGCAGGGCACACGCGAGGTTGACGAACATGTAGCACATCAAGAAAAACCTACAGAAAGAGGGGGAGAAATACCCCAAAACATTTGAAAAAGACAGCACGCAAAAGAACAGACACACACTGTGTGTGTGTGTGTGTGTGTGGTGTGCTTACATGGAGAGGATGGGGGCGACTGCATCCAGGGAGGCGATGATGATGCCGATCTCACAGATGCAACCTGTGAGCAGAAGGGCCCAGGTGGGCTCCCCGTTGTCTTTGCCGTGCCCAAACACCTGCAGCAAAATGAAGAAGATTCAAGTGAATCAAGAGCTTTTAAATCTATCATGGAGCTCCATCAAAAGCCGGCTCAGGACTTGAGTTTGCCTTTCAAGATATCAACATTCTCCGCGGTGCTTTTTTCACGACAAAGACGCACTCTGAGAAACGGGATGATGCCGTCTCTGGCGATGGCCTGCAGGAGCCGCGGAGCTCCGGTCAGACTCTGGAGTCCTGCTCCACAGGTGGAGAAGAAGGAGCCGAACACAATGACCCACGGAGACGGCCACGCCAAAGTCCCGATCACCAGGTTACCGTTCACCCCTTCACCGAACCTGTTGAGAGAGAGAGAGAGAGGGCGTAACACTCGGACGGCCGCGAGAACAAACTCTGACTGGAGGCATCCACAGAAAAACGACACCCGGAGACTCACTTGTCCCTGAGGACGACTCCTTCTATACAGGCTCCGAACAGCACGACGGTGGACATGTCTGGGGCAAAAGCTGTCAAGAAACGTATCACATGTAATGTATATTATGTAAGGGTTAGGGGTTAGGGTTAGGGTTAGGGTTAGGGTTAGCCGGTCCAGCAGCAGGTTCAGGTCAGCGAAGGATACACACGATGGACGTGGTGGTGATGGCGGCAATCGTGCCGATGGGGATGGACTTCTGAGCATCGCGCAGGTCTCCGGAGCGGTTGGAGCCCGCCATGATGCCTGTGAGTGGAAATAGGACATTTTAGACGCCCTCAATGCAAAGTGGAGCTGAGGAGACCTGCAATTCAATCAATCCGTTTGGAGCCGTTTTAAAGCTAATGACGGCCTCCTCAAGGCGAGGACCTCCTCCTCTCCCTCGAGACGTCTCTTCTGCTGCTGACCTGTGACGGAAGGGAAGTATATCCCCACCAGCAGGGTGAAAAAGCTGGTGATGTCGGCCATGACGTAGCGGTTGGCGCCAGTCGGCGGGCTGTCCGCGCTCTCTTCGGACGCGACCCGGCGCTTCTCCAGGAACATCCCCTTTTCCAGGTAGTTCCCAAAGAGGTTCTCTAACAAACAGAGGGACATTCGATCGAGCGCGTTGGATGGATTTCCTCCTTGTGCCGATTATCGGCCGTGCGTCTCCTACCTGCCAGGATGCCGCTGGTGACCCCCGGGATGCCCTGTATCTCCGTCACGTTGTTGCTGGTGAAGTATTCGTCACAAGTGGCGTCCAAGGAGTCGGAATCGCAGAAGGTCCTCCACAGTTGGGTGGTGACGGTTTCGTTGTCCGTCTCCACGACCTTCGCGCAGACGTCGTATCCCTTGGAGAGGAGCGTCCGATTCCCTAGGAGGCAGACGCTGTGGAGAGAGTCGGCACGTCACCGCCACGCGGCGCCCCTTCCCCCCTCGGGTTGTGAGAGGCGAACGAGCGAGTCACTCACGGGAAGACAGGGGGGTCCATGGCGGTCTTGATGACGCCGGCGTACACGGCCACGATGGAGAGGATGACGCAGGCGAGGAAGAGCAGCGCCAGCTTGTTCACGTATTTGACCCCAACAAACACCACCAGCGACATGAAGCTCAGCACGATGGTGCCGTACACCCGCATGTTGTTGAGGAGAGCCAGCTCCGCCTCCGGGCCCTCCAGGCCCTCGATCTTAAAGATGGCCGCCTGGGGGATGATGTAAATCTGAAGATGGCGGGGGCGGGGGGGGCAAAGGGAGGCGAAACACGACACAGGTGTGACAATGACGATCAAACAGATCATGGACAAACCAAAGGCAGCGTCTAAGGCTGCGACCACCACATGCTCACCAGCAGAATCTCAATGCAGCCCAGAATGTACATGGCGCCTGCGAAGGTGGTGCCCAGGTAGAAGCAGATGCCAACGGCTCCACCGAACTCGGGCCCCAGAGAGCGAGAGATCATGTAGTACGAACCTCCGGCTGTGGGTCACAAGCACACGGGGAAGAGTCGGTGTGCTGGGTCCTCAAAGACACCGGCGCTTCCCCTCCCGGGCGCCCACTCACCTGGTACCACTCCGTTGGTTGCTATGGCGCTCATGGAGATGGCTGTGAGCATCGTCTGGAAGAAGCAGCACACAGCAGAGGAGGTTTAGGATTTTGACCTTGGCTGTCCTCTTTCAATGACCATTTTCCACTCGAATGCTGCAGTGGGAGGTTTTAGTCAGCTGACCAAGGGGGCTTTTTCGCCCAAACTGACTCCATACATTTGTTTTTCCACAGCGATTATTCACCGCACATCTTTCCCTGAATGCACATTTACAGTTAGTCTTTTTTGTGTGTTGTGTGTAACATGTGTTTTTTTTTGGTATAAAAAGAAATGAATTAAAAATACATATAAAAAAATTGGATCTTTGCTTCAAATAAAATAAAATAAAAGGAAACAATTCCATCTGCATGTCATTATTTTTTTAATACTTTTTATACTTTATTTTTGTTTTTTTCATAATAAAAATCTTGCCATCTGCATGTCACAAATAAAACAAAATAAAAAACATTAAAAAAACGAGTATGTTTGTTAATGGACAACTTTAAAATGTTTACAGTTCTTTTGGCCGGCAGTAAATCAAACACGCATATTTTAAAATGAGAAACGCACGCCGCAGTTGGCCACAGAGAGCGGTCACGTTGCGCAACAAATATGCAACAGCGGCTTTCACAGATTTACTCACCGTGGAGCAACACATGAAGACGATTATGAAGGAGCCGAAGACGCCTCCCACCCCGACCATCCAAGTCATCCGCAGGAAGAGGATCACCCCAAAAATGTTCTGGATGCACGGCAAGTACACGCCCATCAGCGTCCCCAGCTGTGGAGCCTGAGCGGCGCAAACGCAGGAAGTCATCACTCAAGGTTTTTTTTTATTGATCTCATCTTACGTGAGCAAAAGTGCTCTTTGTTGTTCGGCCGCCGTCTGCTGAAGGAAACACGTCCAACTTCTTTATTAGAAAGAGTTGATTCTTTTCAAACACTGATGGTTTATTTCCTCAGTGAACATTGTGAACATTATTATTCATAGTCTCAATCTCCAGTGTCAAGTCTTCTTCAATACATACGTGATGTTCATTTAGTAAATGATGGTCCATTTGGAGTCAAACAGACCATAGGGCAGGGGATGCTTTAGGGCGGGGCTAGCGTTTGATTGACAGGAAGCGACCACCGGCAGTTGTTTGTGTTTTTATTGAACAACCTTTACTCATTCGAAGTGTGTTTTCACTTGATTAAAGTAAATTAAAACATTTCGGTGGCTTAAAAATGTCTTACTGAGCGTGTTTGAGCTTGAACCTGTCGCATCACGAGGGCGAAAAACCAAAAACGGCAACCGACAAATATTACTAAAACAACAAAAACTGTCCTTTCGGCCAATAGCTTGATGATATCTCCCCCCACTGCTCTGCTGGGCGCTGCGGGACGCGGACCGGAGCATCGCGCGTGGCGCTCTACCTTGACGGGTTTTTTGGACGGACGCGCCCCCTCCTCGTTATTCTCGGCCTCTTCGTGCTCTTTGCTGCCCGTGGGCAGGTTGGTGTAGTTGGCCAGACTGCTGAGCAAAGAGGAGACCATCGGACTGGTGTCCATCTCCTCCTGCAGCGCACACACACACACACACACACACACACACAGAAACACGCGGTCGTGGTTATGAGTGTTCGGTCGGTGTGAGATGTCGAGGTGATCATCCCGGGAGAAGGCCCCCCCCCCCCACCTCGAACAGAGCCATGTTCTTGCCGTCGTACTGCAGGCTCTTGTCGGCGCTCGTGGCCGCGCCGCTGTTGATGAAAGGACTGCTCTCTCTCGGGTTCCCGTCACCTGCAACACAGAAGCATCTAAATAACCAAATGTTCATCGTTTGGCACCGTTTACATCTGTGTGACTAGCAAATGTTGTTGTACGGAATATTGATGGGAAAAAGAATGAAACATGTGGCTGATTACACATTCTGGAAGTGAGTGTATTGATGTGTTGCTGTGGCAACAAAGTAACGCTGTGGCAACAAAGTAACGCTTCACCTGAGCAAAGCCAGGAGCACATCTGCCCTCTAGGGGCATCGCGGCTTACGACTCGGCCAGATGTGAGGGGACGTCCTGCACCAATCAGGTCGTCCCTTTGGATTCCCCGCGCCGCGGCGGCATTAAACACTAATCCTTAAACCAAGAGGGGAGTCAGACGGCTGCCAAACTGCTCTCACGCAGCACATAAACCGCCCTCCCCTCTAATTGGATTAGACGGGATGTCGATGCTGCAGATGTGGTTTGCAGGGAGTTTTTTTTTTTTGTCACCCTCCTGTCAATAGCTGAGCAGATCCCATTCAAAACTCCCCAATCACCTTATACACCTCCTCAAGTGCTCTTTAATTTGCTGGTTTTATGGTTTAAATGTAAATTAAGAAACAGATAATCTGGGGCTGTGCGTGAGACAACAAGGAAATGCTGAGCAGTCAGACCGTTGTATTTTTATATAAAAGCTCACAACGTCTTTTATTTCCACTCCAAGCCACCTGAGTATTCTGTAATCCATTATGTTCTTTTAAATCTGCATTTAAAGCTCATTTCAGCTCTTAGCTTAGAGTGAAAAGAGCTTTTAAAGCCACATTTTACCAAATGTGTGTGTGTGTGTGTGTGTGTGTGTGTGTGTGTGTGTGTGTGTGAGGGGACTCTTTGTGACACAGCGGGATATAAGTTGGTCATATTGTTGTTGAGGCTACAAAGAAAGAATTATTAGATAAAGATTGATGTTAAAAAGTGTCATTAAAAATGCATAAAACCTTTTCAAATAGATTAAGTTTTACTGTTTGCTTTCAACATGCATTGGTTAATTTATTTATTTTTCTGATCCTTTTAAAGTATTAAAATGTCTTTTTGAGGGTTTCAGGAGCTACTGACACATCAAAGTCATTGAATACCCAATAAACCTTTTATTACACCGCAGAAGATTCTTTCAATAATGAAAGCTGCGGGTGAGAGGTTAAATCTGCGTACGCCACGACCCACAAATGTCGACAATATAATGTTTCATTTAGCGGTTAAATCCCAGCCTGGACCGTTGACCTCCAAATTATCTAATAAAACGTCTGGATTTCATTCCAAAGGAAAGACTGGATGGTTTTAGTACCAATGATTCCGTCCATGAAATCCATCGCCTTAATCATTAGAATAAACAGAGGTGGTTTAGTCTGCACAGGATTTAGTGTTTATCTAAATGTGAGTATTAGGCATTGGTGAGATGTGTATTGGGTTTGTATCATATACAGAATCACCGGAGGAATGTGTAAGCTAACCTACAAAGATCATAGAAAGCAACAAGGTTTTTACAGGCGTTTTGGGACTGATCTGCAATCAGTTGTAAAAGCTTCTGAGAATACAGAGAAACCGTTCATGTAAAGAGGCCAAGTGAAGCCTCGCAGACATCGCCACAGCAACGAGAACATTTCAAAGTTCTATGCAGGTCAGTGAGTGCTTCTTTGTCGGTGCGCATTCATTGAAACACTTTCTTAATGTGCATCTAAAAGACGAAAGGCGCTTCAATCGTCAGCCGGTGCCTTTGCGTTTGCAAGGAGGGTTGTGTTTATTGGCTCATACGTAATGAGGTCTTCATGAAATGACGCAATTTAGATTGTAAATGAGTAAGAAAGAACTCAAATAACTCAATCGCTCATGTGTTACTTTCTAAATCTGAAAAACAAGTCTTTTATTTTGATGCAATGAGAGAGAAACTCGTCCTGAGGCAGCATCTTGAACCGTCTGTATCAGATTTACATTCATGCGACGTGGACATTAAGATCGGGGGCACATTTCATAAATAGGAACATATGCAAATTTAGAGGCAAAAATAAAAAGCACAACTTGTGGATGCCTGAGGATTGACAAAAATGTCAACATGTCAAAGTGTCCTTGAGAGAACACACAGAACCCTGAAAACCCTCTGCAGATGTGTGTGTGTGTGTGTGTGTGTGTTGTAAAGGGCTTTGAGAAGTTGTTAAGACTAGAAAAGCACGTCATGAATGCAAGTAAATTCACCAGCAACGTAGGTTTGGTTCTCCAAAAGACAAACAATAACGGTAACGGACATTTCATCCCTGCTGTGGGTAGGGACAAAGTTCCCGAGTCAAGCGACGAGTCAGGTGACCAGTGACACCAACGACTCACGTAACGACGAGTCACGTGACCAGCGACACCAACGACTCACGTAGCGACGAGTCACGTGACCAGCGACACCAACGACTCACGTAGCGACGAGTCACGTGACCAGCGACACCAAAGACTCACGTAGCGACGAGTCACGTGACCAGCGACACCAACGACTCACGTAGCGACAAGTCACGTGACCAGCGACACCAACGACTCACGTAGCGACGAGTCACGTGACCAGCGACACCAACGACTCACGTAGCGACGAGTCACGTGACCAGCGACACCAACGACTCACGTAGCGGCGAGTCACGTGACCAGCGACACAAACGACTCACGTAGCGACGAGTCACGTGACCAGGGACACCAACGACTCACGTAGCGACGAGTCACGTGACCAGGGACACCAACGACTCACGTAGCGACGAGTCACGTGACCAGCGACACCAACGACTCACGTAGCGGCGAGTCACGTGACCAGCGACACCAACGACTCACGTAGCGATGAGTCACGTGACCAGCGACACCAACGACTCACGTAGCGATGAGTCACGTGACCAGCGACACCAACGACTCACGTAGCGACAAGTCACGTGACCAGCGACACCATCGACTCAGGTAGCGACGAGTCACGTGCCCAGCGACACCAACGACTTGCGTAGCGACAGTCACCGTCCCAGGGACACCAACGACTCCGGTAGCGACAAGTCACTTGACCAGCGACACCAACGACTCACGTAGCGACGAGTCACGTGACCAGCGACACCAACGACTCACGTAGCGACGAGTCACGTGACCAGCGACACCAACGACTCACGTAGCGACGAGTCACGTGACCAGCGACACCAAAGACTCACGTAGCGACGAGTCACGTGACCAGCGACACCAACGACTCACGTAGCGACGAGTCACGTGACCAGCGACACCAACGACTCACGTAGCGACGAGTCACGTGACCAGCGACACCAACGACTCACGTAGCGACGAGTCACGTGACCAGCGACACCAACGACTCACGTAGCGACGAGTCACGTGACCAGCGACATCAACGACTCACGTAGCGACAAGTCACGTGACCAGCGACACCAACGACTCACGTAGCGACAAGTCACGTGACCAGCGACACCAACGACTCACGTAGCGACAAGTCACGTGACCAGCGACACCAACGACTCACGTAGCGACGAGTCACGTGACCAGCGACACCAACGACTCACGTAGCGACGAGTCACGTGACCAGCGACACCAACGACTCACGTAGCGACGAGTCACGTGACCAGCGACACCAACGACTCACGTAGCGACGAGTCGCGTGACCAGCGACACCAACGACTCACGTAGCGACAAGTCACGTGACCAGTGACACCAACGACTCACGTAGCGGCGAGTGACGTGACCAGCGACACCAGCGACTCACGTAGCGGGCGAGTCACGTGACCCAGCGACACCAAACGACTCACGTAGCGATGAGTCACGTGACCAGCGACACCAACGACTCACGTAGCGACGAGTCACGTGACCAGCGACACCAACGACTCACGTAGCGACAAGTCACGTGACCAGCGACACCAACGACTCGCGTAACGACAAGTCACGTGACCAGCGACACCAACAACTCACGTAGCAACTAGTCACGTGACCAGCGACACCAACGACTCACTAGCGACGAGTCACGTGACCAGCGACACCAACGACTCACGTAGCGACGAGTCACGTGACCAGCGACACCAACGACTCACGTAGCGACGAGTCACGTGACCAGCGACACCAACGACACCAACGACTCACGTAGCGACGAGTCACGTGACCAGCGACACCAACGTCTCACGTAGCGACAAGTCACGTGACCAGCGACACCAACGACTCACGTAGCAACGAGTCACGTGATCAGCGACACCAACGACTCACGTAGCGACGAGTCACGTGATCAGCGACACCAACGACTCACGTAGCGACGAGTCACGTGACCAGCGACACCAACGACTCACGTAGCGACGAGTCACGTGACCAGCGACACCAACGACTCACGTAGCGACGAGTCACGTGACCAGCGACACCAACGACGAACTCAAGTTCCGAGGTGAGTTTGTGATTTAAATGGTGAGTACATTTAAGTATTTTGTAATATTATTGTTATGTTAATACGACCTACTGTCAAGAAGCTATTGGCTCAGAAAGATGACATCACTGCAGGATCACAAGATCGCAGGTGGCGTCATGCAGATGAAAGGCGCGGGGGGGTCGGGGGGTATATTTGTACCCTTGATGTGACACCGCTATTACAAAATGGACAGTTTATACCGGCTTTTAAAAGCTTAATAGGACGCCGGCTCAAGGGGATTATCCAGCATCTGCTGGAGGCCACAGAGGCAGGAAGACTTCTGCATGTGAGAGAACGGCACCAACCGGCTGCAAAGCAAACAACACAATTACATCAACACGGGCCTCCTTCATTTTCACCGTGCGTGCTGCAACGGGGGAATTAAAGCTCAATGCATGAAGTGATTTGTTTAATTTAAATATATCTGCCGACTCTCCTCTCACTGTCGACAAAACCGAAAGGCCTCAAAAGAAGTCGATTTTCTCTTCGTTTGACTTTGTGAGTCAGAAGATCCGTTATGTGATTGTAACATTTACTTTGGAGACAAATTAGTGTTCACGTTTGTTTCTGGAACTGGGATG